TATTTCCGGCGCTCACCCGCGCCCAGTGTCCGGAGGGCTCCTCTCTTTCGGTCTCTTTCGTCCTGGCCGCTGTCTCCGCTTTCATAGAAAGGGAGGCGTCGCGATGTAAAGAGGGAAAATAAGAAAAAAAAACATGTTAGGAGAGAGAAACAGGTAAATCGGGCTTCTCTCTTTCGGTCTCTTTCGTCCTGGCCTTTCGTCTCCGCTTTAGAAAGAGAAAGGGAGGCGTCGAGAGGGAAAATGCGAGGGACGAAGAGAACATCGTTAGGAGAGAGAGAGACAGATGAATGGAGATGAAGAAGGAGAAAGTGTCGCGATGAAGAAAGAGAAATGCGAGAAGAGAAATGTAGAACAATTGCAAGAAGAGGAATGTGGAACAATTGCAAGAATAGAAATGTAGACGAAAGCGGAGCAGACGATAAAAGAGAAAGAGAGAGAGAAAATGTCACGATGAAGAAAATGGAGAAGGCAGAGGTCGAACGAAAGAGGGTCGCGATGAAAAAAGCCTATGCATATTTTAATATATTATGGTAATATAATAAATTAAATATATTATAGTAATATAATATATTATATTATATATTAAATATAATATATTAAAATATCTAATTCTAAAATCTATAATATATTAAAATATATAATTAATATATAACTAATATATAATTAACATATAATTAAAATATATAATTAATACTAATATATTAATATATTAATATTATATTTTAATTTAAATATCTCGGTGCAAAATAAAAATGTATCGAATATTTATCGATCCGTTACATGTAACATCGTTATCGTTATCAAGGTTATCGTGTTATCAACACGAATATTCACTGACCGCTGATTAATACGTTCTACAAATAATGCAACATTCATCTTCTAATGAGTTATCTCAAATGGGAGTTTTATAATTTCTAATTAAGAGAAGTCCATATATTTTCCGAAAATTTCGAAAAGTAAAATTGAATCATAATAATTTGATACACACAAGAATAACACGGAAGATAAACTCTCTCTAACGTTCACTCGGCGAATGCTAATTAGAGCCTCACACCCGGACGATGGCGTTTAGAATTCACCAATTATGATGCTTCCGTGACGAAATATAGCCAGGAGTTTGTGTTAATCACTAATTAATATGAAACCATGGCCACGAATAGATGCGTCAATTAGAAATGCAAAACGATATTTGTGCCAAGGATATTCAATTAATCTTTACAAAGAGAAAAATTTACGTCAATACACTTGCTTGGAATATCGCTCTAATTATATTTTTCAAATTATATATTGTGTAATATAAATATATATTTATATAATTTTCTAATATTTTTATTTATATTTCTAATATTTTTATTTTATATGTTATACGTGTGTTATATGTGTGTTTTTTTTCAAATTATATATTGTGTAATATAAATATATATTTATATAATTTTCTAATATTTTTATTTATATTTCTAATATTTTTATTTTATATGTTATACGTATGTTATACGTGTGTTTTTTTTCTGGATTTATTTTCGAGGTTGTATCTTTTTGGCACTGACGTCTCGCGATTCCAAACTACGAGCAACGAAATGTCCCATGTCACGTCACGAATGCACCGAGCGGTACCATAACGAGTGCGTGACAAACTAATGTGCAGTTGGTATGACACTGATGCAACGAGACCTTCTCGCCATATAAGAGTCCGAGATAATAATTACGCTCGTGCCCCTCTCTAACGACTTTTTCTCCCCATTCTCGCCGCGAATATTTAGCATGTTTTATCCACGGATTAATAGCGTCTGATAATGTCCGACATTTCTCGCTCGTTAGCGAGCCGGAAATGAATCGAAGGAACTATTGGCGTGACATATACATAAAAGAGCTTTCGAGTCGGGGTCGCATCGATGATTAATGAACGAATGTCATCGTGTATATAAAAGAAAATGCGAAAAGAGAATGTGACTTAAAATGATTTTTGCATAATACACATATGTAAGAATACTTATATTTTGAGATTTTAACTGCATGTTGTTAATTAAAATAAAAAAAAATATTGTATTAAGTTTACAAATTTTTCCATGAAAAATTATAACAGGAATATTGAAAATTATATTTTTATACCTAAAGGGATGAAAGAAAAAAAAATTAAAATAGAAATTTATGATGGAAATATAAGTCAATAATTACAATAACAAAGAAGAAGAAATTTAATATTGGCAGAAATTAAGCATGAAATCGAGAGTGAAATTTATAGAATAAAAAAATTCAGTTTTTTTTCCCGCAGATATTAATCCTGATATATCGACAAGAGAAAGAATTGTTTAATTTTATGTACTCCCTCCCCAGTACATTATATAATGTGTAAGTAATGTTACTCATCTTTAATGTGATTTTAAATAAACTAGCTTAAAAAAAGCATACAAATTAGTATCATCAATCTATTCTATTTTATAGTTCCGTTATATAATTATATATAAAACATTGTTTATGAACATGTTTATATATCTTTCTTATTGATATATTTTGGTCGTTAAAATCTAAGACACTCTATATATATAAATGATATCATCATTTAATATAATGATGAAAAACGTAATGAATCTTTGTTATTCGGATGATAAATAAAATATCGATATAAATATGAGGTAAAATTCCAAAAAATCCTAAGTAAAAATCCTAAGTAAAAACAATATAAAGTTAAACTTGTGATTAGAAAAATCCTAAGTAAAAATCCTAAGTAAAAACAATATAAAGTTAAACTTGTGATTAGAAAATTATTAATTGTCATTATTGAATAATAATCTTTTTATTACACAAATATGCATTTTAAGAAATTAATTATAGATATTAGATTCAAAATAGATTACTTGCTGCTTTTTTTATACATAACACTTCTCATAAATATTCGAAAATTAATTCAATTGCAAATTCCTTCAGCTATAAATGATAGATATTTAGAAAATTTAGAATTAATCCTTTTTTGAAAATATCGTCACAAGTTTAAATATTTTTATAACTTTAAATTTTATTTGTAATTTTATTTTTATTTTTATAACTTTAAATTTTATTTATAATTTTATTTTTATTTATATAACTTTAAATTCAATCCTAAAATTATATAAATTATTATTAAATATTTCTACGAAAAAAAGTGCAGATAAAATTAATTAGAGAACGAAATATACAATATCGACAAATATATATTGAATAAATAGAAATCTCAATATTCGTTGAATTTTTTGGAGAAGTGATTCATTAATAAATTTATTAATCACTTATAAAAATAGTTCGATAACATCAATATAGTAATTTTGTTATACTTGTAATATTTGTTTCTGAATAAGATACAGCCTAAATGTATTCTAATGAATTTACAAACAAAACTTTCATAAAAATCAACGTACGATTCAAAAATACGATTATATAAACAAAAATCTCAAACGATATTTCAATGCTTGGTTATCTTAATATCTTGGTAATCCAACGAAATTCCAATGTTTCCGCGCTCAGCAGACATAAATAAATCTATCTCAGACTGTCAATAATTTTCAAGGAAAAAGAGTCATACATTAGCACGTCAATAAATACAAAAATATTTACATACGACAGGTGTGTCAACACCTTCGACTAAAACATAACGGTATCGATACTTCGACGAATATTCACATTCCTATGACACTTTGACAAGTCGAAACGAAGACACGTGTCAAAATTGTCCCAAGTGTCAAAAATTGTCAACTGTCCTGCCAATACTGAGTACTGATAATTTGCATAATATCGTGGTGTCTCGATAAATCGCGGCGTCTCCATGCTTGACAGGAGTCAAACGTGTCTTAGAGGTTAGCTGGACGCTTTTCAGAGCGGATCGCGGAGCGTTTACTCACCCAGATCGTCCATGATGTGCTAGCCGGACGTGGGGAGATCTCCGTAGCACGAAATTCCAGGATACGTATGCAACCTGGTCCTGTCAATCACACGCGGATATCACACGTCGTACGGATCACAAAGCGCGCTGGACAAACCGCCGCGACTGGCCGCGATCGCGACTCGCTTCACGCGGTGAACATCAAACATGGAGGCTCCGGTCCTCGACCGGATCAGTAGCCGCCCTAGTGCGCTGCGGTGCCCTTAAATGTCCTTGAGCGCTGTAAAAAAAAAAAAACATTTTTGCTTGGAATATAAACAAATTATTAATATATATACGAGGAAGATACGCGAAAATAGAGATATATTTTGACATTTTTTTTCTATGAAATTTTGAGAATGAATAAATTTTAAATTTAACATTGAGAATAAATTTTAAATTTAATATTGAGAATGAATAAATTTTAAATTTAACATTCTACAAATTTTTTTAGCGCCTAAACAAAAACACCATGTATTATAAAATTTTGAAATAAAAAAAAAATAATAAAAAATAAATAAAGATTAAGAAATTTGATGAAGATAATTTATATATTTGGAAATATATATGTGTTTGTTGAAAAATCATCTTTTATGAATCTTAAAATTGAAAAAAAGATCTTCAAAATTAAATAAGTTCTTAAAATATATAATTGTGATTCAAATTATTTATGTTTATTATTTTAATAAAAAAATTTAGTGTATTTATTAAAATGTAGTTATTAAAATAAGCCTAACAAAATATATTTATCAAATTATTGGATTATAATTAAATTCTTTGATTCTCTTCATGTATGTAACATGATATTCAATAAAGTTAAAAATTATTATAAGTATATATAAACATATCCGAAAAAATTCTAAATCGGAGAATCGAATCTAAACTTGAATTGTTCAACTTAAATTGTCTAAATAAAAAATTATACATATACATGTTATAATATATATATATATATATGCTGGAATAAACAATGCATTTAATATTGTAAAAATAACGTTTATAATGGAATAATACAGCATTAAATATCCTTATATGTAAGAAATCTTTCAAAAATGTTTAATAAAATATATAAATAATTCATGAAATATTTCTAAGGTATTTAGTGTTGTATAAACAATATTAATAAATATGATTTATTTAATCTCTCAATGTTTTGCAAGTTTTCTTGCGGATTATATTTTCAGCCATTGATCACATAGCTGTTCATATATGTTTAACATTTTTTTCATGCCATTTCCTCGTCGATAATTATTACTTATGTTTGGTCTTAAGGAACAAATTGAACGTTTTAGTTTCTGAGGATAATTGAAAGAGCCAAGATCGAATGCCAAGGATCGGCACGCAATGCTTTCTTATTATATATCTCATATACCAATGAACATATGTGCCAGAAACTTTATAGATACCAAATTGTCAACTGATTTGAAATCATAATGCAGATGATCCAGATATATTCTTTACAAGTATTTTCATATACTATAATTTTGTTAAATTATATATATGTATATAAAATTTAACAAAAATATATAGTAATTTGGATATAATCTACTATATACATTATGCTATATACACATTTCATGACAAAATAGATTAAAATGTAAAAGAAGAAAAATCTCCATAGGACTGCGATAGAACTTTTTTCTTTTTTGTAGCAGGTTCAGCAGCATTCGTGTCTCGCTTGTCCACTCTAAAAATCAGATTAAATATTAAGAATAAACAAAGTATTGTATAAATCAAGATACACGATAAATTATAATTACAAGAAAAAGTTACAAAAACTTACTTCTCGTGTTCCAATTTCACATATTTTCCTATGCCAGATCGGTAAATTTTCTGAATATCGTTATCCTTTTTATCCGTTGTTTTGCTTTGATTCGCTTCTTGAGCTAATCGTTCCGCTTCAGCAGCTCGTTCTGCGGCGAGTTGCTCATCGGCTTCTTGGAAAGGATCTACAAAGACTTGAACACCTTGTATAACTATATCTTCTATCGGTCGATCTTTATTATCCACCTCCACCTTTTCGATCGCGTTTAATGTGTCCAGACCTCCGACTATTTTCCCAAAGACTGTGTGTTTGCGATCGAGGTGTCTGCACGACCGAAACGTGATGAAACTAAAATGACAATATTAATAATATGATAAATATGATATGATATATAATATGATTAAATAATATTAAGGCTGATAATATTAAATAAAAATTAGGCATGATACAATCGTAATACAAATTACTTTGTTTTAATCTTACAATTGAGATCCATTGGTATTTGGACCTGAATTTGCCATAGATAAAATGCCTCTCCCTTGATGTATCAAGTTCGGTTTAAATTCGTCCTCGAACGGTTTGCCCCAAATAGACTTGCCACCATTACCCGTGTTGGTCGGATCACCTCCTTGAATCTGCAATGAAGAAAAGTAAAATTTTCGATTACTATAAAATAGAGAAATATTTAAATAGAAAAAAGAAAAGTAATCCTTGCACAAAATACAATCTTCGAAACAAACTATTCTCAAATTAAATACTTGATGTCAAAGCAAAATATACTCACCATAAAATTTCTTATTGATCTGTGAAACTTTGTACCATCATAATAACCATTCTGACAGTGTTTCATGAAGTTCTCACATGTCTTTGAAACTAGATCACAATAGAGCTCCAAATTCAAAGCACCAAAATTTGTAAGAAATCTTACATATCCTATGTAAAAAAATAGATAAAAATAAAAACAAATTGTTTCTTATTTCAAGTTCAAACAACAATATAATAATAATATAATTAAAATAACATACCCTTCTTCTTGACTTTCTCATATCGCACCAAATCTTCTGAAATTATAGCTGCTTGATGGGTAGTTTCTGCTGGCATTATTGTTGAAGTAAAGCCAGCGGCTACTGCTCCAGTAGAATAATGTGCCTATAAACAAATAATAGAAATAATAAAATGACAGTGTCAATGATTAAAACAGATAATTTCTTTATTTGTAAATGTACAAACAGCATTAAATTTGTCAGCTTTTACAGATGGTTCATCTTTTTCACTATTTTTTGTCGGTTTATAATCTTTCTCTAATTCTGCTAGGATCTCTTTGGTTTCCATAGAGACAGTTTTTAATTTTGCATTTGGATTGTTTCTCTCTCTTACAGTTTCTGAAAAAATATAATTTATATAATATAAAAAAATATTAATCAAATCTAAATAATATTAATGATAATATTAATCTAAATAATATTACTTTTTTAGGCTAAATAAAAGCTTACCTTCATCTTCTACTCTTATGTTATTCTTAATATGATGGAATGTAGATAAATTGAATTTCATTGCATTATTCGGATCTTGAATTGTAATAATATCTTGGCGTGCAAATGGTTGATCATTTAGTAAATCTTTCCAGTTTCTAGCTTTTATGTTCAACTGTTCAACAGCCTAAAAAAATAATTCTTTTACTGCATTTCTTGTATACAAAAATAAATAATTATAATTGATAACTCATAATAGCTATAACTATTATATATATTAATACTATATATACTAAACTAATAAAATAAATATTATAAATAAGCAATTAAATAAAATAATTTAATAAAAAAATATAAAGATATTTAAGATTATGCACTTACTTCATAAGAAAATACATTTCCTGTGTTCTTAATAGCAACAATGTGTGAATGTTTCGTGAACAATTTAAAAAGAACAGGACATTGATATTCATCTTCTATATTTTTATGAAAATTTAATTTGATTAAACTTTTTGCATCTAATGGTTTTCCAGTTACAGGATTGTGTTTATATTGTTTTAGATAGGCCAAAATAGCTTCTAGCTCAAACACATTCCCATGTGGATCACAGTAAGGATGCTCAAAGGGCTGCAGAGACACACAACAATGATCGTATGGTAGACGTCTAAATGTTTTCTCTTCACTCGTTTCTAGATTCGTTCCTGATTTTCTTCCACCATACAATGTTGTCCACTCGGTATATGTTAAATACCTGAAAAAAGATCCCAAAATTGTTAAATGATTAAATTTAATGTAAGATTATTTTCATAATTGCATATTATTATATAAAATAAACACAATACATAATAACACAATGTAACTCACATTTTATCTTTCTGATGCTGACGTTTTCCCATTTTGAAGTAATTTTATAACTATTTTAAGTCAGAAACTATTGAATAATACACAAAATTATCAAAAATTGAATAAATGTTTCACGAAAACTCAAACAGAATTCAAAGTACTGTTAGACTGTTTAGTCTACATATTTTGTCCATTGATTAGTTTAAAGTTGAAATGCTACTGAATGAAGTTTCATGGAGATCCTCCTTCTCTAATTTTAACTTTTCACTGATTGGTCATTTCAGTATTAAACCAAATATGGCGAAATTTGCCGCCATGCTTTAAATAAATGTTTGAAAATTTCATATCAAGTTTCTAACAAAAGCGAAAAAAATGATTACACGTATGTAAATAAATAAATAAATAAATAAATAAATAAATAAATAAATAAATATATATATATATATATATATATATATATATATATATACATACATATATATATTAATCTATAAAAATAAATTAATACATATATATTAATCTATAAAAATTTGTTTCATTTTAAATGTTTCAATTATTTAAAAAGATATATATATATATATATATATATATATATATATAAATATATATATATATATATATATATCTTTTTAAATAATTTAAACCTTCAAACATTTAAAATAAAACAAATTTTTATAGAAACGTGTGTGTGTGTGTGTGTGTGTGTGCATGTGAATTTCTATTTTTTTTTCTTTATATAATTATTATTTCTATTTATCTATATTTAATAATTATTATTTCTTTATATAATTAATCATAAATTTATGAAACTCATATCATAATTAAAAATATTTTTGATTTTATTAACTTTTAATTAATGAAGATATTAATAAAGTATTATCTAAATTTTTTAAAATGTTTTAATTCTACATTTTTTCTTATAACTAAAGCAATTTATTAACATTTATTTAATAAAAAAAAATACTTCAATTAGAAAAAATAAATATCATTTTTATTATTATCAGATGGAATTAAACTTCTAATTTTTGAAAAATAATAACTTATATATATATATATATATATATATATATATATATATATATACACATATATATATTATCGAACCAATCTCTATATATGTTTATTTTTCTAAATGATAGATTTTAATAGCAAACAATCAAAATGTGAAAATTAAATGTAACATATTAAACTAACTGCATGCTATTTCCACATTACATAAATTATTTTAGCATAAAGACTAATATATAGCATGGAAAATAAAAGATAAATTTTATATAAACATATAACTTATCTTTTATAATAAAAACATATCAAATTTTATATTTCTTTGTATATACATTTTCTGGTCATAAATGGCAATCATTTTACTATATTTTGTTATTGTCACATGTGTATCTTGAATCAATAGCTCGCATAATTGTTTCACAAGACCATTTACGATCATTTCCATTAAGTACTATAATTTGACCTTTATCGAGAACTTTTTCTAGGCTAATTCTCAATTTGTCATAATTCTGATTATTTGCTTTCAATCTCTTTAAACGTTCCTTCAAAATCCTCCTATATCTATCACTTTTTACTATTATCCTATTAAACATTTCTTCACGTCTTTTTAAAGTATTTTGAAGATATTTACAATTTTGTTTGCTCTTTCTCAATAAATGTTTCAACTCTTCACATTGTTTTTTCCAATCTATTTCTTCTTCCATGTTTGTAGATATAGATATATTTGAATAAGTTTGCGATATTGGAAATAAATTTATATTATTTTTATCATTAATTAAATTATCACTGTCGATATCATTTTCATGTGTATTGTGATTATTGAACAAAATACTTTTGTCCTGTTGACGAGAAGGGAAAATTGTGGGCACAGCATTACATTTTAATTTCTGTTTACCATCACAACGAACTTTTTCCCACATATCCTTGGAAAAATGTATCTGCATAAAAGTAATAACTTATTAAACACATTTTGCAAGGATCTATAAAATATACAAAATTGATTTACATACTTCACATATACGACTATGTGACTTAGGTTCCCAATTTGGTTTACCAATATTGGCAATCCATAATGCCTTCCGTTCGGGGTCTGCAGGAAAACTTCTCATCGAAAATCCTTTAGCGGTTGAATTGCTACAACCAGGCACACAGCAACCTGGCATTTTCTTAGAAACTGATTCACTTCTTGGTGAATTCCGTAATAATATTAAACTTTATTTAAAAATCCGACAATTATTCTTTACATCAAGATTGAAGAATATATTTGCGAAGCTTGATGAAACTCTAAAAAATGAATGTTTGCTTTAAGATATGTTCCGAAATTTTATTCGTGAAGTAAATAAGACATCATTGAATTGACCAATCAAGATAAAGAAGACTTTACTCCTTTAATCGAATTTTCGAACGCACTCTTGTGTTTCAGTTCAAAATTAGATCGTCAGGTTAGGGTTAGAGATTCTTGTGACACTTGTCTCGATAGCACGTTGTAATAGAAAAATGTCGAAAAATGTCGGGAGGAAAATGGTTAAGAAGCTGGTCGAGAAGGTCGATCACTCGTCAAAATTGCGCACAAACATACTCGCGGGCATGGCATCATCCGCACCACCTCTTGGATCTCAGCTTGGACAAGTTAGAATATAATCATATTCTATACCTTTTTTGATGAACACAAACTTCCTAGAAAAAAGAATATAAAAGCAAAAATTTTCATTACAAAATGAAAAAAATACAATATTCTTAAATCCATTAACAAACCTTGAATGCTAATGATATGTTGCGGAGAATATGAATCAATAGAATACATATTTTCTATTATGGAAAATTTTCATCCTTTTTGCAAATATTTATTTGATTCTTTGACAGTTATTTATATATTAATTACTTCGATTTTTGGCATGTGAAAGGAATTTATATTTTGTTCTTGATTCCAGAGGAATATCAACATTGGAAATTTTTGCAAAGATTTCAACCAAAGGACGGCTGATATGAAAGAAGGCATTCCTTTGCCATGTCGTATAAAAGTGCATTCGGATAGAACGTATGATTTAGTGATTCACAAGCCACCTGTAACATATTATTTAAAACAAGCAGCTGGAATACGAAAAGGAAGAATGAAGAAGGGTATGTGTATATAGATCATCTTTTGACAAATTATTCTGTTGATTTTAAATTTATCTTTTCATTTTTGAGAAATAAATCTTCTAATTCCATGATACTTTAGTGAAGAAAGATGCAAAGATTAATATTGGTATTGAAATAAAAAATATTCATATATGTACTATATATATATTAATTTTGTCAATATATCATAATATAATGAAAAATAGAGTAACAATTCTTAATCAAATTAATCATAATAAAAGTAAAATAATGACTAATTTCTTTTTTTTCACAGGCGAAGTGGCTGGTAAGATAACTCTGAAACATTTGTATGAAATCGCTAAGATCAAGTCAGAAGACCGACCACTGGCACTACTCACTTTGGAGCAAATCTGTAATATGATAGTCGGCATCGCACGCACGTGCGGCATCCAGATCGTACGTGACTTAGATCCGGAAGAATACAAGGAGTTCCTGCAAAACAGGGAACATACTATCATGCAACATCAAGAAGACCTACGATTAGCTAAAGAGAGCAAAATGCTCAGAACAAATTGATTTGTAACCATTGTAGCATACTTAAATCTTTGTTAATTATAATTTTATTGTACATACATATATAAAATAAAATTTACATATAATTGCATTAATAAGTGTTTTGTTTTGTATTTTCTATATATTTTTCAAAAAAATTATCTATTATCTTAATAAAAATATTTCTAATCAGAAATTAATAAAATACTTTTCGCTAATTACATAAAAATTTAACGACAAGTCATGTTTAGTGGAAAATATGAAACTTATTTAACACAAATATATGTTTATTAAAAAAGAATATTTGTACAATATTACAATTTCTCAATTATTTCGATTATATTAATGACTTTAATTTACGAGGTAGCCTGAGAGATGATCGACAACACAAAAGACAGTAAACTATATACAAAATGTACTTTATAAATTATGAGCGTTAGTATCAAACCACATTTACCTTCTTATTACTTACACAACAAGTAAAAAATATATAATATATATATTTCTCTGTAAAACTATTTTTTAAAAAGATACTGCTTCTAATTAAAAAATATATTTGACCTAGAGAGAGCTTTCATTAAAACGGATAAAAATCCTTTATCCACAAGGAATCGATCGATTTGTTCAGATCGAAGTGTAGCAGACCCAAATAAACATAATAAATCGATAATTTGAAAAGAGCCCAGCGCTCCGCACAAGATATCCGGCACCTATCCCATACGCTTGAGCAGTGCCTAAGTTTCTCGCCATATACGGAGTGTATGCAACACTTGGACATCTCCATCATGGCTGACATTCTGGATTGGGTGCGTAGCGAATACTCGATGCTGCGCATCAAGTCATTGGTCTTAAGGATCAACAACATCTGCCGATTGACACGGTCCAGCACGGAGCTGATCTGCGGCAACAAGTTTGGGATCTGCTGTTGAAATTCTTCCTTCTCTCTGATGTTAAATCGAGTCTTACGCACGCCTGACATGATCGTGTCCCATGTTCTGCCTGATACCATGCACGACAGTAGACCATAGTGAAGTGCTGCTACACCGAGTCGCGCGCATTGTTCCTTCATGGCAACCTGATCCCTATCGAAGATCGCCAACCACAGTTTCGAGTAGTCCCATCGAAACTGATCAGAGAGATTAGCGTACAAACCATGATCCAACAGCACAATCTCCGCTTGGGAATCGCGATTGCGCACCAGAATGTTACCTGGATGCGGATCCGAATGCACGAAACCCTCGATAAAGATCATATGACTGTACAGACGACCAAGCTTGCTAGTGACTTCGTATGGATTTAACTGATTGGCACGCATGTATTCGAGATCGTTCACCTGTCCGCCATCCAGAAATTCCATTGTGAGGACGCGTGACGATGATACGTCCCAGTAAATCTTCGGCACTTTCAACCAGCGATAGTTATCGAAGAGCTTTTGTACTTTCTCAGCATTTTTACCCTCGCGAGTGAAATCCAACTCCTGTGGGATGTTTTTCTTTGTTTCGTCGACTAGCCAATCAAACTTGAAATCCGGAAATACCAGCGACGTCAGCTTCACCAAGGCCGACATAGTTTTGATATCGACGTAGGAGTTACTCTTGACGGCGCGATGTTGTACTTTAACGGCCACCACATCGCCGTTCCTGAGGACGGCTCTGTGTACTTGCGCGAGGCTGGCAGTGCCTACAGGTTCCGGATCGATGCTCTGAAATATCTGATATGGATTTTTCTTAAAATCCTCTTCGATCACAGTGAGCACATCCTTGAACGAAGATTGAGGCGCCGAACTGTGCAATACTCTCATGGTGTGCACATACTCCTGGGGCAGCAAGTAATCCAATGCACCTATATGCTGACCCACTTTAATGTAGACCCCCTTGTTGGCACAACAGAGTTCCAGCAGCTTTTGGGCTCCATACTTATGAGTGTCTGATTTCAGCTGCAGATATTCTGCCGATGTCTTATCCAATTTACTATTGTACAATTCTTTTTTATAATAACGACCTATATCGAGCACCGCAAGCGCGGCTCGACTCAGCCGTACGATTCCAATGGCTCCAATGTCATACTCGTTTGTTCTGAGAGATGCCAGAGTACCCAAGCCAATCGTTCCAATAATAGTGGCTTTAAACAGCCTTCTGGATGTAAACATTGCCACTCGATCGATATCTGTGGCAGAAATTTTTATCAAACTCTGAATGTGTTGAAAAGTATCTTGATAATTTTAATGAAATGTAATATAAACTATTATAATGTATTCTTTTAAGACATGTCAAAAGTTACATAATTAGTTAAATATATATATGTAAAAAATTATATAAAATTATGTAATGACCTGATAAGAAGTATTATCAGTTAAAATCCGCAGAAATACGACGATGATGTTTCGAGCCGGTTATCAAGGAACATCGATAAACCTTCGGGAATCGATCAACTAACCTCATCATACCTTCATGACCATCATATGTTTTAAAGTTTAAAGTCTCATTAATGGTTTTGTATTTATTTATTTTGCACACAATTTTGATCGATTCCCTGAACATATGACATTTTCATGATCTGTTACTTTCAATCGAGCCAACTTTGTCTTGCGGCCTCAACCACGTGCACGAAACGTGTCAGTGTCTAGATGGTCTAGATAATTGTAGATAATCTGTGTGTGCAATATAGATAATCTATAACAGAAAATAACACGGGGGTAAATTTACATATTTAGCACCGTTCTTACTCTATGTTAATTAATAAAAAATTTTTTTGGTTTAATTTCCTTTCCTTATTTTAATTTAGTTACCAGTTTTCTACGCCTATTTTTTTCATTGTATCTATAACAGAAAACTTGCTGATTCTTTTATGGTACGTCCCCATGGAGCGGAATTCGCAAGTGGATCAAGAAGCCAATCACAAGACTGCTTAGATAAAGGAATAATAAAAATCGTTTCGTGATTGGCTATCCGTCTGATCCGCTTACGTGATTCCGCTTCATGGGGACGCACCTTTAGAACGTGATATGTATAAACATACAACGTGACTTGTGCATTTTGTATGTTTATACATGATATGTATAAACATATAAAATGCATAAGTCACGTTAGAAAGTATTTATTCTGTATGTTAAAGTTGTACCCATCTCTGTGCCATTTCTAAAATATGTACATAAATTTTAAACTATGTCAAAGAAATATTTATACATAAAATTATAACTTATGAAATATAAAATCATGCTTTTTTTACACATAAGAACCGATCTTTTCCATTAATTTGTATATTATTAAAACTATAAAATCATTAAACAATGAATAAAGGTGAAATGTATTTCATATTTCATAATTTGATGTAATATAATAAGAGATTATATTCATATAAAAATAAATATATTTTTATATTTGAGAAATATTATTTTTGCAATATTTTATAGATTTACAACATAACTTAAAAAGTACATTGGAAAATGTAATTTTTCATCTATTGTACAAAGTAGCAATAGCTTTGAAGATTTTTATATGTTTTTATATGATTGTGTTGTATAAAAAAATATCAGTTTTTGATTTTCGTAATAATTGTAATTTATAATATATATTGAATATAAATAATATATAAACATTATGCAAAATATTTTATATATTACTCTCGAGTAATATAGTTAATACCATAATGATATACACTACATGTTAACATTTAATTGTTCCTCCTGCAGCTTGTTCCATCAACATTTTCTAAAATAAGAAGGGTTACACAACAATTAATATCAATAAAAGAAATAATATTTTCTTTCTTTTCAAGAAATATATCTCAGAATAATGCTTCTCCTTACTTTGATTTGCGGTATAGCGTTCGTCAATTGCAAGCCTAGACTTCTAGCTAGAACAACGGGAGCTGCAGTGCCCCCATAAAGACGATGAAGTGCATCGATAATGAGCATCGTCGGCACGTTGTGACGTTGCCTCAACGTCTCGTATTGACGCAAACAGTGTATATTATTGAGATGACTGCCATTCACGACAGCCTCGGCCAGAATCTGCGTCAGCACCGTCACATCGCCGAAACCCAGGTTCACGCCTTGACCGGCCAAGGGATGGACCCGATGAGCCGCATCCCTTAAACAGGAAAATATTAATGTTAAATAGAAAATAAAAAAATATTAAATTCTTACGATGATGAAATCTTTATAAACAAATTTTAGTATAATATCAATTTGTAAACAAGATTTAAAAAAATATGTTATAATTTTCGTTGAGATTTGATTCGCATCATGATCCATTTTGATGTATTTCTCCAATCAATCGTCACTCTTAATATTATAAGTTTTCTTACCCGATTAATACTGTACCAGGTTGAACGTAAGATGCGGCGTGGCCGAAACCTAAAGGAAATGCTGCTCGCGATCCTTCTATGATCGAGGCTATGGAGGGCGGCAATTGTCTGGACACGTCGGTTTGCAGGGACAGATTCGCCAGCAGTTGACGGAGCGCCTGCATTCCGCTCTCTACAATGCCGTTCTTTGGATAGATTCGCCACAACGCATCGTTTATGCTATCGACGAACTCCTCCTCCGAAATTTTCAGCAGTTCCTTCGCTTTCTCGGTCGTCACGGACCATACAAGCGAACTGAGAGAATCTGTTAACTGTTTGAGAATTATAGAATCATTATAACTAAATTAAGTATTAATCTTTCTCATGATTAAAAATGCAAAAAATTATATAATTAGATAATTGTATTTGATGATTATGTTTTTTATTATTTAATTTATTTAAATATATATTTGAATGATGTTTTGTAGACATTCTAAATTTTTTAAATCTTTATATTAGATTATTCAAGGAAGATAAATAACAGCAGTTTCGCAAAGAAGACAGTAACTTACTTTGATTTTTCCGTTTGTGTATCTTGTTATAATTATATCTAATTCAACCATAAGAGACTCTTCAACTTTTTGATAATTAATTTTTCAGCGAATCGCCAGCACAACTTATGACTTTCTAAAAGATACACAGAAACACCTACCACTAATATACATGTCATATCTGATTGCATGTCCTATTCGCGGAAATTCTATTAAGTAGGAGAACAAGTTACCGGAAGCAACGCGATGGGTCCAGTTGGGAGAAACCTTTGCCAAGCGACGATGTTCTCTGTAGGCTGAAAATGAATATTGATGAGTATTATAACTTCTCAAGAAATTCAAATATCAACAAGGAATTATTAAAGATGTTATCACCTCGGATAGTTTGAGAGTCGCAACGATGCCTAATTGATTGTATTGCCAGTTTGGATAGAGCACACCCATCGCTTTTCGTACTACTGAATTAGCGCCATCGGCACCTACCTAAAACAAATATTAAAATGATCTTTATTTTAATTTATTCTGATACCAATGTTATAAATTATATTTTAAAATTATCAATGATGTCATAAGAGGAAGTTCATTGGACTAGTGCCAAAATGGTACATGAGAAATGAGTGTTTAAAGATTTATTTTATAATAAACGTGTATCAAAATAGAAATCAGATCTGATCCAGATTTTCAACAGAAATGCTAGGAATGGTATGCATCCAATAATTAACGTAAATGCTACTCTATTTATATACAAATAATTATTGCTAAAGATTACATTCATATGTTTCAATAACAAAATATACATCACAAGTTATCATTTTGACGTTAAATTATATAAAAATGCCACCAAAATTACAAATTTTTGTTACCTGAAATGTATATAAAAAATTATATGTATATTAAAATTTATATAAAAATTATTAAAAAATATTTAATGTTATTAATATCTTATTATTATCATTAAAATAATGAAAAAGGATTATTTATCTTCTTCAGATTTGTTTATAATTTTTCTATTCGAGAAAATTATGTAACTGTTATACAGAAAATAAATATTACTAAATGTATAAAATTATAATAATTAATACATTTAGTATTAAAATATAAATAATATAAAATCATTCTTATCTTCAGCTTGTCTCTTTCTTTAACTTTTCTCTTAAATTGAATTAAAATATAAATAAATCAACTATTTTCGTCGTTCCACAAAGAGATTCTTAAAATATATTTTATCGTGTCTTGCAATTAATTAAAAATCTTTATAAAAAATATACACACGCTGGTATAATTGTTTCGAATGTGTGTGATATCATTAATTGATAAACCGATCAAATACACATTTTGCTATATATATTTGTGCATGAGATGACCATGAAAGTAGAATAATAAGATAATCATTCCCAGCAAGGATTCCATAGGATAAGTATTTGTACTGTCAGAGATTCTCTTCTTTTCTATATCTTCACCGCTAGAAAAAGAGAAGAGAAATGCGAGAGATTTATGGGAGTTAAATGTATTACATGTTTTTTTATAAAGAAATATGCGTATATAATGTGGGTATGCAGAGTCAGAACAATTACTTAAGTATCTAGCAAGCAAGAGCGCGCAGCAGGAAATCGTCAATTTAACATGGAGAAAATTAATTGCGACTGATCTAACGGATATTCCATGATGAATCATGGATTATGTATTAACATTTATGTAGAAACATCTCATACTTTGAAGCAGTATATTGTGCGCTAATCGAGGAATCAACATTGTTGGTAGAAGATAGCGACGAGCTGATTTAATTCTTTGCACTCATTAGTTTTTTCGCTTTTTAAAAAACTAGCAACTCGAAATGTTTTGATACAAAACTGATGAAATTTTTTACAGCTAATATACAAATAAATCATATATAAACTAACGGATATAGAGAACTTTGTATTTTTAAATTTCATGTAGTTTAACATTATACAAAATTTTATATTGAATATTCTATCATGATAAATAATAAATGAAATAATAAACATAATATTATAAATTTTACTATGCATCTAAATCAAACATAAACAATTATTGTCGCCTCCATTCGCCATTCGAGTTGTTACATCAAATTAAATGACGGTTCATTATGAAAGTCTTCTCAAGTGCAAAAGATCAATTTCTACCAATCGCAATGTAGATGTAATGTATGTCAATTTGATCAGAGTATTTTTTTGCGAATAAAAGACCAAAGAAAAATCTGACTATGTCGATTCTCAATAAGAACTTCGGGAGACTCTTCGGTAGTTTGACACAAGAAACAACGCCGAGGACACAGACTGTCAAAAACAAGAGATGCAACGTTATGAACAAGGTCAGTGAAAAAAATAATCATCGATGGTTTTTCGATTTTTCTATGTCTTCATGTAAATTATATTTAGAAACCACATGAGAATATTTGGATGAGCGGGAAATATAGCAGCTCCGAGGACAGCTTGGAATCTATCATATGTCACGCATTACAAGACGAGTCGACGCAGGAACAACCTTGGAGCAAGGAGGAGATCGAAGTAGCATTAACGAATCTTCCGGGAGGCAAGACAGCTTTATCTCTGATTCCTACTCTTCATGGCGATGCTCTACAAAAGGTTCTTGAAGAATTTCAATGTTTGACTCTCAACAAAAATGAGGATCGCAAGCATCGCATATCATTGTCCACGTTCGCAGATGAGTACGGAATGATAATAGCACCTTTAATTTATGCAAGTTGCATTAAGATAAAATAAATAAATAAATAAACAAAATAAATAAATAAAATAAACATAAAAAAATAGAATTTTAAAAATAGAACTTGTCATGCTTATTATAGTTTATTGTGTGCGATTTTTCTATTAGATGTTATATATTTCTGTTAATGTCTTGAAAACAATTCTATTTCTATATTGTTCGTTATTTTATTCAACTAATCTATTTTACATATAATAACATATTTTATATAAGTAAAATAATAAAATTTTCATTTGAAAATTCAATATTTTTATACCTTATAATTTAGCATTTTAAGTGTGTTAATTATTTAATATAATTAACTTAACTTTACATGCAGAGTTAAGCAAAAGACTGCATTGGTTGACGAAAATAGAGCAGCGGCTACTACGACTCCGGGACAATTACTTGCTGGATGGCCGGATACATGTCTACTGATTTCTAGCTGGCTAGGTCATGTAGAAATAGCTAAGGCTTTGTTAGACAAAGGCGTGCCAGTTTCTATGACGGACAATGATGGAAGGTTTATATCACTTATAATACATAGACATCTAAAAATTTATCATAAAAAAATTAAAACTGAACTTTTGAAAACCACAATTCATCTATTATGATAGAAATAGTTTATACTAGCTAGCAATAGTTTATCAGATACCTTGATGGATTAATCAATCAAGCCTGTAATTACAATAAATTATTGAAAAAAATTATACATTTCCACTATTATCAGGACACCGCTACATCTGGCAGCGTGCGCCACGTCCACGAAGATCGTGGAGGAGCTATTGAAACATGGTGCTGATCCATGTAAGTGGGATTTCGAGAAAAAATGCACCCCCTTGCATTGCGCTGCCGCAGCTGGTTGCGTTGCTACTGTTACATGCTTAATCAAGTCAGGCGCAGATGTGGATGCTAGAAGAAGTCCACTTTATTACGCAGTACTGAACAATGCTGTGGATTGCGTCGAAACTCTATTGCAAGCAGGTGCTTGTCCTAATAATCCACAGGTGATTCTTCATCACAACCACAATTTAAACATAAATTTAGTGGGGAAGTAATATTATAAACTAAGAATCGCTAGTGTAAAATTAAAATCGCAAACTACTAATTATCTGATACAGTGAATTATGCAGAAACAATAACTTTCTCACCAAAATAACGAATCTCTTCGGGATTCTGAGATATCTTGAATGAATTAATTACGATTCGTTGCTAGGTTTATACAAAGATGCCTCTACACGTGGCAGTTAGTTTGGGCAATGTCCACTGCACCAAATTGTTATTGGATCACGGCGCGGATGTGACAATGAAAATGGCAATCACAAAATCGACGCCCCTACACTTGGCGGCAGAAGAGGGTAGCGCGGAATGCACTAGATTACTGTTGAACGCCGGTGCGAAGACCGAGAAAAGAAACTCGCGCGGTCAAACGGCGATGCACTTGGCGACGCTGGCCCAATCTGTAGAGACACTAGACATGTTGATTAGCGCTGGTGCAAAGGTGAATGCAGAGGACAATGAAGAACGCACCCCTCTACATGCTGCGGTTGCAAGTGCCCGGAAAAGCAGCGAACTGGTCAAGACTTTAATACAAGTTTGTAAATGAAAATTCCTTTAACTCCATTAAATAGAAACTCCATTAAATAGAATACTTTTTTTGATTCAAATAATAAAAAAAAAATTATTAGCTTCACATTCTAAATAAATTTTTTCTAATAAATTATGTTAGGTAATTCTATTTATAATAAAAAATTTTAAATAATGGTTTTTATTCTAACAATAGAATTAATAAAATTTTTTTTGTGTTAAAAAGGCAGGGGCATCAATTAACAAGGCGGACAAGTTCGGTTACACGCCGCTACACATCGCGGCTTTAAACGAGAGCTCGTGTACGGTGATGATGTTGTTGTCAGAAGGTGGCGATGTAACGGCGCGTACCAAAGGCGGCGTCACCGCACTTAGCTTCATCATACGCCGTACTCCGGAGGTGTTATCGCAACTTGTGGAGCGTCTCGATCAAGCAGTCTCGTTACATGATCACGAGCTGGGCGATGTGGACTGTGATCTTCGACTGGATTTTCAACCATTGGTTCCATTGTACGGTCGTAACGAAATGGACCTGATGCTCTGCCTGATGGAGGTCGGACAAGGTCACATGCTAAAGCATCCGTTATGCGAGAGTTTTCTCTATCTAAAATGGAAGCGTATTCGCAAATTTTTCCTGCTCAGTCTTCTGTTCCATTTAATCTTTGTCGCCTTTTTCACCAGCTTCATCTGCGCGACATATTTATGGCACAATGAACAGCTGAGCAGTGTCCTCTTCTGGCCAGTACTAGGTTTTACCTGCATACTCGCGAGTAAAGAGCTCTTCCAAATTACCTATGGTATTTGCTATTATACTAAATGCTGGGAAAACTGGCTACAATGGAGCGTGATTGTGGCATCCAGCATTATCTTGATCCCTTCAGCGCGTCAATGGCAATATCACGTTGCGGCCGTAGGTATTCTGCTGGCCTGGATCGAGCTGATGATGGTGATCGGTCGTTTCCCCATATTTGGCATTTATGTACAAATGTTTACGCGAGTGTCCATTAATTTCTTCAAATTTCTTACAGCCTATATTTGTCTCATAATCGGCTTCTCTCTTAGCTTTAATGTGCTGCACGACAATTACAAGTCTTTCACTGATCCGCTGATCAGTCTGCTTAAGATGGTGATAATGATGTCCGGTGAGCTGGAATTCGAGGAAGTTTTCTTCGATAAAGAAGCGCCACTTAAGTATCCTGGCACGGCGCATCTTATGCTTCTTTGCTTTGTTATTTTGGTGACGGTGATATTAACGAATCTAATGGTTGGTCTGGCTGTGTCGGATATCCAAGAGTTACGTAGATGCGCAGGTCTTGAACGATTGGTGCGTCACGCCGAGGTAATAGCTCGTTTCGAAAACATGCTATTCTCTAAATTGATTGATTACACTCCCGCGTATAAAATAATACAAGCGTGCAGGAAAAATACGCGATTGTTGCATCCACCGCATCATTGTTCCCTCCATATTCGACCGAATGATCCGCGCGAAAAGCGTCTGCCACGAGAGCTCATGCAATCGTTGTATCGTCTGGCCGGCGAGCAGAAAATGCGACGAGCGACTTTCTGCAGCAGCATATCATCATTCGAAAACATTACCACAAATAAACCGAATCATGCGAGACTCAGCAGGATGTACAGTAATGACAGTAATCAACAGCAACTGAACGAACTCGTGGCTGAGCTAAAGAAATGTTCCCATGACGTGGCCGAGCTAAAGAAATGCTCCCACGACATCAGTATCAGGTTGGATAGCTTGACGAACAAGATAGAGAGTATCGTCCAAGATGCAGATTTGACGATGCATTTATAATATTGTTCACATTGCCTAATATTCTATATTGAACATTTGAATTGTTTTAAAAAACTCGAATGGTCTATCAAAGCAGAATCTAAAATTCAAGGTACAATGCAAAGATGTAATGCACTAAAGCAACTAACAAATCGAAAATAATTATAAATGTTTTCAGATGTAAATTTTAACGACCTAATTCGTGGAAATCCAAAAACAATTGTGGATTTAATGAACCATGTCATTTCCAAAATAATTTATATAAATATATGTGTATTTATCATAAATTATATAAAATTTAGAGTTATTTTTTTATTCTGTACTTACCAGTAATCTAGCTGTGTACCGTTTTCCTGATTCCAGTTGTACAAAGGCAAATTCGGTTGATGTCTTGGGAAGTTTTACATCGGTGATCTTAGATTCGTGAATCACAGTCACATTCTCTTTCTGAGAAAGTTGCATGTTGACTGCGTGCAACACCAGATCATTTTCAACTATGTATGCCAATTCCTCAGACAAATGATCCTCGTTGAACGTTATCATAGCGTCCGAACATGCGTCCCATACCTACTAAAAAAATTATACCTAAATTTGATAGAATTTTTAATTTCTTGTAATATGTAAAAGAGCAATAAAATAATAATAGGATGATAAATGTGATTCTTAAATACAAAATACAATCAAAAAAATAGTGAGAATGAAGACCGACCGACTAATAAGAAACAGGAAAGTAATTGTAACACAGAATCTTTGAACTATTATTTATATCAAAACAGAATATATATATATATATATATATATATATATATATATATATATATATATATATATATATACAGGGTGAGGCATCTAAAACAGGCCACCTGAATAACTCCGTTGGTAAGCCGAATACAAAAAAATTGTTCAGACAAAAGTTGTATGGTTTCAAGGGGGACATATGATGGTGTCATTAGTTTAATCTTGAAGAGCCATCCGAAGGTCACGTGAAGGTCAGCTTCAACTTTTTAAATGGGACACCTTATATGCTTTTGCATATTCTTGTAGCTCATCTCAAGAGCTTTCCAAAACACTACAATTATGTCAATTTGCAATTGACAATTACATTTTTTTGTTCGAAGCAATTATGTGTTTTCTTTACACCAATTGATTCTTCTCATTATTTTGTACATAAAAGTATTAAGGTAAAATAATCGAAAAATGAATATTTTACAAGATATTTTACGGTTTATGTAAAATTAAAAAATGATTTCAAGCCTCATAACTTGGAAAGTATTTAATGAAAACTAACATAATTGTAGTGTTTTGGAAAGCTCTTGAGATGAGCTACAAGAATATGCAAAAGCATATAAGGTGTCCCATTTAAAAAGTTGGAGCTGACCTTCACATGACCTTCGGGTGGCTCTTCAAGATTAAACTAATGACACCATCATATGTCCCCCTTGAAACCATACAACTTTTGTCTGAACAATTTTTTTGTATTCGGCTTACCAACGGAGTTATTCAGGTGGCCTGTTTTAGATGCCTCACCCTGTATATATATATATAAATACTGTTCAACAAATAAGATACTTAAAAAAGATTATATAATAGAATTGTTATCTATACTTAAACTAATTCCAGAGACAGAAGAGTGCATAAACATAATAGCCAAAATGTCTAGAAAAGTCAGACTGGTTCTCGCGTTATATAGTATAAAAAAAATAATAAAAATTACTAAAAGGACATTCTATAATCTAATTATTTTCTAATTGTGACATATTTAAACATTTGCTATCTGTACATTTGTCATATCTTTCAAATTATTAATTTCTACATAATATTAACTTATCGCACACTAACATATTAATTTCTTGTTACATTATCTAGCACATTATATTATTAATACAAACTTAATATATAATAATTTAATAATTCAAAGACAGTAGGAAAAAGAATAAAATAGTTTAAAGAACTACCTGCATTGATCGTACTGGACAATATCGTACTGCCTCTATGTGTTGCCATGCTCCTAAGCTAGACAACAAGGTACGAGTCTGTTGATTCAAAGCAACAACTCGATTGGAATATTGTTCCTGTGGTGTATATTCTCGTTTAGCATTACTTTCCAACAGCAAGACTTTCTTTCTTTCCAGTCTTCGATTATTTCCTGAAATAAATACATATTTCCACTCTTTTTCACATACATAAAGTTTGACAAAATCACTTGAAAGAACAGACAATTTTAAGTAAAATGCCTAAATACAATTACAATTCTGTCAACTGTTAACAACAATTTTTAACGACTTTTTAACAGAAAATTCGTTCTTTTTTCTTATTTTGATACCGAAAACAATATAATAACAATAACGAAAGAGCTAACCTATGGCGCACGCTAATGTTGCGCCAATCATGCCGCCACCGGTGATAATGATGTCATATTTTTCTTCGTCTTCTACGACAGTCGAATAGTTCTTCTTAGACACCGCGGATGCAATGGGAATAACATGCTTGCACTTTTGCGATAACAATGTGAAGCGGTGTGACAGAATGGTCTTCCTAAGAGCCGCCATTTTATATCGCTTAACTATCTCGAATCTCGATTAGGATCGGAACTCTTTGGAATTCCCGCTCGCGTCACATACGAGAGTGTGCGAAAGAGGTTTTTTTATTCACGATTTATAATATTATCGACAATAACAAGTCAATATGTAAAGTATATGTATATGTCAATATATTAGTCAATATGTGATGCAAAACGCTTGTATATATTAAATAAATTTTTAAAGATACGAATTAAAAATATAAATAGAACCAATGTTACATATGTTTATGACTACTATAAAGATAGTTATACAAAGTTTAATTTCAAACAGATAATAATACAAGCGTAAATATTATATTATATATTTATGTACAAATATTATATTATATTGTAAATATTATATTATATATTTATTTACAAATATAATATAGTCATATCTGTAAATTTTTTGTGGATGTAAAAGAATTATTGATTGCTTAGAAAATGTGCAATTAAAAGATAGTTCAGAAGAAAAAGAAGTAAATATAAATTACTTTTAAAGCCTCATACCAAAGTTTTGGAATGTGTTATAACAAAATAGAGTTACCAAGCCTACAATAAACAAGTATCGATATTAACAACTAAAAATCATTACAAGTATGCGAATATGTTAATTGATAAAATATTTATAAATTAATCGTATATTAAATTAATATCATAAGTAAAATTATTTTTTCTTCTAGTATACATACATTTTAAATTATGCGTTGAATGAAAAATTTTGGTTTATAATATATGTAACAATTATAATAAAAGTTTCAGCTTGTAAAATATAAAATCAAAATCTGATCGAAAATTCAAAATTTCAACACAAATGCCGGAGATAATATGCATCCAATAATAAACATAATATCTTTCTATCTATATTGTTACGTCCCTGGTTTGAGTCGCGGTCGAGTCGGCAGCCGTCAACTTCTTGATAACGAGATCTTCTTCCCTTTTCAAGACAGATCGCGAACCGGGGACTTCATTAGTAAGCGTCTTCGATATATATTGAAGTCTTCGCCTCGGGCATAACAATATATACAAACTATCCAAGTAGCAAGCACATGTCATTTTGACACTTCAAATTGATCATTCACTGATCATTCTTGACGTCAAGAGTTGAAGTTTTTATGAGTAAAAGTAACGGTCTAATGCCACAGATTCTTGACATTATGTACCGCATTTTGACGTATATATCGTCATAAAATGTACCATTTTGACGTCCTTTTCTTAGCATAATAATGTATTCGAATAAAGTTTAATAACGTTTTCGAATAAAGAAGATTAATCAGTTTGAGAGTATCATTGAACAATTATAGCCATTCTATTCTTTAAGAGAATCTTGGATCGATTAAACTGCTTTATTCAAAAACGCTGATAAAGCGACATATGAGAGATAAGCTGACCAAAAATGATCAGTTTGCAGACGCTACCTAAATATTATTGTTAAAGATTACATTTTGATACGATGTTTCAATAGCAAAATATACATCTCAGGTAACAAAAATAATCATTTTGACGCTAAATTACATGAAAATGACATCAAAATTACTACATTTCCTACCTAAAAATTTATATTTATATAAAAATGATTAAAAAATAATTAATGTTACTAATATTTTATTATTAATATCACTAAAATAACGAAGAAAACATTATTTATATTCTTCAGATTTATAATTTTTCTATAAGAAAAATCATGTAACTGTTATACAGAAAATAAATCTTTCGAAATGTATAAAGCATTATAATAATTAAAATATATATGTATATATTTAGTACTAAAATATGAATAGTATAAATTAACATTTTCTTAATTAGATTGTTTCCTTCTTTAACATGTTTCTTAATTTGAAGTGGAAATAAATCAACCGTTTTCGTTATACAAACGAATTCTTAAAATATATTTTTTCGTGTCTTTCAATTAATTAAAAATCTTTTTTAAAAAAATACGCATGCTAGTATGACTGTTTCGAATGATATTATTAATAATAAGATAATCGTTCCCAGCAAGGATTCCATAGGAAAAGTATTTGTACTGTTGAAGATTTTTTTCTTTTCTATCTTCGCCGTTGGAAGAATAGGAGAGATTTATGGGAGCTATATAAATCTATTACATGTATTTTAAAAACATATATGCGTATATATTGTGGATATACAAAAGGACAGAATTATCACTTAAGTATCCAGCGAGCAAGAGAACACGGCAGGAAATCATCGATTAAATCATCGAGAAAATTAGTTATCTTAATTAAAATTAGTTACGGATCTCATACTGTGAAGCAGTATATTGCGCGTTTTGCGGAATCATTGGTAGAAGATAGCGTCGAGCTGATTTAATCCTTTGCATTTCATAGTTTTTTCGCTTTTTAAAAAACTAGCAACTCAAAGAATTTCGATTAAAAAGTGATGAAATTTTTTACAACTAACATAAAAATAAATCATATATAAATTAACAGATATGGAGAATTGTTGTAGAGAAATATTGCATTTTTCAAAAGTTCATGTATTTTTACATTGTACAAAACTTTATATCGAATATTCAATTATTATGATCAATAATAATTGAAATAATAAGTACAAATCTTTAGGAAGTATGCCTAAATAAAACACAAACAGTTATTGTCGCCTCTCACTCGCCATTCGAGTTGCTATCTCAAATCAAACGACAATTGATTGTGTCGCTTCTCAAGTGCAAAAGAAATTCTATATGAATCACAATATGACTGTAATGTATGTCAATTTATTTGATCCGGGTATCTTTATAAGAATGCGGATCCACAGAAAAATATCACTTTGTCGAGTTCCATTAAGAAGAAGACTTCGAGAGATTCTTCGGCAGTCGTTTGACACGAGAAACAACGCCAAGGATATAGATTGTAAAAACAAAAGTTCTGTTATGGATGGAAACGTTAGTGGAAAGGTCAGTGAAAAAAACAATCATCGATGGTCCTTCGATTTTTCTATGTGTGATGTATTTTATATTTAGGACGAATACGTGAATATTTCGCCCAGAACGATACCATATCCGCGGACATATACCAGCTCCGAAAGCAGCTTGGAATCTATCATATGTTATGACACAAGACGAGACGCATCAAAAGACGAGCTGACGACGCGGAAACAACCTTGGAGCAAGGAGGAGATCGAAGAAGCATTATCGAAACTTCCGGGAGGCGACATAGCTTTATCTGTGATTCCTATTCTTCATGGCGATGCTCTACAAAAGGTTCTGGAAGAATTTCAATATGTGACTTTCAACAAAAATGAGGATCGCAAGCATAACATATCGTTGGCTACGTCCGCAGATGAGTACGGAATGATATTAGCGTTTCTAATTTATGCGTGTTGCATTAAGATAAAATAAATAAATAAATAATGATAAAAAATAGAATTTTAAATAAAATTTGTCATGCTTCTTAATTTATTTATTGTGTATATTCCTATTTGATGTTACATATTTCTGTTAATAAAAATTGTTTCTGTTGTTAAAAATCATTCTATTTCGACATTGATCATTTTATTTAACTAATCTATTTTATATATATTAAGATACTTTATATAAATAAAATAATAAAATTTTTAATTACAATATTTTATATTTTAATATCTTTATAATTTAGCATTTTATATGTTAATTAACTATCTAGTATAATTAACTTAAAACTTTACATGCAGAATTGAGCAAGAGACTGTATTGGCTGACGAAAATAGAGCAGTGGATACGACTCCGGTACAATTACTCGTAGAATGGCCGGATACGTGTCTACTGATTGCTAGCTGGCTAAGTCATGTAGAAATAGCTAAGGCTTTGTTAGACAAAGGCGCGCCAGTTTCTACGACGGACAATGATGGAAGGTTTATATCACTTATAATATATAGAAGTCTAAATATTTATCATCAAAAAATTGAAGCTAAACTTTTGAAAACCATAATTCATTTTTTACGATAAGAATAATTTATTTACTAGCTAGTAGTAAATTATCAGATACCTTGATTCATTAATCAATTAAGCCTGTAATTATAATAAATCATTGATAAAAATCAAACATTTCCACGATCTGCAGGACACCGCTACATCTGGCAGCATGTACCACGTCCACGAAGATCGTGGAGGAGCTACTGAAACATGATGCTGATCCATGTCAGTGGGATTTCGAGAAGAAATGTACCCCGTTGCATTGCGCTGCCGCAGCTGGTTGCGTTGCTACTGTTAAATGCTTGATCAACTCAGGGGCACATGTGAATACTAAAAGAAGTCCACTTTATTACGCCGTGCTGAACAATGCTGTGGATTGCGTCGAAACTCTACTGCTAGCAGGTGCTCGTCCTGATAAACCACAGGTGCTTCTTCATCACAACCACAATTTAAAGATAAATTTAGTAGAGAAGTAATATTATATACCAAAAATTGCTGGAAAATTAAAAAGGCATACTACTATAATTATCTGATACAACGAATTTTGCAGAAACAATTAATTTCTTATCAAAGTAACGTATCTCTTCTAGATATATTTGTGATATCTTCAATGAATTAATTATGATTCGTTGATAGGTTTATACAAAGACGCCTTTGCATGTGGCGGTTATTTTGGGCAATATCCATTGCGTCAAATTGTTGTTGGATCACGGTGCGAATGTGACCATTCAAATGAGAACAACGAAATCGACACCTCTACACTTGGCGGCGGAAAAAGGTAATGCGCGATGCACTAAATTACTGTTAGATGCCGGCGCAAAGACTGAGACAAAAAACTCGAATGGTCAAACGGCAATGCACTTGGCAACGCTCGCCCAATCTGTAGAGACGATAAAGGAGTTGATTAGATTTGGCGCAAAGGTGGACGAAGAGGATAATGAAGGACGCACTCCTCTACATGCTGCAGTTCCAAGGAAAAGCAGCGAACTGATCAAGATTTTAATACAAGTTTGTACATGAAAATTTCTTTAACTCACTGGATAGAATACCTTCTTTTAATTAAAATAATAAAAGAATTAATTTCAAATTTTAAACAGATTTTTTAAATAAATTACGTTAAGTAATTCCATTTATGTAATAAAAAAATTTAAGTAATGGTTTTTATTCCAACGATAAAATTAATAAAATTATTTTTTGGTTAAAAAGGCAGGCGCATCAGTTAATAAAGCGGACAAATTCGGTTTCACGCCGCTGCACATCGCTGCTTTGAATGAGAGCTCGCACACAGTGGAGATGTTGTTGTCAAAAGGTGGCGATGTAACGGCGCGTACTAAAAACGGCGTCACCGCTCTTAGCTTCATCGTACAACGTACTCCGAAGGTGTTATCGCAACTTGTGACGCGTCTCGATCAAGCAGTCTCATTAAACGATCATGAGCTTGGCGATATGGACTATAAATTGCGAGTGGATTTTCGACCATTGGTTCCATTGAACTGTCGCAACGAAACGGAACTGATGCTCTGTCTGGTGGAGGTCGGTCAAGGTCACATACTAAAGCATCCATTGTGCGAGAGTTTTCTCCATCTAAAATGGAAGCGTATTCGCAAGTTTTTCGTGCTCAAACTTCTGTTCCATTTAATCTTCGTCGCTTTCTTCACCGGCTTCGTCTGCGCGAGATATGCGTGGGACAAAAAAGATGAGCAGCTGAGCGGAGTCCTCTTCTGGCCAGTATTAACTATTACATGCTTATCTGCAAGTAAAGAGATCTTCCAAATGACCTATGGTATTTACTATTATACTAAACGTTGGGAAAACTGGTTACAGTGGAGCGTGATAGTGGCATCCAGCCTCATACTGATTTCGCATCATACTGATTCCCCGCATCGATGGCAATATCACGTTGCTGCCGTAGGTATTCTACTGGCCTGGATCGAGCTGATGATTGTGATCGGTTGTTTTCCCACGTTTGGCCTCTATGTGCAAATGTTTACGCGAGTGTCCATTAATTTCTTCAAATTTCTCATAGCCTACTTTTGTCTCATAATCGGCTTCACTTTTAGTTTTAATGTGCTACATCGCAATCACGATTCCTTCGCTAATCCGTTGATCAGTCTGCTTAAGACGATGGTTATGATGTCCGGTGAGCTGGAATTCGAGGATATTTTCTTCAAGGATAAAGATGACAAAGATAAAGATGACAAAAATAAAGATAACAAAGATAAAAATGACAAAGATAAAGATGAGTCACTAGAGTATCCTGGCACGGCGCATGTTATGCTTCTTTGCTTCCTTATCCTGGTGACAGTGATACTAATGAATCTAATGATTGGTTTGGCTGTGTCGGATATCCAGGAGTTACGTAGACGCGCGGGTTTCCAACGATTGGTGCGTCATGCCGAGGTAATAGCTCGTTTCGAAAATATGCTGTTCTCTAAGTTGATTGATTACACTCATCCGTGTAAAATAATACAAGCGTGCAGAAAGAATACACTATTGTTGTATCCACCGGATCGTTACACCCTGCATATTCGGCCGAATAATCCGCGTGAAAAGCGTCTGCCACGAGAGCTCATTCAGTCGTTGTATCGTTTGGCCAGTGAGCAGAAAATGCGACGAAAAATTTTTCGTGGCGGCGCGCCACAACCCCAAAACGTCGCGGCGAATAAATCGAATTATATAAACAGGATATACAGCAATGACGGTAATCAACAGCAACTTGACGAACTGGTGGCCGAGCTAAACGAATGTTCTCATGAGATCAGTATCAGGTTGGATAGCTTGACGAACAAGATAGAGAGTATCGCCCGAGAGCAGATTTGACGATGCATTTATAACATTATTAATATTGCCCAATATTCTATCGTCGAACATTTGAATTGCTTTAAAAAAGGGAAATTGGGACTCGGATGGTCTATCGAAACAGAATCTAAAATTCTAGGTAAAACGCAAAGATGTGATATACTCAAGCAACTAACAAATCGAAAATAATTATAAATGTCTTCAGATGTAAATTTTAACGATCTAATTTGTGATAATCCAAGAACAGTTGTGGATTTAACGAATCATGTCATTTCCAGTATGATTTATATAGATATATAGATATATGTATTATCATAAATTATATAAAATATAGAGTTATATTTTCAGTATGATTTATATAGATATATAGATATATGTATTATCATAAATTATATAAAATATAGAGTTATATTTTTTTATTCTGTACTTACCAGTAATCCAGCTGTGTACCGTTTTCCTGATTTCTCTTTAGAGACAGATTTGTTGATGTCTTGGGGAGTTTTACATCATTTAATTGATCTTAAATTCGTGAATCACAGTCACATTCTTTTTCTGAGAAAGTTGCGTGTTGACTGCGTGCAAGTCATTTTCAACTATGTATGCCAATTCCTCAGACAACTGATCCTCATTGAACGTTATCATAGCGGCCGAACATGAGTACCATACGTAAGAATGGAGAAGAATGAAGAATGTTTTCGGTGTGTTGCCAGATTCTTTAAAAATGAAAATATCATAGTTAAACAGAAAATTAAAAAATATTGAATGTTTACAATGATGATAATAAAATCTTTATAAAGAAATTTCAATACAATTTTTATTTTAAGATAAATTTTGAGAAATATGTTGTCATAATTTTCATTGAGAGTTGATTCGTGTTTTAATACATGATCCATTCAGCTATATTTCTTTAATCGATGTCACTCTTAATATTGCAAATTATCTTACTCCTTCAACACTGTGATTGTATGCAGTGATTGTTGCTACGGAGGCAATTGCATATCGTTCTACCGGGATAGATTTGTAAGTAGTTAGTGAAACGCCTGCATTCTGCTCATGATACCGTTCTTCGGATAGTTTTGCCATATTGTTTATAAACTATTCTTTCAAAATTTTCAGCGGTTTCTGCTCTCTCTCTCTCGGTTGTCACGAACAAAACGAACTGATAAAATCTGTATGAGTATTATATAGATAGAATTACACATTATCGTGGTTAAATCAAGTATTAATCTTTTTTATTTTTTATAAAAATCCAAAAAATTGTAACAATCGTGCTGCCAGTTTGGATAGGACATATACATCGTTTTTCGCACTGTCGAATTACTAACGACATCCATTTAAAACAAATAAGTATATTCTTAATAAGTATATTTATTTTATTATGACATCAATGCTACAAATTATATCTTAAAATTACCAACGACGTCATGAGATGATATTCATCGGGATAAAATGCTAAAATGACACATGTTGTGAAAAACGAGTTTAACGATTTATAATAAAAGTTAGGAAAATAGAAGTCAGATCTGATCTAAAATTTAAAATTTCAACACAAATGCTGGAGATGATATGCATCCAATAGTAAACATAATATCATTCTATTTATATACACAAAGTATCCAAGTAGCAAACACATTTCATTTTAACATTTCAAATTGATCATTTACTGACTATTCTTGACGTTACGATATGACGTTTTTATGACGTAAAAGTAACGTCCAATGTCACAGAATATTGACATCATAACATGTATCGAATTTTGAACGTCTTTTTCTTAGCATAATAATGTATTTAATAACGTTTTCAAATAAAGCAGATTAATCAATTCAAAAGCACCATTGAACAATTATAGCTATTCTATTCTTTAAAAGAATCTTGGATAGATTAAACTGATTTATTCAAAAACGCTGGTAAAGCAACATATGTTCAAAAATGATCAGTTTGGATACGTCAAAATGATGTTGCTACCAGGATATTATTATTAAAGATTACATTTTGATACGATATTTCAATAACAAAATATACATCTCAGGTAGCAAATGTAATTATTTTGACGCTAAATTACATGAAAATGACATCAAAATTACTACTTTTTCTACCTGAAAATTTATATTTATATAAAATATATATTTATATTTATATAAAATATATTTATATTTATATATTAATATAAATATAAATTTTATATTAATATATTTATATATTAATATAAAAATTTATATTTATATAAAATATATTTATATAAAATTATTAAAAAATAATTAATGTTACTAATATTTTATTATTAATATCACAAAAATAACGAGGAAAACATTATTTATCTCCTTCAGATTTATCATTTTTCTATGAAAAAAATCATGTAACTGTTATACAGAAAATAAGTCTTTCGAAATGTATAAAGCATTATAATAATTAAAATATATAGGTATATATTTAGTACTAAAATATGAATAGTATAAATTAGCATTTTCATAATTAGATTGTTTCCTTCTTTAACTTGTCTCTTAATTTGAAGTGGAAATAAATCAACTGTTTTCGTTGTACAAACGAATTCTTAAAATATATTTTTTCGTGTCTTTCAATTAATTAAAAATCTTTTTTAAAAAAATACGCACGCTGGTATGACTGTTTCGAATAATATTATTAATAATAAGATAATCGTTCACAGAAAGGATTCCATAGGAAAAGTATTTGTACTGTTGAAGATTTTCTTTTTTTCTATCTTCGCCGTTGGAAGAATAGGAGAAATTTATGGGAGCTATATAAATCTATTACATTTTAAAAACATATATGCGTATATATTGTGGATATACAAAGAGACAGAATTATCACTTAAATATCCAGCGAGCAAGAAAGCACGACGGGAAATCATCGAGAAAATTAGTTGTACGGATCTCATACTGTGAAGCAGTATATTGCTCGTTTCGCAAAATCAACATTGGTAGAAGATAGCGTCGAGCTGATTTAATCCTTTGCATTTCATAGTTTTTTCGCTTTTTAAAAAACTAGCAACTCAAAGAGTTTTGAACTAAAAAGTGATGAAATTTTTTACAACTAACATAAAAAATAAATCATATATAATATATAAATTAACAGATATGGAGAATTGTTGTAGAGAAATATTGCATTTTTCAAAAGTTTATGTATTTTTACATTGTACAAAACTTTATATCGAATATTCAATTATTATGATCAATAATAATTGAAATAATAAGTACAAGGCTTTACTAGGAAGTATGCCTAAATCAAACACAAACAGTTATTGTCGCCTCTTACTCGCCATTCGAGTTTATATCAAATCAAACGACGATTGATTGCGAATGTCGCTTCTCAAGTGCAAAAGATCAATTTCTATATGAATTTGCAATATGACTGTAATATATGTCAATTTATTTGATCCGGGTATCTTTATAAGAATGTGAGTCCACAGAAAAATGTCACTTTGTCGAGTTCCAGTAAGAAGAAGACTTCGAAAGATTCTTCGGCAGTAGTTTGACACAAGAAACAACGCCAAGGATACAGATTGTAAAAGCAAAAGTTCTGTTATGGATGGAAATGTTGTGAACAAGGTCAGTGAAAAAATCTATCATCGATGGTCCTTCGATTTTTCTATGTGTGATGTAAATTATATTTAGGAAGAATACGTGAATATTTCGCTCAGCTCGATAACATGTCCGCGGACATATACCAGCTCCGAAAACAACTTGGAATCTATCATATGTCATGACACAAGACGAGACGCATCAAAAGACGAGCCGACGACGGGGAAACAACCTTGGAGCAAGGAGGAGATCGAAGTAGCATTATCGAAACTTCCGGGAGGCGACATAGCTTTATCTCTGATTCCTACTCTTCATGGCGATGCTCTACAAAAGGTTCTGGAAGAATTTCAACGTGTGACTCTCAACAAAAATGAGGATCGCAAGCATAACATATCGTTGGCCACGTCTGCAGATGAGTACGGAATGATATTAGCGTTTCTAATTTATGCGTGATGCATTAAGATAAAATAAATAAATAAATAATGATAAAAAAATAGAACTTTAAATAGAATTTGTCATGCTTCTTAATTTATTTATTGTGTATATTCTTATTTGATGTTACATATTTCTGTTAATAAAAATTGTTTCTGTTGTTAAAAATCATTCTATTTCTACATTGATCATTTTATTTAACTAATCTATTTTACATATATTAAGATACTTTATATAAATAAAATAATAAAATTTTTAATTACAATATTTTAATTACAATATTTTAATATCTTTATAATTTAGCATTTTATATGTTAATTAACTATCTAGTATAATTAACTTAAAACTTTACATGCAGAATTGAGCAAAAGACTGTATTGGCTGACGAAAATAGAGCAGCGGATACGACTCCGGTACAATTACTCGCAGAATGGCCGGATACGTGTCTACTGATTTCTAGCTGGCTTGGTCATATAGAAATAGTTAAGGCTTTGTTAGAAAAAGGCGTGCCAGTTTCTACGAGGGACAATGACGGAAGGTTTATATCACTTGTAATATATAAAAGTGTAAAAATTTATCATCAAAAAATTGGAGCAAACAATAATTCATGTATTATGATAGAAATAGTTTATACTAGCTAGCAGTAGATTATCAGAAACCTTGATTAATTAGTCAATTAAGCCTGTAATTATAAATCATTGATAAAAATTAAACATTTATACTATCTCTAGGACACCGCTACATCTGGCAGCGTGTACCACGTCCACGAAGATCGTGGAGGAGCTATTGAAACATAGTGCTGATCCATGTGAGTGGGATTTCGAGAACAAATATACCCCGTTGCATTGCGCTGCCGCAGCTGGTTGCATTGCTACTGTTAAATGCTTGATCATGTCAGGCGCAAATGTGCATACCAAAAGAAGTCCACTTTACTACGCTGTGCTGAACAATGCTGTGGATTGCGTCGAAACTCTACTGCACGCAGGTGCTTCTCCTAATAATTCACAGGTGCTTCTTCATCACAACCACAATTTAAAGATAAATTTATTGGAGAAGTAATATTATATACCAAAAATTGCTGGAAAATTAAAAACGCAAACTAATTATATGATACAGCGAATTTTGCAGAAACAATTAATTTTTTACCCAAGTAACGTATCTGTTCTAGATATATTTGAGATATCTTCAATGAATTAATTATGATTTGTTGATAGGTTTATACAAAGACGCCTTTGCATGTGGCGGTTACTTTGGGCAATGTCCATTGCATCAAATTGCTGTTGGATCACGGTGCGAATGTGACAATTCAAATGGGAACAACGAAATCGACACCTCTACACTTGGCGGCGGAAAAAGGTAACGCGCGATGCACTAAATTATTGTTGGACGCCGGCGCAAAGACTGAGACAAAAAACTCGAATGGTCAAACGGCAATGCACTTGGCAACCCTCGCCCAATCCGTAGAGACGATAAAGGAGTTGATTGGATTTGGCGCAAAGGTGGACGAAGAGGATAATGAAGAACGCACTCCTCTACACTATGCTGCAGTTCCAAAGGAAAACAGCGAAGAACTGATCAAGATTTTAACACAAGTTTGTACATGAAAATTTCTTTATCTCACTGGATAGAATACCTTCTTTTAATTAAAATAATAAAAAAATTAATTTCACATTTTAAATAGATTTTTTAAATAAATTACTTTAAGTAATTCCATTTATGTAATAAAAAAATTTAAATAATGGTTTTTATTCCAACGATAGAATTAATAAAATTATTTTTTGGTTAAAAAGGCAGGCGCATCAGTTAACAAGGCGGACAAATTCGGTTTCACGCCGTTGCACATCGCTGCTTTGAACGAGAGGTCGCACACAGTGGGGATGTTGTTGTCAGAAGGTGGCGACATGACTGCGCGTACTAAGGACGGTGACACCGCTCTTAACTTCATCGTACACTATACTCCGGATGCGTTATTGCAATTTAAGACGCGTCTCGATCAAGCAATCTCCCTACATGTTGACGGGCTGAACGATGTAAACTGTGAATTGCAATTAAATTTTAGACCTTTGATATCAAGCGGTCACAGAGAAATGGATTTGATGCTCTGTCTGGTGGAGGACGATCAAGGTCACATACTAAAGCATCCATTGTGCGAGAGTTTTCTCCATCTAAAATGGAAGCGTATTCGCAAGTTTTTTGTGTTCAGTCTTCTGTTCCATTTAATCTTCGTCGCTTTCTTCACCGGCTTCGTCTGCGCGACATATGTGTCGGAAGAACAGGAGTTGAGCGCAGTTATCCTCTCTTGGCCATTATTAGGTTTTATCTGCTTATCTGCGAGTAAAGAGATCTTCCAAATTACCTATGGTATTTACTATTATACTAAACGTTGGGAAAACTGGTTACAGTGGAGCGTGATAGTGGCATCTAGCCTCATACTGTTTTCGCCCGCGCATCAATGGCAATATCACGTTGCTGCCGTAGGTATTCTGCTGGCCTGGATCGAACTGATGATTGTGATCGGTTGTTTTCCCATGTTTGGCCTCTATGTGCAAATGTTTACGCGAGTGTCCATTAATTTCTTCAAATTTCTCACAGCCTACTTTTGTCTCATAATCGGCTTCTCCCTTAGCTTTAATGTGCTGCACCGCAAATACAAGTCTTTCGTTGATCTGCTGATTAGTATGCTTAAGATAATAATTATGATGTCCGGTGAGCTGGAATTCGAGGATATTTTCTTCGATAAAGATGACAAAGGTAAAGATGTGCCACTTGAGTATCCTGGGACGGCGCATGTTATGCTTCTTTGCTTCGTTATCCTGGTGACAGTGATACTAATGAATCTAATGATTGGTATGGCTGTGTCGGATATCCAGGAGTTACGTAAACGCGCGGGTTTCCAACGATTGGTGCGTCATGCCGAGATAATAGCTCGTTTTGAAAATATGCTGTTTTCTAAGTTGATTGATTACACTCATGCATGTAAAATAATACAAGTCTGCAGAAAGAATACACTATTGTTGTATCCACCGGATCATTATGCCCTGCATATTCGGCCGAATGATCCGCGTGAAAAGCGTCTGCCACGAAAGCTCATTCAGTCGTTGTATCGTTTGGCCAGCGAGCAGAAAATGCGACGAAAAATTTTTCGTGGCGGCGCGCCACCACCTCAAAACGTCGTCGCGAATAAATCGAATTATATGAACAGGATATACAGCAATGACGGTAATCAACAGCAACTTGACGAACTTGTGGCCGAGCTAAAGGAATGTTCCCATGAGATCAGTATCAGGTTGGATAGCTTGACGAACAAGATAGAGAGTATCGCCCGAGAGCAGATTTGACGATGCATTTATAACATTATTAATATTGCCCAATATTCTATCGTCGAACATTTGAATTGCTTTAAAAAGGGGAAATTGGGACTCGGATGGTCTATCGAAACAGAATCTCAAATTCTAGGTAAAACGCAAAGATGTGATATACTCAAGCAACTAACAAATCGAAAATAATTATAAATGTCTTCAGATGTAAATTTTAACGATCTAATTCGTGACAATCCAAGAACAGTTGTGGATTTAACGAATCATGTCATTTCCAGTATGATTTATATAGATATATGTATTATCATAAATTATATAAAATATAAAGTTATATTTTTTTATTCTGTATTTATCAATAATCCAGCTGCGTACCGTTTTCCTAATTTTATCTCTATAGAGACAGATTCGGTCGTTGTCTTGGGGAGTTTTACATCGGTGATCTTAGATTCGTGAATCACAGTCTCATTCTCTTTCGGAGAAAGTTGCGTGTTGACTGCGTGCAAAATTACTACTTTTTCTACGTGAAAATTTATATTTATATAAAAGTTATTAAAAAATATTTAATGTTACTAATATTTTATTATAGTGATATATATATATATATATATATCACTAAAATAACGAAGAAAACATTATTTATCTTTCTCAGATTTATAATTTTTCTATGAGAAAAATCAAGGTTGGAAATAACGCGTTACTTGTAATGTCGTTACTGTTACAGTTACATTTTTCGGTAACTGTAACGGTAACGATGTTACAAATTTCGTTTGTAACGAAAAAAGTAACTTCGTTACATTTTTCGATAACGAGTAACGAATTTAACAGTTATTTTTATCGTTACATTTTGCAAATTTACTCGGTGTAATTTTCATTCAAAGGAGAGTGTGGAATGCAGAATCACATGTACGTAAACGCGTCATTGGACACATGTGAAAGAAAAAGTTCAGTGAAGATGTTCAGTATCGGTGGATCTGTATTAACGCCATAAAGAGGTCAGCTACATAATGACACAGTTGAACAGCAAATTCTTTTAAAAATTAATAAAGAATTTCGATAAAATTTAGTAATGTTTTCATTTATTTTAAAATAAATCTTGTAATATTTAATAAACTTATATTTAAAAAAGTAACGAAAATTGTAATGACGAAAATGGTAACGAGTTACTTTCGAAAATTGGTAACGAATAACGGTAACGAGTTATTTTTTAGAAAAAAGAACAGTAACAATAACGAATTACTTTCAAAAGTAACTTTCTCAACCCTGAGAAAAATCATGTAACGGTCATACTGAAAAAAAATCTTTCGAAATATATAAAACATTATAATAATAAAAATATATATGTATATATTTAATACTAAAATATAAATAGCATAAAATTATCATTTTCTTGATCAGATTGTCTCCTTCTTTAACTTTTCTCAGGATGTTTTGTACCTATTTTCAAAATATTGAGAATTTAATGAAAATTGTACGGAATATCCTTACATGTGTTCAAAATCTTCAGTACAATTTTAAAATCGATTCACTAAAACAGTTACTAGTTAGAAGGATTTTAATTTGCACTGAATTAACATGTGTTCTTATGGGGAACATATGACCACGTCGATTCAAATGACAAAAACACATGGAAATAATATTCAGAATTTGTTTAAAATTTGCAAAAGTTTAGAGGAAATATTTGGTCAAATAATATTATATAAGTACTAAGTGGTTAAAAAGATATTAAATATAATTTAATGTAGTTAGTCATGTATCTGTCACAAGGCGAAATTCTCTGCCAAAAGTTAATCATTTCGATTAACAAAATTTGGAATATTTCAGTAATAAATATCAAAAAATACATCTCTGGACTGTAGCTAAGATCAAAGTATAATATTCCACACAATTTCTCATACTCAAAATACATCAAAAGTGGATTATCGGATATGGATATTCGTTAATATTGATTTTCTTTATATTGATTTTCTTAATATTGAGCTACTTTTGCTGGGATTGTACATACAAAACATCCTTAACTTAAAGTGGAAATAAATCAACCGTTTTCGTCGTACAAACGGATTCTTCAAATATATTTTGATAATTATATACATTAGTGATTCCTCACCGATTTCAATGAAATATGTTGTCGGGAGCATGATTCTAAACAACTTTTCTTTATACATGTTACTGCCTTAGTTTCCGAGATATTTATAAAAACATTTTATGGTTTTGCAATATTGTCACCATTATGAAATAACTCTTTTTTGCACCATATATTCAGTTTTTGACAAAATAATAATGATGTAAATATTATGATTGAGGTATCACGCGACGCTGTTTTTTTATTGACGCAAATTTTTTTACTGACTTTTTATACTTAGAGAATAATGTAAATGACAATTTTTAGTCAGGGGAGGCCCCAATTAAAAAGTTATAAATAAAAAAAGAGGTGTAAAGCCAAGCGGCGGTAACATGTAAGGAAAAGTTGTTCAGAATCATGCTTCCAACAACATATTTCAAGATCATTGAAATCGGTGAGGAATCGCTAATATAAGTATATAATTACCTATATTTTTTCGTGTCTTTCAAATAATTAAAAATCTTTCTTAAAAAGATACACACGCTGGTATAACTGTTTCGAATGATATCATTAATAATAAGATAATCATTCTTAGCATGGATTCTATGGGAAAAGTATTTGTACTGTCGAAGATTTTCTTCTTTTCTGTCTTCGCCGTTAAAAGAATAAGAGAGATTTATGGGAGCTATATAAATGTATTACATGTATTTTACAAACACATATGCGTATATGTATTTTACAAATACATATGCGTATATGTTGTGGATATACAAAGAGTCAGAACTATCACTTAAATATCCAGCAAGCAAGAGCGCGCGACAAGAAATCATCGATTCATCGAAAAAATTAGTTGCACTGATCTCATACTATGAAGCAATATATTGCGTGTTAATCGCGAAATCAACATTATTGGTAGAAGATAGCGTCGAGCTGATTTAATCCTTTGCATTTGATAGCTTTTTCGCTTTTTAAAAAACTAGCAACTCAAAGTGTTTTGATAAAAACGTGATGAAATTTTTTATAGCCAACATAAAAATGAATCATATATAAATTAACAGATGTAGAGAATTGTTGTAGATAACTATTGCATTTTTCAAAAGTTCATGTATTTTTACATTATAGAAAACTTTATATCGAATATTAAATTATTATAATCAATAATAATTGAAATAATAAGTACAAGGCTTTACTAGGAAAGGCACCTAAATTAAACGTAAACAGTTATTGTCGCCTCTCACTCGTCATTCGAGTTGTTATATTAATTGAAATGACGACTGATTGTCGATTGTACGTCACTTCTCAAGTGCAAAAATGATATCTAATTCTCAATCTGTAATGTATGTCAATTTATTTGATCCCCTGACTATATCTTTATAAGAAAGCGAGTCCACAGAAAAATATCACTTTGTCGAGTGTCAGTAAGAAGAAGACTTCGAGAGATTCTTCGGCAGTCGTTTGACACGAGAAACAACGCTCCGGACTGTAAAAACAAGTGGTTTAACATTATGAACAAGGTCAGTGAAAGAAACAATCATAGATGGTCTTTCGATTTTTCTATGTCTTGATGTAAATTATATTTAGGGAGAATACGAGAATATTTACGTGAGACGGATAACATACTTGTGGACATATAGCAGTTCCGAGGGCAGCTTGGAATCTATCATATCACATCATATAGCATCACAAGACGAGTCGACGAACGAACGAACGACGCAGAAACAACCATGGAGCATGGAGGAGATCGAAGTAGCATTATCGAATCTTCCGGGAGGCGACATAGCTTTATATTTGATTCCTACTCTTCATGGCAATACTCTACAAAAAGTTCTGGAAGAATTTCAATGTGTGACTCTCAACAAAAATGAGGATCGCAAGCATAGCACATCGTTGGCTACGTCTGCAGATGAGTACGGAATGATATTAGCATTTCTAATTTATGCGTGTTGCATTAAAATAAAATAAATAAATAAAAATATATAAACAAATGAAGATAGAAAAGTAGAATTTTAAATGGAATTTGTCATGCTTCTTATAATTTATTTATTATGTGTATATTTCTATTTGATGTTATATATTTCTCTTGATAAAAATTGTTTCTGTTGTTAAAAATCATTATATTTCTACGTTGATCATTTTATTTAACTAATCTATTTTACATATATTAAGATATTTTATATAAATAAAATAATAAAATATTTAATTATAAAATTTAATATTTTTATACTTTTAAATTTATTAATTTTATATGTTAATTAACTATCTAGTATAATTGACTAAAAATTTACATGCAGAACTGAACAAAAGAATATATTGTTTGACGAAAATAAAGCTACGACTCCAGGACAATTACTCGCAGAATGGCCGAATACGTATCTACTGATTTCTAGCTGGCTGGGTCATATAGAAATAGTTAAGGTTTTGTTAGAAAAAGGCGTGCCAGTTTCTACGAGGGATAATGACGGAAGGTTTATATCATTTATAATATATAAAAGTGTAAAAATTTATCATAAAAAAATTGAAGCTAAATTTTTCAAAACAATAATTCATGTATTATGATAGAAATAGTTTATACTAGCTAGCAGTAGATTATCCGATACCTTGATTCATTAATCAATTAAGCCTGTAATTATAAATCATTGATAAAAATTATACATTTACACTATCTACAGAACATCGCTACATCTGGCAGCGTGTACCACGTCCACGAAGATCGTAGAGGAGCTATTGAAACATGGTGCTGATCCATGTGAGTGGGATTTCCAGAAAAAATTTACCCCGTTGCATTGCGCTGCCGCAGCTGGTTGCGTTGCTACTGTTAAATGCTTGATCATGTCAGGCGCAAATGTGCATGCCAGAAGAAGTCCACTTTATTACGCCGTGCTGAACAATGCTGTGGATTGCGTCGAAGCTCTACTGCAAGCAGGTGCTTCTCCTAATAATCCACAGGTGCTTCTTCATCACAGTCATAATTTGAACATAAATTTATTGAAGAAGTAATATTATAAACCAAAAATCACTATTGTAAAATTAAAATAGCGAACTACTAATTATCTGATACAACGAATTATGCAGAAACAATTACTTTCTCACCAAAGTAACGAATCTCTTCGGGATTCTGAGATATCTTCAATGAATTAATTATGATTCGTTCATAGGTTTGTACAAAGATGCCTTTGCATGTGGCGGTTATTTTGGGCAATGTCTATTGCATCAAGTTGCTGTTGGACTACAACGCGGATGTGACAGTCAAAATGGGAATCAGGAAATCGACGCCTCTACACTTGGCGGCGGAAAAAGGTAACGCGGAATGCATTCAATTACTGTTGGACGCCGGCGCAAAGACTGAGACAAAAAATTCGAATGGTCAAACGGCGATGCACTTGGCTACGCTCGCCCAATCTGTAGAGACGATGAAAAAGTTGATTAGATTTAGCGCAAGAGTGAACGAAGAGGATAATAAAGGACGCACTCCTCTACATGCTGCGGTTCTAATTGCCTGGAAAAGCAGCGAACTGGTCAAGATTTTAATAAATGTTTGTAAATGAAATTTTCTTTAACTCGCTGAATAGAAGACCTTCTTTTAATTAAAATAATGAAAAAATTAACTTCACATTTTAAATACATTTTTTTAAATAAATTACTTTAAGTAATCTCATTTTTGTAATAAAAAATTTAAATAATGGTTTTTATTCTAACAATAGAATTAATAAAATTCTTTTTTTTGTTAAAAAGGCAGGCGCATCAGTTAACAAGGCGGACATATTCGGTTACACGCCGCTGCACATTGCGGCCTTGAACGAGAGCTCGCGTACAGTGATGATGTTGTTGTCAAAAGGTGGCGACGTAACAGCGCGTACCAAGGACGGCATCACCGCTCTTAGCTTTATCGTATCCCGTACTCCGGAGGTGTTATCGCAACTGGCGACGCGTTTCGATCAAGCAGTCTCATTACACTATCACGAACTTGGCGATATGGACTGTGAACTGCGAGTGGATTTTCGACCATTGGTTCCATTGGGCGGTCGCAACGAAACGGACCTAATGCTCTGTCTGGTGGAGGTCGGTCAAGGTCGCATGTTGAAACACCCATTGTGCGAGAGTTTTCTCTATCTAAAATGGAAGCGTATTCGTAAGTTTTTCGTGCTCAATTTTTTGTTCCATTTAATTTTCGTTGCTTTCTTTACCAGCTTCGTCTTCGCGACATATTTGTGGAATGAAAAACAGCTGAGCGCAATCCTCTTCTGGCCATTAGTAACTATTATCTGCTTATTTGCGAGTAAAGAGATCTTCCAAATTAGCTCTGATATTTACTATTATATTAAACGTTGGGAAACTTGGCTACAATGGAGCGTGATCGTGGCATCCAGCCTTATACTGATTCCTCCAGCGCGTCCATGGCAACATCACGTTGCTGCCCTAGGTATTCTGCTGGCCTGGCTTGAGCTGATGATTGTGACCGGTTATTTTCCCATCTTTGGCCTCTATGTACAAATGTTTACCGAAATATTCATCAATTTCTTCAAGTTTCTCGCTGCCCATATTTGCCTCATATTCGGTTTCTCTCTCGGCTTCATTGTGCTGCACGACAAGTACAAATCTTTCACTGATCCGCTGATCAGTCTATTCAAGTCGGTGATTATGACGATCGGTGAGCTGGAATTCGAGTACTTTTTCTTTAATGAATCGCTACTTGAGTATTCTGGCACGGCGCATTTTATGTTTCTTTGCTTCGTTATCCTGGTGGCAGTGATACTAATGAATCAAATAATTGGTCTGGCTGTGTCAGATATCCAGGAGTTACGTAGTCGTGCGGGTCTTGAACAATTGGTGCGTCAAGCAGAGGTAATAGCTCGTTTCGAAAATATGCTGTTCTCTAAATTGCTTGATTACACTCCCGCGTGTAAAATAATACAAGCGTGCAGAGAGAATATACTATTGTTGCATCCACCGCATCATTGTGTCCTACGTATTCGGCTGAATGATCCGCACGAAAATCGTCTGCCACGAGAGCTCATTCAGTCGTTATATCGTCTGGCAGCTGAGAAGAAAATGCGACGAGGAATTTTCCGCGGCGGCGCGCCACCATCCCAAAACTTCGCCGCGAATGAATTGAATTATGTGAGATTCAACAGGATGTACAGGAATGACGGTAATCAATAGCAACTAATCGAACTCGTAGCCAAGCTAAAGAAAAGCTGTTATGACATGGCCGAGCTAAAGAAATGCTCCTATGACGTGGTCGAGCTAAAGAAATATTCCCATGACATCAGTATCAGGTTGAATAGCTTGACGAACCAGATAGAGATTATCGTCCAAGATGCAGATTTGACGATGCATTTATATAATAACATTATTAACATTGCCTAATATTCCATATCATCGAACGTTTGAATTCTTTTAAAAAAGCGAATCCGAGATTCGCATGTTCTACCAAAGCAGAATCTAAAATTCTAGGTAGAAACGCAAAAATGTGACATTGCCAAGCAACTAGCAAATCGAAAATAATTATAAATCTTTTCAGATGTAAATTTTAACGACCTAATTCATAGCAATCGAAACACAATTGTGGATTTAATGAACCATATTATTTCCAAAATGATTTATACAGATATATGTATATTATCATAAATTATATATAAAATTTAGAGTTATTTTTTTATTCTGTACTTCTTCTTTTATTCTGTCTTATCAGTAATCCATTTATGTACCGTTTTCCTGATTCCATCTCTATAGAGCAAATTGGTATCTTGATTGATATCTTCTTGTGGAGTTTTATATCGGTGATCTTAGATTCGTAAATCACAGTCATATTCTTTTTCTGAGAAAGTTGTGTGTTGATAGCGTACAACATCAGATCATTTTCAACTATGTATGCCAATTCCTCAGACAAGTGATCCTCGCTGAAACTTATCATAGTGTCCGAACATGCGTTCCATACCTACTAAAAAAATTATACCTTTTGATAGAATTTTTAATTTCTTGTAATATGTAAAAGAGCGATAAAATAATAATAGCATCATAAAAGTGGTTCTTAAATACAAAGTACAATAAAAAAAGTAATGAGAATTAGGATCGATTAATAAGAAATAGGACAATAATTATAACATAGCATCTTTTAAATATTATTTAGATCAAAACAGAATATATACATAGTAAGCGCTTCAATCTTTCCAATCATTTTCAACAAGTGAGATACACAAAAAGATCATGTGGTAGAATTGTCATCAACAGTTAAACTAATTCCAGAGGCAGAAGAGTGCACAAACATAATAGCCAAAATGTTTAGAAAACCCAGACTAGTTCTTGCCTTGTGTAGTATAAACAAAAATAGTAAAAATTAATAAAAGGACATTCTATGATCCAGTTATTTTTTAATTATGACATATGTAATGTAAAGATTTGTAATCTGCTACATATGTCGTATCTTTCAAATTGCTAATTTCTATATAATATTAACTTGTCGCGCTAACGTATTAATGATTTCTTGTTACATATTAATCTAGCACAATAACATTATATTATAAATATGAACTTGATATATAATAATTTAATAATTCAAAGATAGCAGGAAAAATAGCTTAAAGAATAAAATAGCTTAAAGAACTACCTGCATTGATCGTACTGGACAATATCGTACTGCTTCTATGTGTTGCCATGCTCCAAAGCTAGATAACGAATCTGTTGATTCAAAGCGACAACTCAATTGGACTATTGTTCCTGTGATGTATATTTTTGTTTAATATTTCTCTCCAACAGCAAGACTTTCTTGCTTTCCAGTCTCTTCGATTATTTCCTGAAATAAATATATATATTTCCAGTCTTCTTCACACACGAAAGGTTTAAGAAAAAGCATTTGACGACTTGAAAGAGCAGACTATTTTAACAAAAATGCCTAAATACGATTACAATTCCGTCAACTGTTAACAATTTTTTAATTTAATAAAGAAATTTTGATATAATTTCCATTTTAAGATAAATTTTGAGAAATATGTTGTCATAATTTTCATTGAGACTTGATTTGCATTTTAATACATGATCCATTCGGCTATATTTCCATTCCATTGCTCTCTCGGTTGTTACAAATCATACAAGCGAACTGAGAGAATCTGTTCGAGAATGATATGGATAAAATTATATATCATCGTGGCTATAGGTATAAATCAGGTATTAATCTTTCTCATCATTTATAAAAATCCAAAAAATAATATATTTAGGTTGAGACTTTTTGAACTTTTATATTACATTATCAAAGGAAAATCAGATGAAAATTAATAGCAGTAATTTTCACAAAGAGAATGGTAGTTTTCTTTCATTTTCCTCTATATTTTTTTACATCTTGTTATAATATATATAATTCAATTCGCCATTAGATTTTTCGATTCTTTGATGATTCATTTCTCAGCGAATCGCCCACATATTTTATGGCATGATTCCTAAAAGATACATAAAACTAGCTACTACTAATATATACGTCATTCCCTATTCGCGGAAATTTTATTAAGCAGGAGAACAAGTTACCGGAAGCAATGATGATAGGTCCGGTTGAAAGAAACTTCTGCCAAGCGACGATGTTCTCCGTGGACTGAAATTGATTGATGAATATTATAATTTTTCAAGAAATTCAAATATCAACGAGCATCTCTTAAAGATAATATTACCTCGGAGAGTTTACAACAATCGTGCTGCCAGTTTGGATAGGACACATACGTCGTTTTTCACACTATCGAATTACCAACGACATCCATCTAAAATAAATATTAATGCTCCTTATTTATTTTATTATGACATCAATGCTATAAATTATATCTTAAAATTACCGACGACGTCATGAGATGAAATTCATCGGGCGAACGCCAAAATGGCACATGTCGTGAAAAACGAGTGTTTAACGATTTATAATAAACGTTACGAAAATAGAAGTCAGATCTGATCCAGAATTCAAAATTTCGACAGAAATGTCGGAGATAATATGCATCAAATAATAAACATAATGCTGTTCTATTTATATACACAAACTACTATTGCTAAAGATTACATTCTGACACGATGTTTCAATAGCAAAATATACATCTCAAGTAGCAAAAATAATCATTTTGACGTTAAATTACATGAAAATGACGTCAAAATTACTAATTTTTCTACCTAAAAATTGATATTTATATTTATATAAAAATTATTAAAAAAATATTTAATGTTACTAATATCTTATTATTATATATCACTAAAATAATGAAAAAAACGTTATTTTTTAAAGATTTTTAATTCTTCAGATTTATAATTCTTCTATGAGAAAAATTATGTAACTGCTATACAGAAAGTAAGTCTTTCCAAATGTATAAAACATTATAATAATTAATATGTATATTTAATATTAAAATATAAATAATATATAAAATTATCATTCTTATCCTAATCGAATTATCTTTTTCTTTAACTTTTCTCTTAACTCTTCTTGAAGTGAAAATAAATCAACCGTTTTCGTCATATCACCAATAGAATTTTAAAATATATTTTTTCGTGTCTTTCAATTAATTAAAAATCTTTCTTAAAAAAATATACACGCTAGTATAACTGTTTCAAATGATATCATTGACAAACCGAACGTTTCACAGTATATATTTGTCCATGAAATGACCATGAACGCGGAATGATAAGACCATCGTTCCCGGCAAAGGTTCCGCAGGAAAAGAATTTGCGGTCTGGATTTTCTTTCTTTCTAACTTCACTGCTGAAAGAATGCGAAGAATAAGAGAGAAATACGAGATTCATGGAAGCTAAATATATAACATGTGTTTTATAAACACGTGCGTATATACTGTGAATATACGGAGAGCCAGAACAGTGTCGACTAAGTGCCCAGTGTTAGCGAGCAAGAGCGCGCGGCAGGAAGTCATCAATTCAACGCCGAGGAAATTAATCGAACGACCGATCTAACGAGATGTTTACGAATCATCATCACGTATTATCAACATTTGACTAAAAAATCATACTGTGAATCCATTTATTGCGTTAATCGCATGATTGTTATTATTGATATGTAGAGGATGGCACCAAAGTGATTTAATTTCTACGACTCGTTATGTGATCGTAATGTGTGTGTGCCAATTTATTTTACCTGGATACCTTTTTTTTTAAGAGTGCGAATTTAAAGAAAGATGTGACCATGTCGATTCTCAGAAAAACAAACTTCTTCAAGAGATTCTCCGGTAGTCATTTGACGCGAGAAGCACCGAGGATAGAGACTGCCAACAATAAGACGCGGTCCATCGTGATCAACAACGAGGTCAGTGAAAGAAATAATCATCGATGATCTTTTGAGTCTTCTATGTCCTCATATATATATTACATTTAGGAAGAACCTGAGGATATTTGGATGAACGAGTTAGAAAATGGCAGCATTTCCTCCGAGGACAGTTCGGAATCTGTCACGTGTCACATCCGAAACACGTCGATGACGCAAGAACAACCTTGGAGCAAGGGGGAGGTCGAAGTGGCATTATCGAATCTTCCGGGAGGTGAGGCAGCTCTATCTCTGATTCCCGTTCTTCACGACGATGCTCTAGAAAAGGTTCTGGAAGAATTTCAATGTTTGACTCTCGACGAAAATGCGGATTGCAGGCATCGCAAGCTCTTGTTGCACACGTTCGCAAATGGGTACGGAATGATTGCATCTGTAATTTAGTGCGTTGCATTAAGATAAAATAAATAAATAAAATAAAAATGCAAATAAAATAAAATAAAATAAAAATAGAATTTGTCATGCTTATTATTAGTTTGTTATGTATATATGTATTTCTATTTGATATTACATATTTCTATTGATATGTTGAAAATTCATGATTTTATTTCTACATTGATAATCATTCTATTTTCAATATACAATAAGATATTTTATATAAGTAGAATAATAAACTTTTTAATTTTTAAATTTAATATTTTCACACTTTATGATTCAATATTTTATACGTATGTAATGAAGTAATAATGTGTAATTTAATTTAAAACTTTGCTTGTTCAGATTTATGCGAAAAACTATATTGGCTAACGAAAACGGAGCAGCATCTGCTGCGACTCCAGCACAGTTACTTGCAGGATGGCCGGACACGTGTCTACTGATTTCTAGCTGGCTAGGTCATGTAGAGATAGCCAAAGCTTTGTTAGACAAAGGCGCGCCAGTTTTTACGAGTGACAACGATGGAAGGTTCATATGATAGATTTATGATAGACAGACATTAAAAAATTTGTCACCTAAAAATTAGCTAAACTTTTGAAAACTCTAATTCACCTATCATGTAGTTTATATTAACTAGCTGTAGTTTGGCAAACACTTTGATTGATTAGTCAATCAAGTCTGTAATTATAACAAATCATTAGGAATTATACATTTTTATTATCTTCAGAACGCCGTTACATCTGGCAGCGAGCGTCGGATCCACCAAAATTGTGGAAGAGCTATTGAAACATGGCGCTAATCCAGATGAATGGGATCTCGGGAAAAAATGCACTCCATTGCATTGCGCTGCCGCAACTGGTTGCGTTGCCACTGTCAAATGCTTGATCAAAGCAGGCGCAGATGTGGATGCCGGATTGTCCAGCAGGAGTCCGCTCCATTACGCCGTGCTGAACAACGCTGAGGATTGCGTCGAAACTCTATTGCAAGCAGGTGCTTGTCCTAATAATCCACAGGTGCTTCACCACACAACCACAATTTGAATAATATAGTGGGGAAGTAATATTATAAACCAAAAATCGTTGATGTAAAATTAAAGTGGCGAACTACAATCGTTATTCAGAAGAAATTATGCAGAAATTACTTTCTCACCACAGTAACGTATCTCTCGTCTCCGAGATATCTGGGATTAATTAATTACGATTTACGTTTGCAGGTTTACACAGAAACTCCTTTGCATGTGGCGATTAATTTGGGCAACGTCCATTGCACCAAGTTGCTGTTGAGTCACGGCGCAGATGTAAGAGTACAAATGGGAATTGCAAGATCGACGCCTCTACACTTGGCAGCTGAGGAAGGTAGTGCGGAATGCACTAGGTTACTGTTGAACGCTGGCGCGACCTGCGAGGCGAGAAACTCGCGCGGTCAGACGGCGATGCACTTGGCGACGCTCGCCCAATCAGTAGAGACGATGGACATGTTGATTAGTGCTGGTGCAAAAGTGAATGCAGAAGACAATGAAGGACGCACCCCTTTACATGCTGCGGTTGCGAAGGCTCTGAGAGGCAGCGAACTGGTCAAGACTTTAGTACAAGTTTGTAAATTGAACATTCTTTTGTCTCACCGAATAGAGTAAAATACTATTTTTTAATTAAAATAATAAAAAAATTAATCGCGTCACATTTTAAATAGAAATTTTTCTAACAAATTAAGTTGAATAATTCTATTTATTTAATAAAAAATGTTAAATAATGATTTTTTACTGTAATGATAGAATTAATAAGATTCTTTTTTTGTTGAAAAGGCAGGTGCTGCAGTTAACAAGGCGGACAAATTCGGTTACACGCCGCTGCACATCGCTGCTTTGAACGAGAGCTCGCATACAGTGGTGATGTTGTTGTCAAAAGGAGGCGACGTGACTGCGCGTACTAAGGGTGGCGTCACCGCTCTTAGCTTTATCATACGCCGTACTCCGGATGTGTTATCGCGATTTATGACGCGTCTCGATCAAGCAATCTCTCTACATGATCACGAGCTGGGCGACGTGGACTGTGAACTGCGATTAGATTTTCGACCATTGGTACCGGGCGGTCGCAGCGAAATGGACCTGATGCTCTGTCTAGTAGAGGTCGGTAAAGGCCACATGTTAAAGCATCCGTTATGCGAAAGTTTTCTATATCTCAAATGGCTGCGTATCCGCAAGTTCTTCCTGTTCAGTCTCATGTTTCACTCAATCTTCGTTGCTTTCTTCACCGGTTTCGTCGGCGCGACGTATTTATGGCACAAGAAACAGCTGAGCAGTATCCTTCTCTGGCCAGTGCTAGGTTTTACCTGCGTGCTCGCGAGTAAAGAGATTTTCCAGATCGCCCATGGTATTTGCTATTATGCTAAACGTTGGGAAAACTGGCTGCAATGGAGCGTGATCGTGGCATCCAGCCTCATACTGATTCCTCCAGCGGATGAATGGCAATATCACATTGCCGCCCTGGGTATTCTGCTGGCCTGGATCGAGTTGATGATTGTTGTCGGTCGTTTTCCCATGTTTGGCATCTACGTTCAAATGTTTACCCAAGTATCCATCAATTTCTTCAAGTTTCTCGCGGCCTACATTTGCCTCATAGTCGGCTTCTCTCTCGGCTTCAGTGTGCTGCACGACCAGTACAAATCCTTCACTAATCCGCTGATTAGTCTACTCAAGACGGTGATTATGATGTCTGGTGAGCTAGAATTCGAGGACGTTTTCTTCAATGATAAAACACTCAAGTATCCTGGCACGGCGCATCTCATGCTCCTTAGCTTCGTTATTCTGGTGACAGTGATACTCACGAATCTAATGGTTGGCCTGGCTGTATCGGATATCCAGGAGTTACGCAGATGCGCCGGGCTCGACCGACTGGTGCGTCGCGCCGAGCTGGTAGCTCACGTCGAAAACATGCTGTTCTCCAAGCTTCTCGATTACACTCCCGCGTGCAAAATAATACAAGCATGCAGGAGGGGCGCATTGTTGCTACATCCACCGTATCATTGCGCCCTGCATATTCGACCGAATGATCCGCGCGAGAAACGTCTACCGCGAGAGCTCATCCGGGCGGTATATCGCCTGGTCAGCGAGCGGAAAACGCGACGAACGACTTTCCGCGGCAGCGCGCCACCACCCCAAAACGTTGCCGCGAATGAATCGAATCATGTGAGGCTCAGCAGGATGTACAGCAACCAGAGTAATCAACAGCAGCTGAATGAACTCGCGGCCGAGCTGAAGAGATGCTCGTATAACATTAGTACCAAGTTGGATAGGTTGACGAACAAGGTGGAAACTATCACTCGAGATTTAGATCTGACGGTGCATTTACATTGACACTGCTTAATTTTCAATCTCGTCGAGTGTTAGAGTTGTTTTGAAAACACGAAACTAGATGATCTGCCAGAACAGAGTCTAAAATTAAAGGTAGGAACGCAAAATGTGATAAATCAACAGGTCCAAGTAACTAGCAATGTCTTGAGATGTAAACCTTAGCGACCTAATTTTTGACAAACCAAAAAAAAACTATGGGTCTAATGAATCATGTATTTTTAAAATGATTTATATACATATTGTATTTATCATTATATAAAATGCACTGTTATTTTTTTATTTTGTAATTACCAGTATTCTGGCTGCGTACTGCTTTCCTGATTACAGCTGTACAGAGGCAAATTCGGCCAATGTCTTAAAGAGTTTTACATCGATGATCTAGATTCGTGAATCACAGTTACATTCTCTTTCTGAGAAAGTTGCATGTTGACTGCATGCAACACCAAATCATTTTTAGTAAATTTCTCAGATAAGTAATGCTCGTTGTACGTTATTATAGCGTCCCACACCTGTTAAATCACACTTAAATTTAATTAATAGAATTAATAATTTTTTGTAATATGTAGAACAATAAAAGACTGATAAAAGTGATTCTTAAATGTACAATTAGAAATTTAAACCAAAAGAAAAACCGACTAACAATAAAAAAGTCAAGACAATAATTATAATGCAGAATTGTTTGAATATTATTTATGTTAAAACAAAATATATAAGAAATATTTCAATCTTCCTAATCATCTTCAACAAATAAGATATATAAAAGATCATAGAAAGAATTGTTAACACTTAAATTTAGTTGCAAAGACAGAAGATTGCACAAATGTAACAATCAAAATGTTTGGAAAAATCAGATTAGCTTTCGCATTATATAGTGTAAATAAATAAAAATAATAGAAATTTAATTAAAAATTAAAATTAAAATAAAAAGAGATTCTATGATCTAATTATTTTCTAATTATGACATATTTATCGTAAACATTTGTTTGTCTCTGCTATACTTGTCGATATATACATCATTACAAAAATAAAGTGTTAATTTTTATACACTAAATCTAAATTATTACATATTAATTTCTTGTTATAATTTAGCTTTTGTATTAATATGACATAAAATAACATTATATTGTTAATATAAATTTGATAAGCTTAACAGTTTAATAGTTCAAAGATAGTAAGAACAGGAATAAAATAGCTTAAGCATCTACCTGCATTGATCACACTGAACATCATATTCTCTATGTATTGCCATGTTCCTAAGCTGGACAACAATAGGTATAAGTCTGCTGATTCAAAGTGACAACTCGTATATTGCTTCTGTAGTGTATATACTTATTTAGCACTATTCTCCAATAGCAAGACTTTCTTGCCTTGCAATCTTCGAGAGATTGTTCTCTGGAAATAAATATACGCATATAGGTATATACATTTTTCTTTTGCATAGAAAGTTTGACAAAAATATGCAACTTAAAAGAACAGATCATTTTAAGAAAAATGCCTAAATACAAATATAATTCTGTCAATCGTTAATAACATTATTTTTAATAAGACTCGTTCTTTTTTCTCATTGTGAAGACAATATGATAACAATAACAAAAGAGCTAACTTATGGCGCACGCTAATGTTGCGCCAATCATGCCGTCACCGGTGATAATAATGTCATATTTTTCTTCGTCTTCTACAACAGTCGAATAATTTTTCTTGGACACCACGGATGCAATGGGAATAACATGCTTGTATTTTTATGATAGCAATGTGATAGATAAGTTATATTAAATAAATTTTTAAAAATATAAATAAGTTAAAAATATAAATAGAGCCAATGTTACATATGTTTATGACTGCTAAAGATAAGTTATACAAAGTTTAACTTCAAACAGATAATACAAGAGTAAATATTATATTATATTATATTTACAAATATGATATGGTCATATCTGTATTTTTTTGGATGTAAAAAAAATTATTGATTGCATATAAAGTGTGCAATTGAAAGAAGTTCAAAAGAAAAAGAAATAAATAAATTACTTTCAAAGCCTTATACAAAAGTTTTGGAATATGTTATAACAAAATAGAGTTACCAAGCCTACAATAAACAAGTATCGATATTAACAACTAAAAATCATTACAAGTATACGAGTATGTAAATTGATACAATATTTATAAATTAATCGTATATTAAATTACTATCATGAGTGAAATTATTTTTTCTTCCATTGTACAAAATCTTAAATTATGCGTTGCATGAAAAATTTTTGCTTATAAAAGTTTTATCTTATGAAATATAAAATCATAATTTTTTTATACATAAGTCGAGGCACTGATAAAGACGATGAACCCAGCAAACACAGAATACTACAGCAATATTGCGGCAATATTACAACATTGCATCAATGTTGCTGCAATATTCTGTGTTTGCTGGGAAGTGCATCGCTAACGAGCATCATAGGTAAATTATTATGTTGACTCGTACTCGTATAACAAACAGTGTATATTATTGAGATGACTGTCGTTCATGACAGCCTCAACGAAGATTTGCATCAGCAATGTCAAGTCGCTGAAACTCATTGTCAGATACGCATTTTGATCGCAAGAATGGATGTTTCCGATGTGCCACGTTCTTTACAAATGAAAATATCAATGTTAAACAGAAAAATAAAAAAAATATTTAATTAAAATAACGTAATTTAAATCGACCACACTGGCAATTTATTGGTTAGTAAAGAATCACAATGTTTCGACCATGGGTTTTGATCCTTTTCAAGTGAACTACAAAAATATTCAATATTATAAACAGTGATTAAATTACAATAAAATGTGAACAAAAAGAAGAAAAAAATTATCATGTACATACAATATCTTAGTTAACCAATATATAGTGAGAAAAGAAGAAATCGCTATGTCAGGATTCCGTCATGTCAACCTCCCGATCAAACACAAAGAGAAAGACTAAACAGCCTTTATTAGTCTATCATAAATATTGTTTAAACTTTTAGTGTCCTTTTGTAAGTTAATCGTGTTGTCAAACTTATTGATAAAAAATATTTCAGCAATTTCCCTCTTTCTCACATGTCTTTTATTGTGTAAAATAACCGGTATTGACCAATCGAAGTCATGGTTCAATTCTAATTTATGTTTGCTAATAACAGACAGATTGCTTTCGTGCAATTTTATGTTATTGTTAAACAATGTTCCTTGACATGAGTGCCTAAATGTCTTTTCGTTTGGCCTATATATATTATTACAATTTTTACAGTCTAATTTATAAACAACTTCAGTCCTGCTATTAATAGACAATCTATCTTTTCCACGTTTAATCAATGCATTCAGTTTTTTAAGTACGTTATAGACAATATTAAGACCAACATTTCTAAAAACGCAACTGATCTCATCACTCAAGCCCTCCACAAACGGTAAAGAAATGTAATAAGGTGTAGCTGCATTATCACTTTTAATATTCATATTTACATTATCACGATGTTTTTAAAAAATCAAGTCTTTTTTTAACGTAACGATTAATAACCAGAGTTGGAAAACAATTGTTGGAAAAAGAATCTGTTTAACAATGTCAATATTCTTAAAATGAAATCGAACGTCTGATAATAAAATAGCGTGGTCGACAAGATTATAAATGGTGTTCATTTTATATTTAAACGGATGCTTAGCATGAAAATTAATGTATCTATTAGAACAAGTAGGTTTTCTATACCAATCAGTCAAAAGCCGACCACCCGAACGAATAACCGTCGTGTCCAAAAAACTAATGCAAAAATCGGACTCAGTTTCGTGTGTAAATATTAAACGTTGATGATAATTGTTGAAAGTCGATACAATCTCGTCAATCTTTGAGCGTGGAACAATGGTAAAAATGTCATCAACATATCTGTAATACAACGGAAACTCAACAAACTCAAACAATGCGTTTCCAAATCATCCATCACGATATCTGCCACAATAGATGACAAGGGAGACTCCACAGTAGAAGCGTGCAAATCTGTTCTCACTCCCGCTCGTTCCCGACAGCGAGACTGGATTCTCGAGACTCAGATTATCGGGAGCGCTGTTATTGAAAATGGAGGACTCGGGAACAAGCGAGTCCTGAGTCTCGATACTCTATTAGATGGAGTGGGAGATTTCTACCCCGATAATCTGAGTCTCGAGAATCCAGTCTCGCAGTCGGGAACGAGCGGAAGTGATAGCAGATTTGCACACCTCTACCCCATAGGGCTACCAAAAAGTACCAAAAAGTAAGTCTGTTCATAAAACTGTCCATTAAACGAAAAACTCGTGGAATCCAAAACCGTTTCTATCGCGTATAAAAACTGAGACAATTAAATTTAGTGTTAGAAGCAATGTAATTCCAACGTTTAGTAACAGCATTTAAAACTAAATCTTTAGGAATATTAAATAATGCAGCAATATCAAGTGAGATCATTAAATTGTCATCATTAATAAATTTATCTTTCAAATTTTTGGCAAAAGTCCAACCATCCTTAATATGAGATTTAGGTTCCAAAATCGAAATCTGTAGTATATCATGAATGTATTGACATTATATAACAGACTACCAAGTGACACAATAATACGTAGTGGAGAACCCGTTTTGTGAATCTTAGGCAAACCATAACACCGTGGCAAGTTACCATTAGTAGAGTGTAATTTTTTATATGTAGACTCATTACTTAAATTATTACTTCGCCAAGATTTAATAATGGTATTAATTTCATTAGTTAATTTTTTGATCAGATCCTTATTCAATTTTTTATACGTAGATTGATTATTCATAAAAGTCTCCATTTTACAACAAATTAGAATTTAATCATGACTTGGATTGGTCAATACCAGTTATTTTACGCAATGAAAGACATGTGAGAAAGAGAGAAATTGCTGAAATGTTTTTTATCAAAAAGTTTGACAACACGATTAACTTACAAAAGAACACTGAGAGTTTAAACAATATTTATGATAGATTAATAAAGGCTGTTTAGTCTTTCTTTTTGTGTTTGATCGGGAGGTTGACATGACGGAATCCTAACATAGCAATTTTCTCTTTTCTCACTATATATTGGTTAACTAAGATATTGTATGTACATAATAATTTTTTTCTCCTTTTTCACATTTTATTGTAATTTAATCACTGTTTATAATATTGAATATTTTTGTAGTTCACTTGATAAAGACCAAAACCCATGGTCAAAATGTTGTGATTCTTTACTTAACCAATAAATTGCCAGTATAATCGATTTAAATTACGTTATTTTATTTTATCTTATCTGGCGACATTCAAGAATTTAATATTAAATATTTAATTGTTACAATGATAATAATAAAATCATTATAAAGAAATTTCAATACAATTTCTATTTTAAGATAAATTTTGAGGAATATATTGTCATAATTTTTATTGAGATTTGATTCACGTTTTAATATATAATATATATCCATTCAGCTATATTTTTTAAATTGATGTCACTCTTAATATTGCAAATTATCTTACCTCTTCAACACTGTGATTGTATGCGGTGATTGCTGCTACGGAGGGAATTGCATATCTGTCTACAGGGACAGATTTGCAAGCAGTTAGTGAAATGCCTGCATTCTGCTCACTATCGTTTTTCGGATAGTTTCGCCACATTGTTTATAAACTCCCCTTCCAAAATTTTCAGCGGTTTCTTCTCTCTCTCGATTGACATGAACAAAACGAACTGAGAGAATTTGTACGAGAATTATGTAGACAGAATTATATATCATCGTGGCTAAATCAGGTATTGATCTTTTTCATTGTTTACGAAAATCCAAAAAATAATGTACTTAGATTCAGGTTTTTTGAACTTTTATATTACATTATTCGAGGAAAATCAGATGAAAATTAATAGCAGTTATTTCAAAAAGAAAATGGTAGTTTTCTTTTTGATTTTCCCATATATTTTTTTATCTTGTTATAATATATATGAATCAATTCGCTATAAGATTCCTCGATTCTTTGGTGACTTTCTCAATCGCCAACACAATTTATGACATGGTTTAAAAAAGACACAAACCCATCTACCACTAATATGTCATTCCTTATTCGTGGAAATTTTAATAAGTAGGAGAACAAGTTACCGGAAGTAACGTGATAAAATCCGATTGGAAGAAACCTCTGCCAAGCGACGATGTTCTCCGTAGGCTGAAAGTGATTGATAAATATTATAATTTCTCAAGAAATTCCAATATCAACGAGCAACTCTTAAAGATAATATTACCTCAGACAGTTTGAGAGTTGCAACAATTATGTTGCCAGTTAGAACATATACATCGTTTTGCGCACAGTTGAATTACTAACGATATGCATCTAAAACAAATAGGTACAAATAGATGCTCTTTATATATTTTATTATGACATCAATGCTATTAATTATATCTTAAAATTACAACGTCCATGAGATGATGTTCATCGGGATAAAGCCAAAAAAAATTAAAAAATTAAAAACACAAAAAAAAATAAAAAAAAGAATAAATAACACAAAATGTTTTTATAAAGAAGTGATGGAATTTTTTACAGCCAACATAAAAATAAATCATATATAAATTAACAGATATGCAAAATTGTAGAGAATTATTTTTCAAAAGTTCATGTATTTTTACATTATACAAAACTTTATATGGAATATTCAATTATTATAATGAATAATAGTTGAAATAATAAGCACAAGGCTTTACTACGAAGTGCACCTAAATCAAACATATACAGTTATTGTCGCCTCTCACTCGCCATTCGAGTTGATGTATCAAATTAAGTGACGATTGATTGTGAAAGTCGCTTCTCAGGTGCAAAAGATCAATTTCTATATCAATTCGCTATGTGACTGCAATATATGTCAATTTATTTGATCCGGTTATCTTTATAAGAATGCGAGTCCACAGAAAAATAGTTACTTTGTCTTAGTAAGAACTTCGAGAGGTTCTTCGGCAGTTCTGTTCCGGCAATCACTCCTTTGACACGAGGAATAACGCAGAGCATACAGACTATCGAAAACAAGAGATTTAACGTTATGAAGAAGGTCAATGGAAAAAACAATCATCGAAGGTTTTTCGATTTCTTTATGTCTTCATATAGATTATATTTAGAATATTGGAATATTTAGATGAGCGGGAGAGCATATAGCAACTCCGAGGACAGCTTGGAATCTATCGAACGAGATGACGAGTCGATGACGCAGAAACAACCTTGGAGCAAGGAGGAGATCGAAGTAGCATTATCGAATCTTCCGGGAGGCAATATAGTTTCATCTCTGATTCCTACTCTTCATGGCGATACTCTACAAAAGGTTCTGGAAGAATTTCAATGTGTGACTCTCAAAAAAAATGAAAATCACAAGCATAATGTATCGTTGCCTACATCCGCAGATGAGTACGGAATGATATTAACGTCTCTAATTTATGTGTATTGCATTAAGATAAAATAAATAAATAAAAATAAATAAATAAATAAAGATAAAAAAATAGAATTTTAAATAGAATTTGTCATGTTTCTTATAATTTATTGTGTGTATATTTCTGTTTGATGTTATATATTTCTGTTGTTAAAAATCATTCTATTTCTACATTCATCATTTTATTTAACTAATATATTTTACATATAATAAGATTCTTTACGTAAGTAAACTAATAAAATTTTTAATTATAAAATTTAATATTTTTATACTTTATAATTTAGCCTTTTACATGTTAATTAATTATCTAGTGTAATTAATTTAAAACTTGACATGCAGAATTAAGCAAAATACTACATTGGTTGACGAAAATGGAGCAATGCCTATTACGACTGCGAGACAACTACTTGTAGAATGGCCGGATACGTGTCTACTGATTTCTAGCTGGCTGGGTCATGTAGAAATAGTTAAGGCTTTGTTAGAAAAAGGCGTGCCAGTTTCTACAAGCGACACTGATGGAAGGTTATATCACTTGCAATATATAGACGTCGAGCGAATTATGCAAAAAAATTTACCATAAAAAATTAAAGCTGAATTTTTAAAAATCATAATTCATCTATAATGATAGAAGTAGTTTATACTAGCTAGTAGTTTATTAGATACCTTGATTGATTAGTCTATTAAACCTGTAATTATAATAAATTATTGATAAAAATTATACATTTCCACTATCTCTAGAACACCGCTACATCTGGCTGCGTGTACCACGTCCACAGAGATCGTGGAGGAGCTATTGAAACATGGTGCTGATCCATGTGAGTGGGATTTTAAGAAAAAATGCACCCCGTTGCATTGCGCTGCCGCAGCTGGTTGCGTTGCTACTGTTAAATGCTTGATCATGTCAGGCGCAAATGTGCATGCCAGAAGAAGTCCACTTTATTACGCCGTGCTGAACAATGCTGTGGATTGCGTCGAAGCTCTACTGCAAGCAGGTGCTTGTCCTAATAATCCACAGGTGCTTTTTCATTACAATCATAATTTAAACTTAAATTTAGTGGGGAAGTAATATTATAAACCAAAAATTGCTGTTAGGCTAAAATCTAATAAAGCGAATTATGCAGAAAAAATTACTTTCTCACCAAAGTAACGCATCTCTTTTGGATTCTGAGATATCTTCAATAAATTAATTTACGATTCGTTGACAGGTTTATACAAAGATGCCTTTGCATGTGGCGGCTAGTTTGGGCAATGTTCACTGCATGAAATTACTGTTGGATCACGGCGCGGATGTGACAATGGAAACAGAAATCACGAAATCGACGCCCCTACACTTGGCGGCGAAAAAGGGTAATGCGGAATGCACTAGATTACTGTTGAAAGCCGGCTCAAAAACTGAGACAACAAACTCGAGTGGTCAAACGGCGATGCACTTGGCAACGCTGGCCCAATCTGTAGAGACGATAGACATGTTGATTAGCGCTGGTGCAAGGGTGAATGCAGAGGATAATGAAGAACGCACTCCTCTACATGCTGCGGTTGCAAGTGCTCGGCAAAGCAGTGAACTGGTCAAGACTTTAATAAATGTTTGTAAATGAAAATTACTTTAACTCTGAATAGAATACCTTCTTTTAATTAAAATAATAAAAAAATTAACTTCACATTTTAAATAGATTTTTTTAAAATAAATTACGTTAAGTAATTCCATTTATGTAATAAAAAAATTAAAATAATAGTTTTTATTCTAATAATACAATTAATACAATTTTTTGTTAAAAATCTTTTTTTGTTAAAAAGGCAGGCGCATCAGTTAATAAGGCGGACAATTGCGGTTACACACCGCTGCACATCGCTGCTTTGAACGAGAGCTCGCACATAGTGGGGATGTTGTTGTCAGAAGGCGACATAACAGCGCGTACCAAGGACGGCATCACCGCTCTTAGCTTTATCGTATCCCGTACTCCGGAGGTGTTATCGCAACTGGCGACGCGTTTCGATCAAGCAGTCTCATTACACTATCACGAACTTGGCGATATGGACTGTGAACTGCGAGTGGATTTTCGACCATTGGTTCCATTGGGCGGTCGCAACGAAACTCTGCTCTGTCTGGTGGAGGCCGGTCAAGGTGACATGCTAAACACCCATTGTGCCAGAGTTTTCTCTATCTAAAATGGAAGCGTATTCGCAAGTTTTTCCTGCTCAGTCTTCTGTTCCATTTAATCTTTGTTACTTTCTTCACCGGCTTCGTCTGTACGACATATTCGACATATTGGCGCAATATAAAAGTGAGCAATGTTCTTTTCTGGCCAATATTAGGTTTTACCTGCATACTCGCGAGTAAAAACCTCTTTCAAATTACCTATGGTATTTGCTATTATATTAAACGCTGGAAAAACTGGCTAGAGTGGAGCGTGATCGTGACATCCAGCATCATCTTGATTCCTCCAGCGCGTTTATGGCAATATCATGTTTCGGCCCTAGGTATTTTCTTGGCCTGGATTCTGCTGATGATTGTGATCTATCGGTTTCCCACGTTTAGATTGTTCGTACAAATGTGTATGCGAGCGTTCATCAATTTGATCAAATTTTGTATAATCTTCGTTAGTCTTATAACCGGCTTCGCTCTTAGTTTTCAGGTTTTAATAAATTTAGTAGTCAAGTCTTACATAAAAATAAAGTCAGATAATATGGATCCAAAGATGGTTTTCTCTGAAGAGAAGGATCTAAAGATGGTTTTCTCTGAAGATATGGATCCAAAGGTGGTTTTCTCTGAAGATGTGGATTCAAAGGTGGTTTTCTCTGAAGAATATCTTCAATGGTTATATAAGTTTCTTGAAATTTCTTACGCGATTAATGTAATATTTTTTGGGTTCGTTATCTTGGTGGCAGTGACACTAATAAAACTAAAGACTAGTCTGGCTGCGACGGATATGGAGAAGTTACATAGACGCGCGGGTCTCGAACGACTGGTGTGTCACGCCAAGGTAATAGCTTGTTTCGAAAATATGCTTGATTACACTCATGCGTGTAAAATAATACAAGCGTGCAGAAAGAATATACTACTGTTGTATCCATCGCATGATTGTACCCTTGATACCCTACATATTCGGATGAATGATCCGCGCGACAAGCGTCTACCACGAGAGCTCATTCAGTCGTTGTATCGTCTGGCCCTTGAGCAGAAAATACGACGAGCGACTTTTTACACATCATCATTCAAAAACATTACCGCAAATAAACCGAATCATGCGAGACTCAGCAGGACGTACAGCAATGACAGTAACCAACAGCATCTGAACGAAATCATGGCCGAGCTAAAGAAATGCTCCCATAATGTGGCCGAGCTAAAGAAATGCTCTCATGACATCAGTATCAGGTTATATAGCTTGACGAACAAGATAGAGAATATAGACCGAGATAGAGATTTGACGATATATTTATAACATTATTAACGTTGCCTAATATTCTATATTGAACATTTGAATTGTTTTAAAAAAGCGAAACTCGAATGGTCTACCAAAGCAGAATCTAAAATTCAAGGAACAATGCAAAGATATGATACACTAAAGCAACTAACAAATCGAAAATAATTATAAATGTCTTCAGATATAAATTTTAACGATTTAATTCGTAGCAATCGAAAAACAATTGTGGATTTAATGAACCATGTTATTTCCAAAATGATTTATATAGATATATGTGTGTATTTATCATAAATTATATAAAATTTAAAGTTATTTTTTTATTCTGTACTTACCAATAATCTAGCTGTGTATCGCTTTCTTGATTCCAGCTACAGAGACAAATTCGGTTGATGTCTTAAGGAGTTTTACATCGATGATCTAGATTTGTGAATCACAGTCACAGTCTTTTTCTGAGAAAATTGTATGTTGACTGCGTACGACACCAAATCGTTTTCAGCTATGCAAATTCTTCAGATAAGTGATGTACGTTGAAAGTTATCGCAGCGTCCGAACACGCCTTCCACACCTATTAAAGAAATCACACTTAAATTTAATTAATTGTTTAGAATTCGGCATAATAAGATAATTTAATGTCTCGTATAACATTTCATATGTATCAATGTTTCAAAGGAATATCGTATATATCAATGGAAATGTTTCAAAGGAATGTTTCAAAGGAATATCATATATATCAATATGTATCAAAGGAATATCATATATAATATCAATGTTTTATGATATGTATCAATATGTTTCATATGTATCAATGTTTCATATGTATCAAAGGAATATCATATATATCAATGTGTTATGATATGTATCAATATAATGTTTTATATGTATCAAAGGAAAACCTAAACAACGAGCGCCGAACGTTAAAACGTTCTTGAGCGAATAGAGTCTCTCGCGCTCCGAGTGTACGTCTCTCCCCGCTCGTCTCCGCTTCCCGTGGGCTTCTAAAATCGTACCGAATTATTGTTCAAAACAATAGTCTTGCCATATTCACGAAAATGATCTGTTCTCGTTCGACTACAAATATTGTCAATGTACACGTCTTCCGTGTGATCCACATTAAAAATTATATAATCGGCTAACTTCTGTGCAACTTAATTCTACCTGTGCCAGCCCTATTCGTTTTCCTGCATTCATCTGACCGACGAATTAAAAAATTATATTAAATTTGGTCCCGCGCAAATCGAAGGGTGCGTGCGATCATAAATAGAATTAACAATTTTTTGTAATATGTAGAACAATAAAAGACTGATAAAAGTATCTTAAATGTACAATCAGAAATTTAAACAAAGAGAAAAATCGACTAACAATAAGAGAGTCAAGACAATAATTATGATGCAGAATTTTTTGAATATTATTTATGTTAAAACAAAATATATAAAGAACTTTTCAATCTTCCTAATAATCTTCAAACAAATAAGATACGTAAAAGATCATAGAAAGAATTGTTATTAACACTTAAATTTAGTTGCAAAAACAGAAGATTGCACAAATGTAACAGTCAAAATGTTTGAAAAAATCAGATTAGCTCTCGCATATAGCGTAAATAAACAAAAATAATAGAAATTTAATTAAAAATTCAAATTAAAATGAAAAGATATTTGTTCAAGAATAATTCGAAAATTCGCGTGAATGCTAGTTCGCCGGTCTCGCTCAGAAATAGCGAAAGGTGAGGAGCGACAGAGACAGAGAGGGGATAAAACAGACCAAAATTTTAAAAAATCGAGTGAAAAATAGCGAGATGATTAGCGAAGCGCGTAAACAATCGAGGTCACGAGTGATTCGAAGGAAAGAGAGATGATTAACAGAGGTCCGAGAGAACAATGAAACCGTTGACACTTTTGACTGAGTCTGCAGAATTTTGAGAAAGTTATTAATGAAATTTTATTGCACTTTCCACATACATAAGGCTGGCGAAATTTTGATAATATTGAGATTCAATATCGAGTTCTGTTGTCTTTGATATAATCACACGTGTTTCGTATAAATTTAAACTACTTGTATGCGATGCTCAGACGATCAGATGATTTGATGATAGATCTGTTTATTACGTGCACGCGGTTATCAAATTAGCAAGGGATTGGATTGAGATCTCTTTTGTATTAGAGCGAAATCATTCCGAGAAGATTTCACTTAGAACCGCACTCCTTCCGGAGTTAAAGATATCGGAATACCGAAAATCCATTAACAAAAATGATATTCAGCGGTGATCGAGAGAAAACTCTCGAACACTAGTCCGAAGGGTAGGAGAAAGTCGAGTTGCGCAAAGGGATTATTCAAAGTCCTAAGAGGAACAAGGATCTGACTATGAGTTTCTTTCGCGCTTGTATTTATGAATCTATATGATATGATAGGAGTAACGGATTCTTCGTTTAAAGCCGTACATTGCTGTGACTAAATACAGACAGAAGAACAAATACCGAGTTGAAAATATAAATTATTAAACATAATGAATTAATAAATAAAATAATGTAATTGATAGCGCAGAATTATTTCGTTAGACTCTAACAGTAATAAATATTCTATGATTTAATTATTTTCTAATTATGGCATATTTATCGTAAACATTTGTTTCTCTGCTACACTTGTCGATATATCCATTACAAAAATAAAGTGTTAATTTTTATACAACACTAAATTATTACATATTAATCTCTTGTTATAATTTAGCTCTTGTATTAATATGACAAAAAATAACATTATATTATTAATTTAAATTTGATAAGCTTAACAATTTAATAATTTAATAATTAAAGCAAGCTACAAGAATATGTAATAAGAAATAGGGGGTTCCATTTAATAAAAATGGAGATGACCTTGAAATCTCTGATTTGCCTCCACCTACAAAAAAGTTATTAGTAGCATTACGGCTCTCTTGGTACAACTTTTATAAGTACAATTTTTATAAGGACAACATTTTTGTATCTCTAAAAATAACGGAGATATTCCAGGTGGACAGAGTTATTGATCCACCCTGTATATCCATTCAGCTATATTTCTTTAATCGAAATGTCACTCTTAATATTGCAAATTATCTTACCCCTTCAATACTGTGATTGTATGCAGTGATTTGCTACGGAGGCAATTGCATATCGGTCTACAGGAATAAATTTGCAAGTAGTTAGTGAAAGGCCTGCATTCTGCTTACGATATCGTTTTTCGGATAGTTTCGCCACATTGTTTATAAACTCCTTTTCCAAAATTTACAACGGTTTCTTCTCTCTCTCGATTGCCACGAACAAAACGAACTAAGAGAATCTGTACGAGAATATAGATGGAATTATATATCATCGTAGTTAAATCAGATATTAATCTTTTTCATTATTTATAAAAATCCAAAAAATAATGTAGATTCAGGTTTTTTGAACTTTTATATTACATTATTCGAGGAAAATCAGATGAAAATTAATAGCAGTTGTTTCAAAAAGAGGCAAAATTTCTTTTTGATTTTCTCATACATTTTTCTATCTTGTTATAATATATATAATTCAATTCGAGATTATGATTTCTCGATTCTTTGGTGACATTCTGAGTGAATCGCCAACACAATTTATGACTAAAATATAAATAGTATAAAATTATCATTTTCTTAATCAGATTGTTTCTTTCTTTAATTTTTCTCTGAACTTGAAATGAAAATAAATCAACCATTTTTCATTGTACAAATGGATTCTTAAAATATATTTTTTAGTGTCTTTCAATTAATTAAAAATCTTTCTTAAAAAAATACACGTGCTGGTATGACTGGTTCGAATGATATCATCAATAATAAAATAATCGTTCCAAGCAATAATAAAATAATCGTAAAATAATAAAATAATCGTTCCAAGGATTCCATAGGAAAACATTATTCTATTCGAAAATTTTCTACTTTCCCATTTTCATCGTTGGCTGTTATGAAGCAGTATATTACGCGTTAATCGCGGAATCAACATTGTTAGTAGATTGATAACATCGAGCTGATTTAATCCTTTGCATTTGATAGTTTTTTCGTTTTTTAGAAAACTAATAACTCGAAATGTTTTAATCCTTCCAAAAAAAACCTTACAAAGGTAAAAAAAATACGCCAAATACATAAAAAATATTCCATCTTGTATGCAACAAAACGTTTAATAAAAAAATACCCTTATAATAAATAATTTATAACAATTTTCCCTCAAAAAATATATATAATTTTCCTAAAAAAAATCAAAACTAAATATGAAATCAATGATTAATTAGCCAAGTATATTGAAGCAATTGATAGGGATTTGTAATTTGAAATATTTGTCACAAATTCAATCTTACATTTATATATTAGATTCTCGACAAAATAAAATTGATTTTCAAAATAAGTTCCAAGTAAATTTGGAACTAAAAAAATTAAGACCAAAACAACTTATAAAAACTTGGCGTGTTCGAATCACATTATAATACATCTAATTTTAGAAAGTTTGCGAATTATATACCTGTAATTAATTTCAATTATAGAAATATGTGAATTATAATATGGCCCGAGCACGCCAAGTTTTTGTAAGTTGTTTTGGTTTTAATTTTTTTAGTTATTAATGTGCTAGAGTAATTTGTAACAAGGAATTAAAATGTTAGTGTGCGATAAATTAATATTATATAGAAATTACCAATTTAAAAGATATGACATATGTAGCAGATAACAAATCTTTACATTAAATATGTCATAATTAGAAAATAATTGGATCATAGAATGTCTTTTTAGTAATTTTTACTATATTTGTTTATATCACACAATGCAAAAACTAGTCTGAGTTTTCTAAACATTTTGGCTATTATATTTGTGCACTCTTCTGCCTTTAGAATTAGTTTATGTATTGATGACAGTGGAGCGCTTACTATATATATGTTCTATTTTGATATAAATAATATTTAAAAGATTCTATGTTACAATTATTCTCATTATTTTTTTGATTGTATTTTGTATTTAAGAACCACTTTTACGATCCTATTATTATTTTATTGCTCTTTTACATATTACAAGAAATTAAAAATTCTATCAAAAGGTATAATTTTTTTAGTAGATATAGAACGCATGTTTGGATGCTATGATAACGTTCAACGAGGATCACTTGTCTGAGGAATTGGCATACGTAGTTGAAAATAATCTGGAGTTGCATGCAGTCGACATGCAACTTTCTCAAAAAGAGAATGTGACTGTGATTCACGAATCTAAAATCACCGATGAAAACTCCCCAAGACATCAATCGAATTTGCCTTTGTAGCTGGAATCAGGAAAGCGGTATACTAGCTAGATTACTGGTGCAGCCGTTTATTCAAATTGGGAGAGTTGAAATAAATGTTCACTGGTATAGAAAAACTTTTTCACTAATAGTTTGATTTATTAATACAAAGATCGACAGCATATTTATCGAACTATAAAATTACACAAATGAACTCGATACATTCGACAATCCTTCACGAACGTTCTACGACACTCTCGGCAGTCCTTCGCCAAAATCGTATCAATGCGCAGTGTTAGACGATTCTTCGCTAATTCGTAACGATACGCAGTGTTAGACAATCTTTCGCTAATTGCTCGATCATCGAAATCCAATTTTCGGTTATCGCGACAGGTGGTGCTGAGCTATCATAGGGATAGCGTGAGGCACGTATTCCTTAAGATACGCATGTATATGTATATATAAATATATATAAGTATTTATTTTTGCTAGTACCGGCTAACTTAAATTTATTTGAAATTCTTAGGCGCTTACACTGGTAAGTACAGAATAAAAAAATAACTCTAAATTTTATATAATTTGTTTGATAAACACACATATATCTATATAAATCATTTTGAAAATGACATGGTTCATTAAATCCACAATTGTATTGTCACGAATTAAGTCGTTAAAATTTGCATCTGAAAACGTTTGTAATTATTTAGATTGTTAAAATTTACATTTGAAAACATTTATAATTATTTTCGATTTGCTAGTTGCTTGGGGATGTCACATTTTTGCGTTCCTACAGAGAATTTTAAATTCTGCTTTGGTAGACCATTCGAGTCTCGGTTTCGCTTTTTCAAAACAATTCAAATGTTCGATATAGAATATTAGGCAATGTTAATAATGTTATAAATGCTTCGTCAAATTTGCATCTCGGACTATACTCTCTATCTTGTACGTCAAGCTATATAACGTGATGCTGATGTCACGGGAGCATTTCTTTAGCTCGGCCATGATTTCGTTCAGATGCTGTTGGTCACTGTCATTGCTGTATGTCCTGCTGAGTCTCGCATGATTCGATATATTTGCGGTATAATGTTTTTGAATGATGATGTGCAGGAAGTCGCTCGTCTCGCATTTTCTGCTCACCGGCCAGACGATACAACGACTGAATGAGCTCTCGTGGCAGATGCTTTTCGCGTGGATCATTCGGCCGAATATAGAGGGCACAATCATTCGATGAATATAACAGTAGTGTATTCTTTCTGCACGCTTGTATTATTTTACACGCATGAGTGTAATCAAACAACTTAGAGAACAGCATATTTTCGAAATGAGCTATTACCTCGACGTGATGCACCAGTCGTTCGAGATTCGCGCGTTTACGTAACTCCTGGATATCCGACACAGCCAGACCAATCATTAGATTCATTAGTATAATTGTCACTAGGAGAAGGAAGCAAAAAAATATGAAATACATCGAGCCAGGATACTTAAGATCTTTATCAAAGAGAAGACAGATGTCTTCGAATTCCAGCTCACCGGACATCATAATAATCATCTTAAGTATACTAATCAGCGGATTAGTAAAGGATTGGTAATTGTTGTGTAGCATATTAAAACCAAAAGCGAAGCCGATTATGAGAACAACGTAGGCTGTAAATAATTTAAAGAAATTGATGGACACTCGCGTAAGCATTTGTATATAGAGGCCAAACATGGGAAAATAACCGATTACAATTATCAGCTCGATCCAGGCCAACAGAATACCTATGGCAGCAACGTGATGTTGCCATGGACGCGCTGGAGAAATCAAGATGATGCTATATGTCACGATCACGCTCCATTGTAACCAGTTTCCCCAGCGTTTAGTATAATGGTAAATACCATAAACAGTAATTTGGAAAAGCTCTTTACTCGCGAGTATGCAGGTAAAACCTAATACTGGCCAGAAGAGGACATTGCTCAGCTGTTCATTGTGCCATAAATATGCCGCGCAGATGAAGTTGACGAAAAAAACGAAGAAGATAAAATGGAACAGGAAATTGAGCAGGAAAAACTTGCGAACACGCTTCCATTTTAGATAGAGAAAACTCTGGCACAATGGGTGCTTCAACATGTGAGCTACACCGACCTCCACCAGACAGAGCATCAGATCCGTTTCGTTGCGACCGCCCAATGGAATCAATGGTCGAAAATCAACTCGCAGTTCACAGTCCATATCGCCAAGTTCGTGATAGTGTAATGAAACTGATTGATCGAGACGCGTCGGAAGTTGCGATAACACCTCCGGAGTACGGCGTACGATGAAGCTAAGAGCGGTGATGCCGTCTTTGGTACGCGCTGTTACGTCGCCACCTTTTGACAACAACATCATCACTGTACGCGAGCTCTCGTTCAAAGCAGCGATGTGCAGTGGCGTGTAACCGAATTTGTCCGCCTTGTTAACTGATGCGCCTGCCTTTTTAACAAAAAAATAATTTTATTAATTCTATCGTTAGAATAAAAAAAAATTATTTAATTTTTTTATCACATAAATGGAATTACTTAACGTGATTTATTAAAAAAATTTATATAAAAAGTGAAGTTAATTTTTTTATTATTTTAATTAAAAGAAGGTATTCTATTCAGAGTTAAAGTAATTTTCATTTACAAACATTTATTAAAGTCTTGACCAGTTCACTGCTTTGCCGAGCACTTGCAACCGCAGCATGTAGAGGAGTGCGTCCTTCATTATCTTCTTCGTCTACCTTTGCGCCAAATCTGATCAACTCCTTTATCGTCTCTACAGATTTGGCGATCGTTGCCAAGTGCATCGCCGTTTGACCACTCGAGTTTTTTGTCTCAGTTTTCGAGCCAGCTTTCAACAGTAAGCTAGTGCATTTGGCGTTACCATTTTCCGCCGCCAAGTGTAGAGGCGTCGATTTCGTGGTTCTCATTTTGATTCTCACATCCGCGCCGTGATCCAATAGTAATTTGATGCAGTGGACATTGCCCAAACTAGCCGCCACATGCAAAGGCATCCTTCTATAAAACTGTCAACGAATCATAAATTAATTCATTGAAGATATCTCAGAATCCAAAAGAAATACACTACCCTCCATAAGTTTGGAAACATTTTATAAAAGTATACATTATAAAGAAAATAACTTTAATTTCTTTGATATTTGCTGGATGCTATATCCATCTTCTTGTCAAACGACGCGGTCCAAAAAAAACCTTACAAAAATAAAAAAACCTACGCTAAGTACATAAAAAATATTCCACCTTGTATGCAACAAAACGTTTAATAAAAAAATATCATTATAATAAATAATTTATAAAAATTTTCCCTAAAAAAATATATATAATTTTCCTTAAAAAAATCAAAACTAAATATAAAATCAATGATTAATTAGCCAAATATATTAAAGTAATTGATAGGGATTTGTAATTTGAAATATTTGTCACAAATACAATCTTGCATTTATACATTAGATTCTCGACAAAATAAAAATGATTTTCAAAATAAGTTCCAAGTAAATTTGGAACTAAAAAAATTAAGACCAAAACAACTTACAAAAACTTGGCGTGCTCTTGGGTCATATTATAATTCATTAATATTTCTATAATTGAAATTAATTATAGGTATATAATTCGCAAACTTTGTAAATTATATGTATCATAATGTGACCCGAGCACGTCAAGTTTTTGTAAGTTGTTTTGATCTTAATTTTTTTAGTTCCAAATTTACTTGGAACTTATTTTGAAAATCATTTTTATTTTATTGAGAATCTAACATATAAATGCAAGATTGAATTTGTGACAAATATTTCAAATTACAAATCCCTATCAATTGCTTCAATGTACTTGGCTAATTAATCATTGATTTCCTATTTAGTTTTGATTTTTTTTAGGAAAATTATATATATTTTTTGAGGGAAAATTTTTATAAATTATTTATTATAAGGGTATTTTTTTATTAAACGTTTTGTTGCATGCAAGGTGGAATATTTTTTATGTACTTGGCGTATTTTTTTTACCTTTGTAAGGTTTTTTTTGGAAGGATAAAATAATAATCTTGACTCGCAATTCATATGGAATCTGATACTTCGGGACCATTTTTAACGATTGTAGTAATTTTTGTTATTTTTACAGAAACTAAAATCAAACTATACTCAAATGAGTTCTTATCACTCTGATCTATGTTTCTAATGCGCTTAAACATTACGGGCATACCACTACAGTATCTGATATGCCGTAGTAGCACTATTTGGCAGAACAAATCAACGCGCGAAATTTAACTCCGATTTGGTGCTGCGTTATAATTATTAAACATATTTTCGGCATAAACAGGCATGACACTATTATTTAATAGCGACACTATTACTTAATTATATAAACGTCTTACAATATATTCATATGAAAAATCTGCACGGATTGCTGCCATGCGATTGTTTATGTAAACTGCAAGGTGTTTCCAAACTTATGGAGGGTAGTTTATGTTACTTTGATAAGAAAGTAATTGTTTCTGCGTAATTCCATGTATCAGATAATTAGTAGTTTGCCATTTTAATTTTAGACTAACAGCGATTTTTGGTTTATAATATTAATGTTATTTAACTAAATTTATGTTTAAATAATATTAATAATTTTAAATTAATGTTTAAATAATATTAATGTTAGTTAACTAAATTTATGTTTAAATTGTGTGATGAAGAATCACCTGTGGATTATTAGGAGAAGCACCTGCTTGCAGTAGAGCTTCGACGCAATCAACAGCATTGTTCAGCACGGCGTAATAAAGTGGACTTCTTCTAGCATTCACATTTGCGCCTGACTTGATCAAGCATGTAACAGTAGCAACGCAACCAGCTGCGGCAGCGCAATGCAATGGGGTGTATTTTTTCTTGAAATCCCACTCACATGGATCTGCACCATGTTTCAATAGCTCTTCCACGATCTTCGTGGACATGGTACACGCTGCCAGATGTAGCGGTGTCCTGGAGATAGTATAAATATATAATTGTAAATGTATAATTTTTATCAATGATTTATTATAATTACAGGCTTAATTGACTAATCAATCAAGATATTTGATAATCTACTGCTAGCTAGTATAAACAGCTTCTATCATAATAGATGAATTATTGTTTTCAGAAGTTCAGCTTCAATTTTTTGATGATAAAATTTAGACTTTTATATATTATAAATGATATAAACCTTCCATCATTGTCCCTCGTAGAAACTGACACGCCTTTTTCTAACAAAGTCTTAACTATTTCTACATGACCCAGCCAGCTAGAAATCAGTAGACACGTGTTGGGCCATTTTGCAAGTAATTGTCCCCGAATCGTAATATTTGCTGCTCTATTTTCGTCAACCACTGTAGTCTTTTGTTTAATTCTGTATGTCAAGTTTTAAATTAAATATACTAGATAGTTAATTAACATATAATATGCTAAATTATAAAATATAAAAAGATTAAATTTTAAAATAAATTATAATATCTAAAAAGATTAAATTAAAAATTTTATTATTTTACTAATTAAAAATTTTAAAAGAATAAATTAAAAATTTTATTATTTTACTAATTAAAAATTTTATTATTTTACTTATATAAAGGATCTTAATATATGTAAAATAGATTAAATGAAATAAAATGATTAACGTAGAAATAGAATGATTTTTAACATCAGAAATAATTTTTATCAACAGAAATATATAACATCAAATAGAAATATACACACAATAAATAAATTATAAGAAGCATGACAAATTCTATTTAAAATTCTATTCTTCTACCTTTATCTATTTATTTATTTATTTTTATTCATTTTATCTTAATGCAACACGCATAAATTAGAAACGCTAATATCGTACTTATCTGTGGACAACGGTATGCTGCTATGCTTGCGATCCTCATCACTTTTGTTGAGAGTCACACATTGAAATTCTTCCAGAACCTTTTGTAGAGCATCGCCATGAAGAGTAGGAATCAGAGATAAAACTTTATTTCCTTCCGGAAGATTCGATAATGCTACTTCGATCTCCTCCTTGCTCCAAGGTTGTTTCTGCGTCGTCGACTCGTCTTCTTGTTCGATAGATTTCAAGCTGTCCTCGGAGTTGCTATATGCTCTCCCGTTCATCCAAATATTCCCATATGGTTTCTAAATATAATATACATGAAGACATAAGAAATCGAAAAACCATCGATGATTGTTTTTTTTACTGACTTTTTTAACGTTGGATCTCTTGTCTTTGATAGTCTTTATCTCCTGCGTTATTCTTCGTATCAAAGGAGTGACTGCCGGAGCAGAACTGTCGAAGAACATCTCGAAGTACTTATTGAAACTTCACAATGTGATTTTTCTGTGGACTCGCATTCTTATAAAGATGCTCCGTTCAAATCAATTGACGTACATTGAAGTCATATTGCGTGTTCCTACAAATTGATTTGATTGATACAGCAACATGAATGGCGAGTGAGAAGTGACAATAAGCCCCATTCAAGTCAATTGACATACATTGAAGTCATCAATATGACTACAATGTGTTCCTACAAATTCAATTGATTCAATTGATATAGCAACATGAATGGCGAGTGAGAAGTGACAATAACTGTTTGTGTTTGATTTAGGCATATTTCCTAGTAAAGCCTTGTACTTTTTTTTTTTTTTTTATTTATTATTTCATTAATAATGAATATCAATATATAAATATTTGAACATAGATCTGATATAAAGTTTCGTATAAATATAAAAATACATGAACCTTCAAAAAATACAATAGTTCTTTACAACAATTCTCTATATCTGTTAACTTATATATAATTTATTTTTATGTTGACTGTAAAAAATTTCATCAATTTTTTATCAAGCGACGCGGTAGCATCGCGACGCCAAGTACATAAAAAACAAGTCCAAACATTGAGTTCCAAGCATTGAGTTGAGAGTCACTGCTCTCGACGTGGCGCTACCAAGTACCTTATCCGGAATTTCGCGTCAAGTAAACTTTCGATTAAGATATTTAATAAACGCTACTGCGCCGCTTGATAATAACTTTTAATATGTCACTTCTCTTCTGTCTTTTTAAACAAGTAACCTTAACGTGTCACTTCTATTCCTTGTTATACTATTCCGCACTATACTTTAATAAATTTACATTTCATACGTACGTACACATACATATTACACTATTCCGCACTATACTTTAATAAATTTATCTTTCATACGTACGTACACATACATATTACACTATTCCGCACTATACTTTAATCACACGTATGTGCGCACATGCACACATATGATTTTGTCACTTAAAGCATTGTACATACATATCAAAGCAATAATCGTATACGCAGCGATGTGAACGCCGCTTGAGGGACAAATTCGCTTTGCGTGTGTGCGTGCGAGCATATGTACGTGAGTCTCTGGAAATGAAGGAAAACGAAAAATGTCACAATTCTGATATTCGATCATCGTTTCTCAGGATTGACTGCACCGATTTTGTTCAAACAGGTCGCAATCGAAAGCATATATTCACATTTTATAATAAAAGTATCGTTAAATTTTTGATTACGGCTTTAGTTTATTAAATATCTTAAACCGAAAATTTACTTGACGCGAAATTCCGAATAAGGTACTTGGTAGCGCCGCGTCGAGAGCAGTGACTCTCAACTCAATGCTTGGAACTCAATGCTTGGACTTGTTTCTTATGTACTTGGCGTCACGACGCTACCGCATCGCTTGATAATCGTTCCAAGCAAGGATTCCATAGGAAAAGTATTCGAAGATTTTCTTCTTTTCTATTTTCGTCGTTGCCTGTTGTGAAGCAGTATATTGCGCGTTAATCGCGGAATCAACATTGTTAGTAGATTGATAGCGTCGAGCTGATTTAATCCTTTGCATTTGATAGTTTTTCGCTTTTTAGAAAACTAATAACTCGAAATGTTTTAATAAAAAATTGATGAAATTTTTTACAGCCAACATAAAAATAAATTATATATAAATTAACAGATATAGAGAATTGTTGTAGAGAACTATTGAATTTTTCAAAGGTTCATGTATTTTTACATTATATAAAACTTTATATCAAATATTCAATTATTATGATCAATAATAATTGAAATAATAAGTACAAGACTTTACTACGAAATGCATCTAAATCAAACATAAGCAGTTTGTCGCCACTCATCATTCGAGTTGCGTATGAAATCAAATGCCGATTAATTGTGAACGTCACTTCTCAAAATCAATTTCTAAATTAACTTGCAATGTGACCGTGATGTATGTCAATTTATTTGATCCGAGTATCTTAATAATAATGCGAGTCCACAGAAAAATAACTTTGTAAAGTTTCAGTAAGAACTTCGAGAAGTTCTTCGGCAGTTCTGTTCCGACAGTCACTCCTTTGAGAAGTCACTTCTACGAGGAATAACGCAGGGGAAACAGACTATCAAAAACAAGAGATCCAACGTTATGAAAAAAGTCAGTGAAAAAAACAATCATCAATGGTTTTTCGATTTCTTTATATCTTCATGTAGATTATATTTAGAAATATGGGAATATTTCTAAATATAATATATGGGAATATTTGGATGAGCGGGAGCGCATATAGCAACTCCGAGGGCAGCTTGGAATCTATCATATGTCACGCATCACAAGACGAATCGAGAAACGAGACGCAGAAACAACCTTGGAGCAAGGAGGAGATCGAAGTAGCATTATCGAAACTTCCGGAAGGTGAGACAGCTTTATGTGTGATTCCTACTCTTCATGGCGATGCTCTACAAAAGGTTCTGGAAGAATTTCAATCTGTGACTATCAACAAAAGTGAGGATCGCAAGCATAGCACATCCTTGCCCACAGATGAGTACGGAATGATATTAGCGTTTCTAATTTATGCGTGTTGCATTAAGATAAAATGAATAAAAATAAATAAATAGATAGATAAAAGTAGAAGAATAGAATTTTAAATAGAATTTGTCATGCTTCTTATAATTTATTTATTGTGTGTATATTTCTATTTGATGTTATATATTTCTGTTGATAAAAATTGTTTCTGATGTTAAAAATCATTCTATTTCTACGTTGATCATTTTATTTCATTTAACTAATTTGTTTTACATATATTAAGATCCTTTATATAAGTAAAATAATACAATTTTTAATTATAAAATTTAATCTTTTTAGATTTCATAATTTAGCATATTATATGTTAATTAACTATCTAGTATAATTAATTTAAAACTTGACATACAGAATTAAACAAAAGACTACAGTGGTTGACGAAAATAGAGCAGCAAATATTACGATTCGGGGACAGTTACTTGCAAAATGGCCCAACACGTGTCTACTGATTTCTAGCTGGCTGGGTCATGTAGAAATAGTTAAGGCTTTGTTAGAAAAAGGAGTGCCAGTTTCAACGAGGGACAATGATGGAAGGTTTATATTATTTATAATATATAAAAGCCTACATTTTATCATCAAAAAATTGAAGCTGAACTTCTAAAAACAATAATTCATCTATTATGATAGAAGCTGTTTATACTAGCTAGCAGTAGATTATCAGATACCTTGATTGATTAGTCAATTAAGCCTGTAATTATAATAAATCATTGATAAAAATTATACATTTACAATTATATATTTACACTATCTCCAGGACACCGCTACATCTGGCAGCGTGTACCATGTCCACGAAGATCGTAAAAGAGCTATTGAAACATGGTGCTGATCCACGTAAGTGGGATTTCGAGAAAAAATACACCCCGTTGCATTGCGCTGCCGCAGCTGGTTGCGTTGCTACTGTTACATGCTTGATCAAGTCAGGTGCAAATGTGAATGCTGGAAGAAGTCCACTTTACTACGCCGTGCTGAACAATGCTGTGAATTGCGTCGAAGCTCTACTGCAAGCAGGTGCTTCTCCTAATAATCCCCAGGTGCTTCTTCATCACAACCACAATTTAAACATAAATTTAGTAGGGAAGTAATATTATAAACCAAAAATCGCTGTTAGTCTAAAATTAAAATGGCGAACTACTAATTATCTGATACATCGAATTATGCAGAAACAATTACTTTCTCACCAAAGTAACGTAAACTACCCTCCACAAGTTTGGAAACACCTTGCATTTTACATAAACAATCGCATGGCAGCAATCCGTGCAGATTTTTCATATGAATATATTGTAAGACGTTTAAATAATAGTGTCATGCCTGTTTATGCCGAAAATATGTTGAATAATTATAACACAGCACCGAACTGCTCGGAGTTAAATTTCGCGCGTTGATTTGTTCTGCCAAATAGTCGTACTACGGCATATCAGATACTGTAGTGGTATGTCCGTAATGTTTGGGCGCATTAGAAACATACATCAGAGTGATAAGAACTCATTTGAGTATAGTTTGATTTTAGTTTCTGTAAAAATAACAAAAATTACTACAATCGTTAAAAATAGTCCTGACGTGTCAGATTCCATATGAATTGCGAATATTATTATTTTACAAGAAGAAGGATATAGCATCCTGCAAATATCAAAGAAATTAAAGTTATTTTCTTTATATTGTATACTTTTATAAAGTGTTTCCAAACTTATGGAGGGTAGTGCATTTCTTTTAGATTCTGAGATATCTTCAATGAATTAATTTATGATTCGTTGACAGTTTTATAGAAGGATGCCTTTGCATGTGGCGGCTAGTTTGGGCAATGTTCACTGCATCAAATTACTATTGGATCACAGAGCGGATGTGACAATGGAAACAGAAATCACGAAATCGACGCCTCTACACTTGGCGGCGGAAAATGGTAACGCGAAATGCACTAGATTACTGTTGAAAGCTGGCTCGAAAACTGAGACAAAAAACTCGAGTGGTCAAACGGCGATGCACTTGGCAACGGTCGCCCAATCTGTAAAGACGATAGACATGCTGATTAGCGCTGATGCAAAGGTGAATGCAGAGGATAATGAAGGACGCACTCCTCTACATGCTGCGGTTTCAAGTGCCCGGAACAGCAGCGCAGTGGTCAAGATTTTAATAAAAGTTTGTAAATTAAAATTCCTTTAACTCAGTGAATAGAATACGTCCTTTTTTTAAATTAAAATAATAAAAGAAGTTAATTGTTTCACGTTACAAATAAATTTTTTCTAATAAATTACGTTAAGTAATTCTATTTATGTAATAATTAAATTTAAACAATGGTTTTTATACTAACGATAGAATTAATAAAATTATTTTTTTGTTAAAAAGGCAGGCGCATTAGTTAACAAGGCGGACAAATTAGGTTACACGCCGATGCACATTGCGGCCATGACCGAGAGCTCGCGTATGGTGATGATGTTGTTGTCAAAAGGTGGCGACGTAACAGCGCGTACCAAAGACGGCGACACCGCTCTTAGCTTCATCGTACGCCGTACTCCGAAGGTGTTATCGCAATTTAAGACTTGTCTCGATCAAGCAGTCTCATTAGACGAACTTAGCGATAGGAACTATAAATTGCGAATAGATTTTCGACCATTGGTTCCATTGGACGGTCGCAGCGAAACGGACCTGATGCTCTGTCTTGTGGAGGTCGATCAAGGTCGCTTGATAAAGCATCCATTATGCGAAAGTTTTCTCCATCTAAAATGGAAGCGTATTCGTAAGTTTTTCGTGCTCAATTTTTTGTTTCATTTAATCTTTGTCGCTTTCTTTACCAGCTTCGTCTACACGACATATTCGACATATAAACAACTGAGCAGTGTTCTTTTCTGGCCATTATTAGGTTTTACTTGCATACTCGCGAGTAAAGAGGTCTTTCAAATTACCTATGGTGGTATTTGCTATTATATTAAACGCTGGGAAAATCTGCTACAGTGGAGCGTGATCGTAGCATCCAGCCTCATACTGATTTCGCCAGAACCATGGCAACACATTGCTGCCGTAGGCATTCTGCTGGTCTGGATCGAGCTGATGATTGTGATCGGTTATTTTCCTATGTTTGGCCTTTATGTACAAATGTTTAAGCGAGTGTCCATCAATTTCTTCAAATTTCTCACAGCCTACTTTTGTCTTATAATTGGCTTCTCTCTTAGCTTTAATGTGCTGCACGGCAAATACAAGTCCTTTGAGGATCCGGTGATCAGTATGCTTAAGGTAATAATTATGATGTCCGGTGAGTTGGAATTCGAGGACGCTTTCTTCGATCTTAAGTATCCTGGCACCGCGCATGCTATGCTTCTTTGCTTCGTTATCCTGGTGACAATGATACTAATGAATCTAATGATTGGTCTGGCTGTGTCGGACATCCAGGATATACGTACACGCGCGAGTCTCGAACAATTGGTGCATCACGTCGAGGTAATAGGTCATTTCGAAAATATGTTCTCTAAGTTGGTTGATTACATTCATGCGTGTAAAATAATACAAGCGTGCAGAGAGAAAACATTAGTGTTGCCGAATCATTGTGTCTTCCATATTCGGCCGAATGATCCGTGCGAAAAGCGTCTACCACCAGAGCTCATTCACTCGTTGTATTGTCTGGCCGGCGAGCAAAATATGCCACGACCGACTTTTTGCAGCAGCACATCGTCGCGGAAACATTCCGCCATACCAAAACATTCTGTCATACGAAGACCGCAAATAAACCGAATCATGCAAGACTCAGCAAGTTGCACAGCAATGACAGTAATCAACAGCTACCGGATGAATTCGTGGACTAGCTAAAGGAATATTTTCATGACAGTATCAAGTTGGATAGCTTAACGAACAAGATAGAGAGTATCGTCCAAGAGCAGATTTGACGATACATTTATAACATTATTAACATTGCCAAATATTCTATATTGTCGAACATTTGAATTGCTTTAAAAAAGCGAAACCGAGACTCGGATGGTCTATCGAAACAGGATCTAAAATTCAAGATAGAACGCAAAGCTGTGATATACGCAAGCAACTAACACATCGAAAATAAATGTCTTCAGATGTAAATTTTAACGACGTAATTTGTGGCAATCCAAAAACAATTATGGATTTAACGAATCATGTCATTTCCAATATGATTTATATAGATATATGTATTTTATCATAAATTATATAAAATTTAAAGTTATTTTTTTATTCTGTATTTACCAATAATCCAGCTGTGTACCGTTTTCCTGATTCCATCTCTGTACAAGTGAATTCGGTTGATGTCTTGGGGAGTTTTACATCGGTGATCTTAGATTCATAAATTACAGTCATATTCTCTTTCCGAGAAAGTTGCATGTTGATGATTGCATGTTGACTGTAATACCAAATCGTTTTCAGCTATGCAAATTTTTCAGATAAGTGATGCTTGTTGTATGTTATTATAGCGTCCGAACACGCATTCCACACCTATTAAAGAAATCACACTGAAATTTAATTAATAGAAATTAACAATTTTTTGTAATATGTAGAACAATAAAAGACTAAATTAAAATGGTTCTTAAATGTATATATATATATATATATATATATATATACATACATATATATGTAACTTATATATATGTAACTTATTCATTTGTTACAATTTGTCACCGGCCGCTTGCCAACAGTAGGCTTGAAATATTATTAAATATTATTATCGTAGCTTTAAGTTTTTTTAAATTAGGTAAGGGTTTAATATTAATTAAATCATTAAAGTAATTTTATCCGGCAATTTAATGAAGATAAGTTAGTGTCAAACACTAATTTAAACTGAATATCAAAATTAATTAATTGAGAAATTTTTTACACGTGTATGATCTTTGATACTTAATTTTAATATATAATTGATTAATATTTATAATATATAATATATAATTGATTAATTCAGAATATTATTTCAAATATATAAAAATTTTGCCAGGTCATTCATGTTTTTAATAATTTAATGTAATGTATAAAAATTATATTATATAAAAGGATTAAAACAATATTTGTATATATATGTCTAACGATAACATTTATGAAGGTTTTACCTTGAACCCTCGAAGCGAATCGATCGAGTTACTTCGCATGTCATTCATTTCTTGGTGGGGACTGGTTGCAGGGCGTTAGCACTTCCTCATGGACTTCACCATGACGACGGCGACGCCGGGCCAGGTTGCATTGATTCTCCTGGTCGAGTCAGCAGGTAGTAATGGTCGTCGAAGCGGCTAGCACGTCGTTATTTTCTTTTCAACATCTGGTCGCGAATTCTCTGCCCTTCAGGATCGAACTAGAAGTCGCATTCGGCTGATGATTCGAATGATAATTAAGAAAGGTGATTAATAACCAAGAGCTTCACAGAGAGAGAGTAACAATAATCTTTAATGTCGAGATCTTATAAGAGAAAATGTCTTTTAACTTTTTACAAGCAATTAAAATATATATTCATGAAAGACACATGTAAATAGAAAAAAAGAGAGAATAAAAGTATATATTAATTTTATTTAAATGATATAATTTTGTGAAGTTATGAATATACTCAATCTGCAAATTTAATTATCATATTGATTGGGAAAGTTAGTATAATTCATTTTTCACAATTTTATGTTTTATATTTCCAAGAGTTTTTGGACATCACATAAATTCTTATTATACGTCATATTATTTTGGATTATAAGTAGCTATATGACTTTGTATGATTGCATTACATGCCTATCATTGGTAAGTTATTTAAATTATGTTACGTTTTTCATTTAATTTTATATTAATTTGGCGTATATATTAATTTTAACGTTATATTAATTTTTATTATTATTCTCTTATTATTATCAATATCAAGATAATAAATGATTATTAATTCGATTTTAAATTAAATAGGAAATATACTAAAAAAGCAACAGCTAGATTTATTAGTAACTTTAAAATATTTATTGTATAAAATTTAAAAAATATATCTTTTTTTATCAATGCTATATTTAAATGAATTAAATTGAATTAATTTATTTTATTCAAGATATTTACAATTATTTTATTTCAATTAATTTATTTTAATTAAATTTATCAAAAGTTAGTACTGATAGTACGTATAATATATATAGTAGTACTGATAGTACGTATAATATATATCATAATGATATTTTAATTAATATTTAAGAGAGAAAATGTACTCTGTGTATTATTTACATACCATTTGTATTATATTGTACACAGTTCAGTAAACCATGACGGAGCACAGAGGTACATCCTTCTTCCATTCATGCGTGAAGGTACCGGTGGATCCTTACAGCAGACAACCAACTCCCTCGTATGAACGTCCTCGAATGTCATCGACAAGGAACCGAAGATCGGAGAAAGTGAAAAAGATCAACTTTGCCGAAAACGAACCGACTGCCGTTGCTGAAGATTCGGAGTCGTTGAGTCCGCGCGATACCCTGGAGAACTTTCTGGAGTTCATGAAGAGTATACCGGACTATGGACAGATACACCATCTGTCAAACGAGCAATTCAAGCAGAGGGTCGAGTATCTGAGGAGAAAGCAACGGTTGCTTCTTCAGAATTTGAGAAATTCACTGGACGATTCGGCGGAAAAGCCGCCGTCGCGATTGTCGATCACAAGAAACGAGAACTTGAAGTCGAAGGATGTCAAGCCGGACATCGCTAGTGATCTTAAATTGAATGGTAAAAAATGCTACCTCGAAGAATCCAGGACCAGCAGCCCGATACTTTTTCCGTCCGGCACTTTTGCTGGTCTTGCCGAGGATCAAGATCTGTTAACATACAGGTGATAAATTAATTATTGCAAAATGAAAAGAAAGCAATTGCTAAAGATTTCAATGTATAAGTGGATTTTTAATATAAATCATTTATAAAAATTATATATATATATATATATATATATATATATATTATATATATTATATATATATATATATATATATATATATATAATATATTTTTCCGCTTCTTCCCTGAAATAGAATAAAAATATATATATATATATATATATATATATATATATATATATATATATTGAGATTTTCCCAATACCATTTTTTTATTTTATCAAATTATTTTATTGGATTATCATTACTCATTGATATTGATTTCAGATGCAGAGACAAGGACAAGGAGACGAAGACAATGCGCAACAAAGAGATATTTGCGGCAAATAAAAGTTGGAGTACTTGGAGTGGATCAAAAAGCGACGATAGCGTAGATAGTGATGGCGAGGACAGTATCGAGACGAAGAGCTTGCCACCTAATAGTTCGAAAGAATGGCATCCTACCATGCCCAAACCATTTAGCTTCACATTGAGGTGCGTATTCTAATAACAAAATTTTCTAAGACATATCTAAAAATATCTATATTTAAAGATAATTTTTAATAAATGCAGCTTCCATTTCATTTTTGTTTTGATATTAACATACAGATTAATTAATTTTCATTTTTCTATTTTTTAAAATATATTTTTTATTTCTTGTTTGTATGTATATCAGTGCAAATTAATATAATAGTTTTTATTCTATTTCAGGGAAGAAGCGGAAAAATATATGACGGAAATAGAAGCGGCCGAGCGCATAAATCAAGATAACACGAAAAAGAGTCAGAGTCCTTCAAAGAAACGCCGAGTCAGACCGATTCCTATTACGTCTAAAATACCGCTTTATGACAAATTGATGGCCGAGAAAGAGGAAAGGTTAGCCATGTAACATTATTATTTTGTAATGTAGACAAAGGAATGCATAACGTTTTAATTTTCCGCGAATTAATATCGTACTTATTTGGTCAACTCTTTTTAATTCTGAAAATTTAATTATATAATTTAACATTTTCATATATTTTATATTATTTATTTTATATATAATTTGTAAAGTTTATTTATATATATTTATATATTTATATATATTTTTTCTTCATTTTCAAGCTTAATTCTCAAGCAGGTTAAGATTGAATTAATCGCTGATTTATAACTCATTCACTATCTCCTAAAATATAATACAGATTCACCATTAAAAACAAATTTCTTCTCCATTTCTTCTCCTCGATTCCTATTTTTTCAGGTGTATTTTCTCAAATACACCAATATAATAAATTGATCTATTATTAGTTTTAAATTAAAATAAATTAATAAGTTACGCGTGATGTGAAACAATGAATGATTGATTGGAACCAAAGTGTCATGCTTTCTGATTTCTAGGAGTCGCATCGTACGCGAGGAAAGTACTCTGAATCTATTGTCACAGATGCGACCTTTCAAGCTGGAGTGCGATCGTCGTGCCTGGCGATCCCTGGCGAGGTCTAGTCCCGAGCTCCGCTCCAGCAAAAGCAGTTCCTCGCGCTTCAAGGCCAAACCAGTGCCAAGAAACTTGTTCGGCACTGAAGTTTACGATCGCATGCTCGAGGATGAATATTACAGGTCAGCTATTCGACCGCTTTGCCGAATTTTTTATTATTTTTCATTCAGCAAAAATATTTAAATGGACATTTTTACGCGCATCTCTATTGCATCTCGCGCTCTTCTTTTTCTCACTCTCTTCCTTTCTTTTTTTCTCGAAAATACAAACATCACGAAACAGGCAAAATAGCACCGTTATTTAAATCGAATGTCCGGAAAATATTGCCTATCCTTTCAGGTAGATATCTACGTATCTTTGATTTACAAACGAATAAAAATAGTTACAAGATTCAAACAGTTTAGACGATTTGGAGATATTTAAAATGTACCTTTTTGAAGAAGCTTAAATTGCTTAGCAGGATCACTTGAGGATTCCTCGAAGAGAGTTAAAGACGATTAGATTCAGATTGTAAAAATTCCGCGCGCGATTCCAGACAGCTAAAGAAAAGGGTGAGAGCCGCCGAGTTGCTGAAGTCCTCTTCCTTGCCACCGTCGATGGCGAGACGCGAGCGTGTCAAGTCCGCGTGTGCACATTTGCAGGACATAGCGTCCAACAAGGACGACGACGAGTCGATGATTCCGACGACGACGACGATGTCCGATGGAACCAGATCCGCAATGACGTCCATGATGTCCTCGCGCGGAAACAATCTAGCCGCGATCTTGAGATGTCAGGCTTCACGGTACGATCTGTGCGACAGAAAAAAATATACATTAGACAAGATTAATATTAGATGAAGAGATATCGAGGGAAAAATTAAAATTAATTTTAGGATATCGTGAAAGATTAATGAAAAAGAAAGAAAAGGTTGTCTTTCGTTCAGGATGTTAGAAATTAATTAATTGTGAATTAATTACATCATGAATAATTAATTATCTTGATTGAATTACATGAATGATTTATGTTTCAAGAGACGATTAAATAAGGAAATACACATATTATTTCTCGATTAATTTTAAATGGGTTTTATTTTGGCAAAATTTCCTGATTTTTTAATTTAGGAATAAATAAGGAAATATTAAAAACATACACACGAGAATACCGTTTAAAAGAACTTTTTTGAGAAAAATTATTGATAAGTAGAGTAATTCTTCATAATTCTGCGTATACGCAAAAAACAGAGGTATTATTTTGACGTAATAGAAACGCAGAAACTTGCTTGATAGAATTTTTTCCGAATCTGTAAGTTTAATTTTTCAAATACCGACCGCATATTTCTGATTGCTTCAATCAGAGGGGAATTCACACGCGTAAATGACGATCGCAAACTCGTCGCAGAGAGAAACTGGAGCGCGAGATACGGGAACGAATGGAGGAGAAACGACGGGAGCAGATACTGAAGCTCAGGGAGACGCTGATCGGCCGGAAGCCCGCGTGGAGAGCCCTGAGGTCTGCCGCTAGGTACGCAGAATCGAATCTATAGATCCGTATAGATCTCATCCCATAACTTTCACGATCGGGCATTGATGCAATAAACGCGTAAACAAGGCACGAGCACGACAGGGACCTGGATATACGGTCGTCTCTTCGTCGGGACGAGGCGAGGGAGCAGGCCGAGCGTCATCGTCTGCAGATGGAAATGATGCTGGATCGCGTGACGCAAATACCGACTCTATTTGAACGGCATTCCCAGGTATAATGAGCTCTTTTGCGAACGTCATCATAGAGATTTTACTTCCCGGATCAAGGAAATAAATAAAATATTCATCAATTACGTCTTCTCCGGCAAGGAAACATCTTTTACGCAGATAATATTTCATTTGTGTTTGGCACGCATTAGCATACTTTATTCAGGAAGAATAATATTAGTATATTATTGATTACTTTGTTATTATATTAAATTTGACATAAAATAAGAGGAAAAATATATATTTTTTAATTAATAACATTCGTACAATTTATAACAAAAAATAATAAAAAATAATAATTTAGTAATAGTATCGATTATACATTTATAAGACATTTATAGAACTTGCAAAATTCTTCAAAAATGTCGTGTAAACTACGCTTTATGCGATGAACTTTACAGAGTTTCCAGTCACTTGCGATGGCGCAACAACAAAAAACTTTACCGAAGAACAACGTCCGCAAGAAGAAGAAGAAGAAAAAGCAATCGCTGAAGAGACCCATGTCAAGCAGTCTGGATTCGTACATGAGCTTTGTCAGCAACTATAGACCGAATTCAGGATCATTGACCAGCTCTTCCGGTACTCTAATTTCTTCAAGCCAATCGTCATCAAAGTCATCGCATGGTTCCTCCGATAAATCAGCAGCCAAGTCGGAAGGCTCAATGTCGAAGAGAAAGGCCGATCGTGGCCCGCTCAAGGTATCGATCAACGAAACTGCGGAACTGATCGAGGATCGTAATGAGAAGTCGACGAGCAGCGACGAGCGATCTCGTAGCGAGGATCACGAAGATGCATTATAAAAGGATGACAAGGTCATCGCCAAAAAGTAAATTAAATTGATATCTTTATTCTTCTGAAGATATTCTGAATTTTAAATTCATATTTGATTCATATTTGATTCATTATAATATATAGGTAATATTCATAATAAAATTATATATACCTCAGCTTTTTGAAAATTCGATTAAAATTAAGCAGAGGATGATAATTTATCTATTTTTAATATGCTTATCTATTTTGCATTATTATAATATATATCTCTTAAATTCTTAAATCTTTTTGCACTTTTTTAAATATACTATTTTATTTACAATTGTTTGTAAAAATTCATAAATTATTGATAATTTATAGTTAAATATCTAATATATCTTAAAAGATAAACTAATTCTAAGTCAATCGAAAACAGATCGTTTTGGAATAAAAATGAAAGCGATAATTTTGGAAAGTCTGATGTCATTGTGATTGGTTGAGAATTGTATTTCACAGAATATAAGCAACACATTTTTTTATGAAAAAAAAGATATATTATAAAGAGTACAAACAACATGACATATTCACACATAAGTCATAATTATGCATAGTCAGTTCAGCACGAAAAATAAAATATTTATTACTCTATAATAATTAAGACTCTATAAGAGAACTTCTCTTTGTCTCTCCTTCTCTCTTTCTCTCGCTCTCTCATTCTTCTCTCTTTTCATTCAAGTCACTCATCACTTGAAAAGTATAGCATATCTTGAATTATCTTAACTTAAGTCAAAACGAGATTCACGAGTTTCTCACACGAGATTCTAATGAAATAAAATTGCACCGATAGTAAGATAATCTTTTAATTCTAAAAAAATAAAATAATAAATAAAAAAACAATTAATAAAAATTATTATTTTTATTATTTAAAAATATTAAATAATAGAAATGTCCATGTTTTCTAATTATTAACTTTCTTTAGCATTGAAATTTTATTCTCTTCTCATCGTTGCAATTTTATTTGTCCTGCAATTTTTCAAAATCAATCTTATCTATTATCGTATATCCTATGGAGTTTTAATTTTTGTTTTCATCGCGATCCAAACTATTGTATTTTATGGACGGTGAAATATAAGATGAAATATTATAAGATGAAATATGTTTTCCGGAGAACCAGAAGAAAATCAATGTCCATAGTTTTTATTGGAATGAATTTTTAACGTAACAAATGTCACGATCAATCTGAGTCCGTCATCGTGTCGAGGATCCAGTCCATGTAATAAGCGACCCTGGTGTAGACTCCCGGGATACCCCCGGTACCGCACTCCCTCACTCCGTAACTGACCACGCCATGTTGAATGGTGCGTATTGTGTTGCCATTGTATTTACCGAGGGCTTGCAGAGGCCCGCCACTGTCACCGAAGCAGGAATCCACATTGCGTAAACCACCGGCGCACAATTGCTTGTACCAGATTTGCGTCGACCGCTTGTACGCATTTTTGCATTGCTCGTTGGTCATCAACGGCAGCTTCGCCTGGAGAAGATCCTGACTGCGCGGGCCCGATTCCGTCGCACCCCAGCCGGTCACTATCATCTATCGATCAAAAATAAGAAGATTCGATATGTGAAATTGGAAGAGAGAGAGAATCGATTCTTTCGAAAAAGTAGAGAAATAAAAAAAAATTAATGGAGAATTTTAATTTGACTTTGATTTTAATTTTAATTTGAGATATTTTCTTCCTCTATATTATTTAGTAAATATTATTTTTATTGTTTATAATCATAAATATCGAGTGATAAGTAGATTTGGAACAAAATGAATGTATACAGTTTCTTTTTTAATTTTTCCAGTCTAATTAAAGAAGTTATGTGCTTCATTAGATACAAAGATGAATAAAAAAGACAATGTATAGAATTTCAGAATGATAATCATCAGAAAGTAAAAGATCTTTAAATTCGGTTCGATTTTAGTTTGGTATGCTTGGACAAGCAAATATATCTCTCAAAAATTTTCTCACCTTTTTCTGATTTATTGTTGCCGCAGAGCCGAATGGCAAACAAATAGGTTTGACACTCAGAGGCCTAAAGTCTATAGAGTCGTTCAGTTTAATAATCGCGATATCATTTTGTAATTTTGTTCGCGTATAATCGGGATGAAAATAGAAACTTTCCACAGCGAAATCCTGATATCTCTCTGCGCACTGGATCTCAAGTCCGTTCTCGTCGTAATCGCAATCACGTTCCTTGTTTATATCGTGATCTCCTACCCTGACGCCTGCTAATGATCTGATATCTGAAATGTAACAGTTTTGATTGTTAATAAAAAATTGCGTTGATTATAAATAAAAAACGAATACATGTTCACCTTGGAGATAATAAATAGTTTTAAATATTTTTTTCGGAAAATTTATTTTATTTATTTTAAATTAAATTTTTTTAAATTGAATTTTATTCTCTAAATTAATTGTTTCATAAATGTTTAGTTTATAAAAAAAATTATATTTTTTTCATAAAAATTTCTCTCTTTACCTGGTGGAAGTTGAGTGACGCAATGAGCGGCGGTGAGGATATATCGATTGGAAATGATTGTGCCGCCGCAACGGAATTCCGGAGTCGATCTTCCAGTATCATACGCAATTAATGCCATCCATGGATACTCGAAGACTCCGGTCTTGTTACCACCAAGCACCCTTGGCGTGGTGATAGGTCCGCATATTTGATGATCCAATAGACGCAAGTTTGGATGATTCGTAACATCCGGCGGAGGAATAACGCCGTCGGTTTCCTGTGCCTCTGTGGGTTTCACCGTTGTTGTGGTTGATGTTGTCGGTTGTGTTTGTACTTGTATTAAAGTTTGTTGCTGAAAATTAATATTTAATGTTATAAGTAATACAGAGATATGTTTAAATTTAATTCATTTTGCATTTATTTTAATTTATTTTATTAATTTATTTGTCAATATCGATCATACATTCTCGTCTATTTTACGTTGTAACCAACAATTTTGCGATTCAGGAAGCTTTATCGGAAGTTTTAGATTTCTTCAAAAATGAAAAGAACGTAAAAATTTCTTTAGTTTATTATCATTTAGAATCTTTCTTCATATCAAGGCAGAAAAAAATTTAATTGCAATACAGTCTTCAATTTTATTTACAATTCATTTTGCGTGGAATATTAACAGAACTATTCACTCCGACGAATGGATTAAACGGGAGAATCCCCTACTAAACGTGATAGGGATATAAAACGGAAAGTCGAGGTCGAAGAAACCTGTTTCTGCGTTATTTTAGAAGACTAACAAACTTGGCTTGTGAAACGATGACATCGACATATTAATAATGCCACAACGCAACGATATAAATGTAATTTAATGTGCCATAGATATATGTGTGTGAAAAAAATGTAATGATAGAGACTCATTCAAAACGCATTAATACTTCTGATAAAATATGTCAACATTTTTGACGTTCGATTAAGAGAAGTTTGATTCGTTGAATCATTTGCTAATATATTATCAATTTATAAAAAAATTAATATCATTAAAGAGAAATCAAATATTAAATATTATAAAAGAGAACAATAAATCAAAAGCGGACGAAGGTTTCGGAATCTCATTAGTTCATCACAAAATTAATTTATGCAATAATTTATTCGCAGGAAATGTATATTTTGCCTGTAATTATGGCTACCAAATGATATCTTTATTCGTTCTATTTTTTTCCAATTTATTACAAGTCAAATTTAATTTAATGTTGACTTTTTAATTTTATTTTAAATTGATTTCTTTATTTGACACGTTTAATAAATTAATTTAATAGAATTACCTGATTCACACAACAAACCATCGGGTCGTTGCCCTGGAAGCCGCATTGAGTATCTCTGAGCATTTGCAAAACTTGTGCCGAAAGTGGTCTCGGACTATCCCTCAGAATATTTATAATACTGGCACAATTACGAATATTGATGCAAGTGGCACGGCTATCGGAGCATTGATGCTCCTCTGCAAAAGTAACTTTTCCTATTATTATTATTCAAGAATTTTGTAATTAAATATAACATTTTTTTAAACATGAAACTTAGGCTTTACTTAGAAGATATATTTTCAGATATATATGCATTAAAAAATATATAATTTCTAATATTTCAAAATAGATAATTAATTTAAGTCAAAATTAAAGATGCATTTAATCAAATGTGTACTGCTGATACGAGATATATTCAGGAATTTGTTAGTTTTTTATTAAAAAAAAGAAAAAATCGATTAAAGCTCCTTTCAAAGCAACATACAAAAGATTACTCACGTGCATTGGTGATTGTTATAGCGATAAGAACGAACAATCCGATGGATTTCATGATTATTTCTGTAGTATTTAATTCTTGCAGCTATTATTGTTCTTACAAATCCGTCTCTCTTTTTCTTTTTTTCACAGATTGAAGCAAGGCAGAGATTTTCCGTTTCCCTCCCAAGGTTATCTGGATGCTCTTTGAATAGAAAACTCGCATTCCGTGTTAGAGAATGCGATAGTCCCACTCACTTCGCACTAATCTATAGCCTCGAGATTGTCACCAAGTCGCGTAATCAAATCAATTTGGAATCGATTGGAACCAACTCTCGTGGATGCGTCCGCGAGAGTTGTGAGCGACTAAGTTCCTCCGCTACCTGCTGAGTCTAATAAATCTGGTGGAGAATGAAAACTGGTGGGGACGATTGTCCTGATGAACGTCGATCGTGATTCGCTGTCGATAGAGAGTTGTATCGCGGTTTATGGTTTGCATGATTTCGCGGAAGTTGGAAACGTCGGAACTTTTCTTGATAAATTCCATCATTGTCCCTTTTATTCTTATCGTTCAAGGTTCGAACTTGCTACCACAAATTGACGTTACACTCCCATTAGTGCTGTTAACATTTTATTCAAGATAATAATATTAATGAGAGGAAATTTATATTTTCGAATAAATTTGAAAAGATATTTGATTAGGAAAAACTTGGTGATTTCAATTCAAAAAATTGTGGCAATTGTTTATTTTTTATACGATATATTACTTATTATTTATATTATATTATATATTTTATTTACTTTAAAATTGTGAATGTGTAAATTATCTTAATATTAATATAATTTCGAGAAATTGTGTTATCATTGAAGTTTCGATTCTAAATTATAGAAAGTCGGATATATGTATTCATATGAATTTGATCATCTCTTAATTAATCGCCATAATTTGTCAAAAGAGAAGTAATTTTATTTATGAAAAATCAAAATAACAAAGTACAGTCAACATTCCTCGTTTTGAAAGGAAATTAATGCGGCCTATAAATAAACTCTAACTCGAAATAAAAAAGATAAAATAAAGTCGAAAAAATTTTTCTCGAAGGGGCAAAATGCATGTGAAAATAAGAAAATATAAAAGGAAAAGAACAAAAGAAGAGCTGGTTGGAGATTAAAATGTATTTTTCGATAACCTGTTTTTTGAGACTAAATAATTTTTGTTAAAAAAATAGGCAAATCTTTTTAGTTAATTTTTTTATTTACATTTTGCAGTGCAGTGAACTTTATTCTCATTTTCGATTCTCGTTTTTACCTGATTTCTTCCTCTTCTTCCTCTTCTTTAATTTAAAAGATTTTCTGCTTTAGATTCGAACCACGTTTTATGCTTTCTTTTCTTTTTTGTTTCTTCTGTAAATAAATTCTTTTTCTCTGTTTCTTTTCGTCCGTTGAAACAATGAATTCTATGCAATTATGTCTATTTTCTTTTTTTCATAGTCCTCAATATTGCTTTAATACTATTTTAATACGAATATACAGAAAAACAAACACTTGTTAGAATTTACATAATAAAGTTGTACAGAAGTTGTGATGATTTATTTTAATAAAGTAATGTAAAAAATTTAAAATAAAAGTAATCGAGGCTCTACTTATACAAAATTACAATTAGTTATAAAGGGCTTGTAGAGCGAGAAAATAAGTATATTACAAAGGTTTAATTATGTCATGATGTACATCAAAATAAGTTTATGTCGACGGTGACATTACAATAATACAGAAAAGATCAAAATATAGGTACGTTAAAGGCGAACGTTTCGATAGATTTTTCGATCCTCTTCAGTGCAAAAATATAATAATACATGAACAGCGAGTGAAATAAATGGAAAAAGAGTTAAAAATATGACCAAATAAAACGCATTAAATATGGTTGTCTGATAACGGCGCAATAAAATAATCGTCAATAAATAAAAACTAAACAAAATTACAAGTTAAAAAATTTTTATTTATTGACGATTATTTTATTGGGCCGTTATCAGACAACCATATTTAATGCGTTTTATTTGGTCATATTTTTAACTCTTTTTCCGTTTATTTCACTCGCTGTTCATGTATTATTATATTTTTGCGCTGAAGAGGATCGAAAAATCGATCGAAACGTTCGCCTTTAACGTACCTATATTTTGATCTTTTCTGTATTATTGTAATGTCACCATCGACATAAACTTATTTTGATGTACATCATGACATAATTAAACCTTTGTAATATATTTATTTTCTCTCTCTACAAGCTCTTTATAACTAATTGTAAAAAATTTATAAATCAAGTAAAAATTTTATAAATCAAGTAAATATTATATCAAGTAAATATCATATGTAATTAATAGCTAATTTAGAAAAAAATGGAAAAACAGAAAAAAACTTTTTAAAAGTATCCTATTATGATAACCTTATGAGAAGTATGCTACATATATTTAACATGTTAAAAATACATTATTTTGATCCGGAAGAGATGATAATTTCAAATTATTTCGCAATAAGAGAACTGAGAATCGATGACGTCTCTATAATCGCTGTGAATTCCCAGTAACATTGCTACGCAATCGACATCGTACGCTCGATCGTGCGTCGATTGTAGAACTTAATTTTAATCAGTATTAATTGAGGAAAGTTAGCAAATATTGTCATTCTTATATTTTTTATATTTACTTGTTATTCAAAAATAGTACAATCTTCTAACTCATTATTATAATCGATAAATAAAAAAACATGAAATTTGTTTAATCATACAGATGTCACATCAAAAATACATAACTTATCATCACAAAAAAAAGTGATTATAAATCATTATAAAATAAATAAACTTTAATGTTAATTTAAAAAATAATAATTAAAAATAATAATGTTTTATATTTTGTAAATGAGATATATAAATTATATTAATTGATATACTTTCTTTTTCTGAATTTTATTCCAACAGTTATACGCTAATCACTGACGGTAGAATGCAACGTTCGATTAATCTTCATTATTGCATAAAGGCCTTGATGATTTCCAATTTGCGAGGCAGAAAGATTACTGTAATCTCGTATCGAGGTCACTTTCTTTAATGACCCATATGCGTTGATAACCCCAGGACAAATAACAAATATACGTAATCGTCAACATAATTTCTTGCAATAATATTAACTGCAAATTCTTGTCGTTTTCCTTGAAAGAAAATGCAAATACCATGAAATTAATGTTGGTTTTTATTTTATATTAGATAAATAAAATTATGTCAATAGAGGAAAGGATATTGTAAGTAATTTCGCAATCTACTAACAATGGTACACATTACATAATAGTAACATTTTTCAAATATATAGATTTTTATGTAAAGCGCATCAAAGATTTGATATCACAATATGATTATATGTGTACAGGATCAAAAATTGTGTTTTCTCGAAAGCATAAAAATATTTTATTGTACATTTCCGACTTACATAAGGAATTATTTCTTTAATACACCTTATATAATACATCTTATAAATGTTAAAAAAAAATTATTATAAGATTGTGAAATATAAAATATGTAAAATGCGTAGGAGAAAAATAAAGAAGTAAAACTCTTGATTATTAATTCAGTATACATTTGAAAAGTTTTATTTCTTTTTATTAATGCACTGTTAAAAATTTTTAAAATATTTTTTTCAATATTATACACATTAATGTTCTTACATTCAAAAAATATTTATACTACGATATCAATTTATTGATTATTACCATTGCAAAACTTGTTCTAAGTCTAAACAAAGACTGCACTTTATTTAAATAAAATTTGTAAAAGTATTTAAAAATGTTGTTATAAATATCATCATAAATGCAGATAAAATGAACAATTAACATTGCTTAGCTATAAACTTCTTTCTAGTATTGAGTATATTTGTGAGATATTATACAATACAGTCTAATTTTTTCGATATGATTAAAGCTATTGCATCAATTCTTTATGCTAAATATAAATTCAATAAAAAAGACATTAAATTTTCATCATTATACAATTACAATGTCGCATATAACATTTGTCTTATTAATATATATTTATAACAATTAAGAATTTATTCTGATCAATTTTCTTCATCAATTCTGTCAAAGAATATTTGAACACAAATTTTTGTACATATTGTTCTATTTTAATAAGGTAAAGATGAATATTTATTGAGTTCTAATTAATCCTATTAAGACAATTCAGATCTCAGAAATGTTGTTTTTTTGCGTATAATTTTAATTCCATCTCTAATTCAATCTCTCAAAAGAATCTTTTTCAAGATTTCCTCTGCAGCAAGATGTTTATATTAAGGTCTCAGTTTACTAACGATCCAGGGGACGAAGTCTGTCACCCGAGTATAGACACCGGGCCAACCTTGCATGCCGCAGGGCGACGGTCCGAAAGACACGACGCCCATGGCAACCCACCTACCGGTGCCATCAGCGGACCTTTCCACGGACATGAGGGGACCTCCCGAGTCGCCCCGACACGAGTCCTTGCCCTTCTGACCACCCGCGCACATCTGTCCGAAGCCCAGCCGGACGCCGGCGTTGCTGTAGATCTGATTGCACTCATTCTTGTCCGCCAGTGGCAACGCCAGTTTCAATTTGACGTTGGACGCCGAACGGGATTCCGTTTTGCCCCAACCAGCTACGGTGAGTTTGCCGGTGATCGACGAGTTGAACGGCAGACAGATGGGCTTGATGAAGGTGGTAGACGCCACGTTTCGGTTGAGACGCAGCAGCGCGATGTCGTAGCGTTGGTCTCGCGACTGCGGCTGGTATTCCTCGTGAGCGATTTGCTCCTCCACTCCTACGGTGACGGGGTCGTCGGCACACACCACGCTGTCCTGGCCATCCGGCACGCAGTCCGAGTCGCTGTCGGTGTCGTATTCGCCCAAACGGACGCTGATCAGTCGCCAGGTGGGCGGCAGATCCTTGCCCTTGATGCAATGGGCGGCAGTGAGGACGTAGCGCTTGTTGATCAGGACACCGCCGCACGCTGTCGTCCTGCCGTTAGCTGTAATGTCATTCAATAAGATGTATAAGATTTATACATTTGATATATTGATTGCATTGATTCTCTACAATATAATTGATTTATATCTTTGGACATCTCTCTATCGATTTTCTTTCTGTCAAAACTTACGTTTCTGATACTCCAACAGCACCATCCAAGGGAACTCGCCGAGCTCGGTTCGTTCGCCACCCACGATCTTCTGCGACAGATCCCGGCCGCAGTCGCTCGGCAGCAAAGGGTTGCTGGATGGATCGACTTGGGTGTTCTCGGTGGGTGGCGATACGGACGGCTGCGGATTCGATCCCGAGTTGGATCCGGGATTTGTCACGCCGCCGCCCGGACGGGTGTTGACATTCGCGTTGCCTATGCAGCACACCAGCGGATTCATGCCGTCGAAGCCGCAGTGATTGCGCCTCAGGTAGGCGATCGCTTGATCGCGCGATTGTTGCAGGATGGTTGAGACTATCGGGCAATCACGCGCAGATATACACGCCCCCACCTGGCCCTCAGCCCTGCAGTCCGTCTGCGAACTTTCTGTTTCAAAAATCAAGAGGAGAATTATTTTTAAATAAAAGATATACGATCAATTGCGCTTCAATATTAGAACCATTAGGATGAATTTTTTTTATTTCATATCCAATTGTAACTTTAATGAGACGAATTAAAAGTTAATTTCGTCTTTAGTTAACAAAGTAATGATTCCGCATTTAATGGCCTGCGCAAAAAGCGAATTGAATGTTGATAGTTTTGCATAATCACATCTTTAATCAACACATGTTGTTCTACAGCTTCTAGTCACCTATCTAAATATCTTTGTCATGATATCCGTCAAGAATTTCCAGTTTTGTTTGCATAATCCAATATTTTAATATATAATGAGGAATTAATTACAGAGATTAACTAGATATGTTATTTATAAGTTAATTATAAATAAATTAAATGTGTGTGTGTGTGAAATAAATATTATTTACGAAATTTATTTATAAATAATCTAAAATTGATTATTATTAATTATTATTAATGACAATATAAACACATACATATGTGTGTGCGTACATTAATATTATAATATTATTATATATTATTATATATTATACATTATTATAAATTATATTATAAATTATTATAAATTATATTATAATCTATGATAACTTTGAATAATCTGAGAAATATTTGTAAACCGAAATCAATTAAATAAAGCTGATCCATGTATGCTCTTCCATCATCTCCGTTAATATATCTATTTTCTCACTCTTATCGTTAACCATTAATTCGATGATATAACGCAAAATAATTCCGCGTTCAACACGAGAAAATCAATGGGATATTTTTGTTTTCACAGAAGCGCGTCATAAATTGATAAATATACTAATAATGTCGCGAACCCGGATAATCACGTTCAGCGATGATTAAACTTTCATTAATAATTCAAAATTTGAGCAACTGATATTTCAGGTATATTTGATCAATATGTTGATGTTATATATATGTATATATATGTGGTATAAATATCGATCTTTGATACGATAAACACTTTATTTTCTTTCATCATGCACAGACTAAATAGAATAAGAAAAGAGATAGAAAAAAAATAAAAAATAGAATAAATAGAAAAAAAACACAAGACGAAAATTGTGTATGTTAAAGAAATATTGAATTTATAAATTATAAATGAACACATATGCTATAAATTGCTGTAAATTGAAAGATTTTACATAATAACTTGTAAATTGCAATTATGATTAATTTCAACGTCATATCTCGATAAGAAAAAAATTGCGATAATTATTTTTCTGAATTGAGATGATTTAAGATGGTCTACGTAATATCAAATAATGCAACTCTATTCTTTATTAAATTCCTGTTATTTTTAAAATTTTATTTACTATAAACTGATTTAATTAAATCATCAATAACCTTGATGAAACAACTCGAACCATTCTTTATTCTGTTTTTTTAGGCCAAAATAACTAGTCCAAATGACAATTCAAATAACATCTGTAAAAAGTTTAAGAAAACCTTCTGGAAAATCAAAATCTTCTGACATCTTCACCATATTTTCAATCTTTTCCAGAAAAAAAATATTTTTCTAAAGAAAAGATATGCAAAAAAATTAAATAAACTCTAAATCTTTAGCTATTTTTCTTGAACCAACATTGTCCTACTATATCTTATTGTATTTTACTCTTTAAGAAATCTACTTACGAGCATTGATACTGACGATCAGCAATGCCAGCAACTTGAGAAACATCAACATTGACGTCGACATCCTCAAATAGCCTTATTAACTTTGTTATTATTAATAAAATTCCGAGAGATAATAACAGCACACTTTGACAGCGAGGACTCGCTCAGTCTCGCGCAGCTCTCTCCGTTTTATGTCTTTGTGCCGAAGACCAGGACATCAACTGACGGTGACGTCCATGATAGAGTGACCGGAGCCAGGGTCAACAACTGTCCCCACTACTATTGTCAAGAGGCTTCGTCTAGCTAATTAGCAGGGGCGGACTAGTCGAGAAATCATCGGAAAATTTGTGCTTTTATCACACAATTAATTAATTGTATTTTTCGAAAAGAGAAGAAAAAATATTGCGGAGAATAAATCCCTTTTGAATAATTTTACTTCTCTCTAGTAACCTCTTTTATATTTATTGAATTTTATTTTACGTTTATTATACGATGTGTATTTTTCTTTTTATATTATCATTCTTTTATTATTATTCTTTATCATTCTTTTTCATATAATTTAGAATCGTAGCGACAGATGCGAGAAATCATCGGAAAATTATCACACAATTAAAGTGTATGTTTCGAAAAGGGAAAAAAATATTGAGGAGAATAAAGTTCTTTCGCATAATTTTACTTCTCTCTAATAAGCTCTTTTATATTTATTTTACGTTTATTATATACTGTATACTTTTCTTTTTAAATACTGTCATTCTTTTTTTATAATAATTAATTTAGAAACGCAGCGACAGATGCGATTTGTTTGAAAACGATACGAAATTAATATCATTTGTATTATTGTCGATGTCTCGATATCATAATGATTTTCACAACATCATCGATTGGGACTTTCCCTACGTAAATGCCGCAACCAGTCCGTTCCTGATTTATAAGTCGGTGGAGATTTCCTCTTTGCTTCTTTTTGTCAGAAAGCATTTAGAGACTTATATAGTAATAGTAATTTTTGAAAGTAGTAGTTTTTTCAGTAGTAGTTAAAATAAATAGTTAAAATATTACAGTACTTATTTTTTCTGTTTATAATTTTATATATATAACGTAACACACACACATAACTTTATACACACATTTATATAACTCACTATTTATATAAATTTTTATTAAAAATTGTGTAATTTTTATTAAAAAAATTTATATAAATTTATAAAAAAAAATTATATAAATTTTATAAACTAATTATCAATTAATTTATTTCAGTTCTTTATCGATTTATCATAATTTTAACACGAGAAACATATTAGAAAGGAAATAGAAATTAACGTATTTCGAAAGATTTGAAAATCTTACGGGACCTAACATTTATGTGAGTTCAATAATTTTCCTCCTTCCTTTCTGATTTTTCTCCTTCCTTTCACGACACACGATGATTTAAAAGAATCTGTTTACTCATGAATTCATAGTGTTAATGATGAATTATGGATTCATGGAAAAGCCGTCTTGAATTATATCAATCATGATTTCGAGTGGTGATTTCACGTGGAATTGACCTTTTAATTATAGATAAGGATATTATAAATTAATGTAAATATAATGCATGTTTTTTTATCAATATCGTTATATGAAGTCAATAATTCTCGGCCGAGTTGAAGTATCAATTTGATATGCACGTGTATTATCTCATAACGCATAATTCACATTGGTATGATACAAATTATGTTATACAATGGCTTACAAAAATCTTGAATGAACATGTATATTTATCAATTAAATAAAAATGTAAAGTAAAGTCCTTGCATTTTAAAAACATTAAATTGAAACCGCATTAAATAACATTAAATCATATAGCTCAACATTTTATGGTATATAACTCTTCATGCTGGGAAATTTTATCGTACATGTTAAAAATCCACACAGGAAGCATTTCAAAACATACAGAAAAAGATTGCATCGAGTATTCCAGCATTTTAGATTTACGATTAAAACTCTGTATATTTCCAATACTATTGTCGCATATTTAATTGTTGCGGTTGCGAGCGTTTCCGCGGAAAAATGATTCAATCCTTACAGAAAGTGAGGAAATAAAAAAAAAATCCACAATTGCATGCGTAATAGAATGTAATCTAGATCATGTAATGCGAATATGCGGTGGGAACATCCCGACTTAATATATTCAACATTAATGTATGATGAATCTTATGAATTTATTGACGCGAATTATAAAAGTAATATTTTAATAATAGAATTAGATTTAATATCTAACATCTCTAATTTAACATTTAATTTATTCCATCTAATTTATTACATTTAATTATACATCTAATTTACATCTATGTAACTTGCTAATCAATTAGTCCATAAATAATTAAATGATTAAATGAATGTGTCTTTTACAATTAATTTTCGAGGCTAATTCCAAGCGATTGCACGCTTGCAGAATGGAAAAATTCTGCAATTTTTATTCGATTTTCATTGGCTGCATATAACAAAATATCACGATTCCCTTAATTAATCTTTAATTTTACATATGCAGTTGACTCTTTAATTTTATAAATTGCTAAAGTGTTTTGATATATTTACACGTCAATTCAAGATTATAATTTAATTATAATTTAATTATAAAATAAATAATTATAACTATAATTTAATTATAATTTCTCTAATATATCATGTATCTAATAACAAGCGCAGGTTTCGTTCAATTAAAGTAATTAAAGCCAAAAATTCTCATCAATTATATATAATATATATACGAGATATTTTCTCGACGAATTCATTATCGCGATGATATCCTAAATAAAAATAATTGCACTCTTAAATAAAACTATCCTAAACACAAGATTCTCTTTTTATCATGATAAAATAAAAGATGTATACACTAATTTCGAATTTTGTTTTCATTGTAATTAGGACGATTTGAACAATCCGAGTTATTTCAGGCAGAAATGTGTTGTAGGATCCATGTGATATATGCAGCGATTTTACTGTAGATGGCAGGTGTCTTGGAGGCACCGCAAGCCTTTGCACCGAAGGAGACAATGCCGATCAAGTAATATCTAGGTCCATCCAGTACCTTCATTAGAGGTCCGCCGCTATCACCCCCGCAAGAGTCCTCGCCCAAGATGCCACCCACGCACATCTGTTGCTGTTCCGATACCTGCGTAAAGCTCCTGAAAGATTGCTCACACTTGTCCATTTCGACGACTGGTAACTTGATCGTCTGCAGGATCGTGCTGGCTTTTGGGTCGTCTAAGGACAATGAAATGAAGAAATTCAAAATTTAAATTAAAGGCAAGTATGAGAGTCAATTAATCAAAATGCGAATTGCAAGAATTTGCATCAAATAGTTTTCAAAAAATATTTTGGTTTATTTTAAACCTTCGTTCTTTTTCATGGCTAAAAAAGAAAGAAGAGAAACTGCATCCTATAAGAATATATTTTTTACTTTTAAACGATCTTTAGAGTGTTGCAGATAAAGAAACAAACTCTGAAGAAATTAAATGTAAAATATTTATATAATATTAGCTTAGATTTCACTAAAGTGTCTTACTGATATCGTATATCCCCCAACCGGCGACTTCCGCTATTTCGCCGATGAAGCTCTTCATCAGAAGATCACCGCTTATCATACATATCGGTCTCACGAATTCTATAGATTGCAATAAATAAATAAATAGATTAATTATAATTTATAGAATATTTAGTTTCAGCAACAAAAGCGATAGTACTTTTGAAAATGAAGGGAAACACTCTGATTTATCCCTCGAATAATACGCGGCAATTTTTTTATTAGCTTTGTAAATGAAACATTTTCTGACATGTAGTGAATTTTGTTAGTCATATTTTTCAAATTATGTTTTATTTAAAATGTGACTAGGCAAAAGCACAATTTCCATGATATATTTTACGGAATAATTCAATAAAATTTAATTGAAGAAATATAATATTTATTTAATATTAACGTTAAATTTAACGAATTTAAGTTAAGGAAATTAAGAAGAAAATCTAATTATTTTGTTTTCTATTTTTGGGAGAAATTTTTCAAAGACAAAACTTGTTATCAATTAATCAGTTAATTAAGATTGATTTATATGTATATACTCACCGTTGTAAATTGCCGGCTTGTTTAATCGTATTAGAGCTATATCATTCTTAAATACCGGCTGATTATAATCTTCGTGAGCGATTATTAATTTCGGTACGAAATCTTGCACCGGCTCCGCGCAAAATTTGCGTACGCAATCGGGATCAGTCAAAGTGTTGTGCTCGCCCAGACGGATTCCACCGACTTTGTAACTTAAAAAAATGTGTTTTTTATATTACACAATTTTTACATGTAATATATAAAAATTAAAATAAATTATTAATTAATAATTATAATAAGTTAAAAATTATATTTATTTCTAAAAATCCACAACTATCTGATGGTTCTTCGATATTTTTATTATTATTAATAAATTATTATTCGCGAAGTTATTATTTCGCGAAATAATCCTTTAATAACTAATAAAAAGATCTTTTAACTTTTAATTTATACGATTGAAGGGAAGTCTCCTAATCAATTCAGATACTTTTTTTCTTCTTTTAATCATAACGATTGTTTACATACTTTTCGGGCAGGTTTACCACGCAGTGAGCTGCGGTGACCACGTACAGTGGATTGATCAAGGTCCCACCGCATCTGTAGCTTAATGCGTCATGGGTACCAAGTTTATTATATCCGATTCTTGCGATCCAAGGATACGCGCCAAGGCTGGCATTTTTGCCACCGACAATGCGATCGCTGTTGGAATTACCGCATTTTCTGTGTTCCAGCAACAACCAATGAGGATGGCTCGTTACATCGGCTACGCGAATAATTTATTAATTATTAATATCTATAATATCTCTTTTCATAGAAATCAATTTCGAAATTTTTCCAGAAAAGCTTCAAGTTTGAAAGGATTGTCAAAGATAAATCTTATATTTATTCGAAATAAAATTTGGTTTATCCAAATATTTACAAAAAAAATTTTATTTATGTTTATATGATTTATAATTTATAATAATGAAATTATTATAAATTATAAATATTCCGGCGAAGAAAATACATAAAAGTTTTTTGTATATCCTGTTTTTGTAGGACGTGCTGCAGATTGTAGTTAAAAAAAGTACAATTGCTACTTTTATTTAAATTATTTTTATTTATCAATGTATGAGTTAACGAACGACCGCTCCTATATCACATTGATTTTTAATTATAGAAAACTTACTAGAAAATACTATAGAAATACCGTAGAAAAAGCACCATAGTAATAAATATCGCATTCTGCCTGAAAGCTGAAAACATACAAGCAAGCAAACAAGCAATAAAGTGGATTTTTGCATAATATTTTAAAGTATTACGTAAGAAATTATATATACTTTCCTGTTTGGAATAATTTTTATTTTTTTTATTGCACCTATACAATTTATTATGAAATATTCTTCTTCACATATAAAATTATAAACAAAAAAATTATAAATATCTAAATTGATTTATGACTGTTATGTAAACTTTTATATCATTTTGTCAATATCTGATATTTCGGAATTATTTATTCTTACCGAAAATCGCAGCAGCATTATACACACAAAAAAACTATGCGCACACCAGAATCCTTGCCTTCCGATAAATGTTATACTCTAACTGCGAGCAGTAGCTATCGCTTAATTCGCTTTAATCTTCTATAGGTATACACGTGCAACCTTATCTCTACCGTATCAAAACGTTTATTAAAGCTTCGCCGATAGATCTTTATAATTCACTCACTATGAGACTTATAATGTTAAGTCTAACTTATGATTTATAGACTTCCTAAATCTTTTCACGAAACGTAGAAAAAAATAATTATAAATTCTCATGAAAAAGTGCGTAAAATAGTGCGCATATTTGTGAAATTTTTACAAATAAATAAAATATGAACGTCTATTGTATACAAATTTGCTGTCAAAAGGTGGAATTCTATTAAACATTCTATTAATCAAGATGCTAAAAAAGTTTATCGGAATTTGATAAAATGGCTTTAGGTAAAACTTCTATATCTTTATCATCCTTGAATTTACAGAAAATTCATACGAAATTTAAAATTTATAACGATGTGCCAATCATTAAAAGGGTAAATATCGCTTCAGATAAAATGTAAGATTATAAAATAAACTGATGTAGAAAAACGCGATCTGACAATTTCATCGACATTACAGCACAAGTTTTGCAAAATTTGTTGTAAACCTTGTATTTGCCCACGAATTTTAGCAAGATGTAAGCAATGATACATGTATCTTAATCTCTTTATATAACGTTTCTTAAAAAAAATTATACAAATGTCCCCAATTTAGAAAAACAGGGTAAAATTTTAATTTTTTAGTTTTTTTATAAATTTTCTAATATCTTATTTTATACAATTTACTGTTTAAATTTGTTATTATAGGTTACATTATTTTGATTTGATAAATTATAAGTGTAATTCTTAATAGATGTTACAGATAAAAAATTGTTAAAAACTTTGCAAAGCTACAGAAAAAGTGATAATTTTATCCTTATTGGCGCGAGATATATCACGGAATTCTATCAATGGGTGAAAGAGAATGATTTCTTAAGATCGATCATTGCATCAGCGATTTTATTCGCAATCGGAATAAAACTCACTGGAGAAATGAATGCTTGGAATTTATCACAAACTGTTAGTCGATAGATCCGAAAAATCTTCAAACACATTCAAGTTAAAAATTTGTTTAATATAATTTATAATATAATTTATATCGTAAAAATAAAAAAAAGATAACATAATTCCTTAATTTCTTATTTTTAAATTTATGTTATATATTAATGTATATATCGAAATCCTCTATTGGATCTGCTTTATTTATTTCTAGTAGCAGTGCAATTATCACAGAAAACGGATTTCAATTTGATGGAATATAATAGTCATCCTGTAAGACAATCAGCTCAAGCCTAAAAAATATAATTAAAAAATAATCTTACTTTATTTTTTTTTATTTCTTTAATTTAAAGTTAATTAATTTATCATATTAATTAATTTATCATATTTTTTATTTAAAATTAATGTTATTTTATTACATACTATTATTTCTAAACAGCAGCTTCTTTTCTATCTACATATTGGTCTTCAGATGGTCCCTCCGTAGAATCAACATTACATTTTGCATCCACTGACTCATTACTCGAGACTTTATCGTTTATTTCATTATCAATTGACGACTCGTATTTTTCGCTTTTCAATTGCTCGGTGCTTTCGCTAATTTTTCCAGTATCATCACTGGAATTTCCACTGTCAGTTGACGTTTGTTGCTTCGTCTTGCTTTTTTTAGTAACTAATGTGTCATTTCCATCACTGTCATCACTGTCATCTGAGGTATCTTCAAATTCATCAGAATCAATCTCGAAATCTAATATAGTCTTGCGTTTATTTGGTTGATCATCTTTTTCCAATTTTCTTTTAATGCCTGATGTAGCAGCTTTGAAACCTTCTTCAACCGCATCTTCAACTTTCTCAGGTAACTCTGATCTCTCCTGTTCATAGCGTTGATCTTTGAATTCGTGTCTCGGTTCGGCGCACAGTTTCTCAAGTTTTTTCTTCTTGCGCTCCGCTGCCTCATCATATCTTTTGGTCTGTTTCTCGATCCAAGCCTTTAGCCTTTTTTCCTCGTTTATATCGCGCAATCTGCGTCCACTTAGGTCTCTGCAAGCCTCGCGATTCGTGGTTTTCTCTATCTGTGCACCTATCGCCCGTAACATGGAACCAAAACCACCTTTGCCACCCAATAGTCTTGGAACAATAATTGCATAACCATTCGAGCAAATATCATCTTTTTGTGTAAGTCGACCATTATATATGATGTAATATTGATCATGTAAAAGCCCCTGAATAACAATAATTGATCTATGTATGATATTCCAAAAAAAAAGTAATAAATATATATAAATACATATATTATAATTATTCATTGTTGCATATATATATATGAATGAGAATTGAGTTAGAGCAGTTATTTTGAATGAACAACTATGAAATATTGACTATTAAAATATCAAGTATCAATGAAATCAATTAAAATATCTATTAAGTTCATATCAAAAGTTTCTGAAAGAAAAATTTTAAAAATCTTTTGAAAATAGTTGGAGGTTAGACAACAACAACTTACCATCTTTTCCTCGATTCGATGTTTTAATTCATGCACTGGTATCGGTATGTCACTATTAAAATCGTATTTTACACGTGTTCCTGCGATTTTTACGTTCAACATTTTCTTTCAAATCCTACACTTATTTTAATTAATTTTTGTGCAAAGACGCAGTGCGTAGTGTTGTTCTCAGACACTTTTTCTCACGCATGCGCACTGAACGTAACACGTGACTTCATTGGGGGAAAAAAAAACTGCTCTCATCGTTCTTGAATCCTCTATTTCTAGAAAAATTTGAAAATGCTATAAAAATCAATCTAATAATAAAATATACATTTAAATATATATTAAATAATTATAAACATTCCTTTATATTTGTAACATATATTATTTTTTATATTAAATATATCAATAGAATTAAAAATATTAAGATTTTCCCGCTTATTCATTGCACACATATGAATGCAATTTATGCATGCGCGAGAAAAGTCATTTCCGAGAACAATCCTGGGACGCATATCACGAGATCAAGAATCAGGATAACATATTTCACCATTTGACAAATTTTTTGTATATGCATACATCTGAAAAAATGTAATGGCATCCTTATGTAGAAGTCACATTGCGTCCGATATCCAATAGAAGAGCTTGTAATTCTAACTAGCAATATTTTGAGATCTAGAAATGGAGGTTTTCTATTGGATATCGAATATCGTATATATCAGACGTAGTGTGAACCCCACATTAGATTTTCTCTTGTCTACTTTTGACTTTAATCGTTTTTTTTTTATTAAAAAAATCTGAACCAAGTAATAAAAAGTCAAATAATCCAAATTCTAATTTAAAAATTTTTATAATGCAGTTAAAATCAAACAAAATATAGCAAAATCTCGAAAATAATTTCAACATTTCACAATTTGAATCTGCCAGATTTAAAAATCTACTCGTCGGAATAAAAGCGTTTGATTAAACAAGATAAAAAGAATAGACTTCTTTATCACTCAAACGCTACTGTCATTTTACAATAATTTTTTTTTTCTTAAAATACGCTCGCTGCAATCATTAACATAATTATTAGAAATATGAAAATTTAAAGGAATGTATATTACTTAAAAAAGAAATTCTTTATATATGTTAAATACATTCAATTTTGTTCAGATCGAAGATACTAATATATCTTGCGCGTCTTTCGTTGAAACTCTTACACACACACACAGCTGTTTATCTTTTAAAAATAATTATTATAAAAGAACACTTGGGAGATATTTAAGATTAAGTATTATGCGAACTGGCTTCGTAATTATCTCTAGAAGAAGACCTCCTTAGACCTCCTTCAAGCTATATACAGCACATAGGAACATTATCATACAATATTTCTCTGCCGCCGAGAAATAATTCTAGACCGAGGAATAATTTTATACCGTCTCCCCTCCCCTCAGTCTCCTTGCGAGATCGGGGAACCGCGATCGCGTTTCGACGAAGCCTTTCCCTTGCCCTTAGATTTGGTCTCCCGTTTCCGACTGATCGACGAGGTAGACGTAGTCGAAGCCGAGTCGGCCGGACTGGAGTGACTTGAACCTTCCCGATCCCATCTCGTTAAAGTATCCCGCAGATTCTGGCCATCACTCTCCTCGTACGTGTCCACGTCGACGTGAAGATTATCCTGGCTGTTGCTACCGCCACTGGAGTCGAGGTTGGCACGTACCTCCTTGCGTTGATCGTCAGTATGCTGTGGGCATCGAATCGATCTGGTGCATAATTTCTTCGTGTGTTCGGATACAACGCCGCAAATTTGCGTAAGCAACGCTCGCTTATCCACGAGGGACATGTTCTCATAATTCGACGGCGAGTTCTCGTTGCTGCTGTGGACGGTACCGCTGCCGCTGACAATGGCATTGGTCTCGCCGTTTCTCTGCGAAGAACCGCTTCCGCCAGCGGCGTTTCCCTGTTGCTTCTGCTGCTTGCCCGAACGCTTACTCACGCCGTTGCGATCCTTGCGCGGACGTTTACGTTTGCTACCGCTGTCGTTGGTCAGACTCCAGTCCACGTCGTCGTCGTTGTCGCTCAATACACCCCCGTAATTATTCAAATCTTTGGAGTTATTGGCGATACGAAGCGACGCGATACGCGAACTGTTCCTGCCCATACCTATGCACTTTGCCAGATGATTAGCGAATATACACGCGGCCACACTGCGCTCACAATTTGGACAGTTACACTCCTGCGATTTCTTCACCGGATGTTGACCAAATACATCTAGACCAGGCGAATCTAAAACAGAAATATATTTGTAATATTGTAACATGTATATGTGTACATCAGATTACTTTCAATTATAATATCAATAATTTGCTGAGCTTGTGTAGCATTATAAAAAGATATATGTAATAATAATCAACGTCTGCATTATCCTGTATGTAATTGATATGAATTGATATTAATATTTTGATATAAATTTCAAATAAAATTCATTAATATTTCAAATAATACAAAACCAACGTTTGCAGGTATTTCTATTATAAAAAAGGTGTCCATGATTAAATAAAACAACTCTAAAAAATTATGAGATATATTCTTTATAAAAGGAGTTATATATATCTTATTATTTTGATTAACACAATTGAATGATATGTTCTTTAAATCTTTAAAATAATATACACAATAGTTCAAATTTAAATGAACGAATGTAAAGTTAGTTGTATATATATTTATTTTACGTACCAACAATAGCATATGATTCGTCATCGGGAATGCCTTCCTCGACGTCAGAACTGCCAGTCTTGGTGGTACGATGCACATCAAAAACAAAACCCATCAATACCTCATCCAACAAGTCTTCATAAATCTCCTTTGTAGCTGTTTCAACATTTTCTGGCTTGCTCATATATTCTAGGAAACGTCGATTTAGCTCTTGAATTCTCTCTTCGGTAACAGACATCCTGGTTTCAAAAACGATCGAGTCACTTGTTTCTATGTAGATGTCGGATGGACAAACATCTAAAATGGTCAGTGATAGGACATTGATTGAGCAGCGTACCAACTCCAGAGTTCCAACAGTTTCTGACAGTTCCCAAACATCTAAAGATTAGAAATATATTTATATTTTTCAAAAATTGAGAATAGCAAAGAAACAATGGAATTAATGTCTTTGTAAGTGAATAAATGTATTATGTTATAAAAATGTAATTTTCTATAAAAATTGAAATATAATAAGTAAGGAATTTAATTTTTTCCAGTATCAAATACAAAGTTTTCCTTGTGGAGAAAAGTTAAATTTGATATAAATAAAAAAAAATAAGTCAATAAAATCAAGACGTTCAAAGCAATATAACTCATAATAAAAATATAACAAAAAACAAAGAGACATTTTCGGAGCACTCAATTATATTTACAGTCTTTAAAATTAAATTCACCGAGATTATACTACTTGCAAATTCCCTGAACATCATTAAGATATTTTCAGGACACCTTGTATATTATAGAATAGAGCTGTATAACCTAGAAGAGAATAGAGCGGATCGATAATATAGGATTATTTGCCGAGACATCGTTCGGCAAAAAAACGATCGGACAGTCGAACGTCCTTCAACGAGTACGTCCTTCCGATTTTCCGCGGTAGAAAAATACAAAACGATTATTCGAATACCTGACACCGCTCTCTGTTACGGGTTGTTTACGGGTGACAGCTGCGCGATGACATGCGCGTCACGTCGCGACGTGTCCCTTCTCGCGTGAGCGACATCGGGGGGATCGAACGGCGCGAACAGCGCGTTCTCGGGAACACCTTCCCGTTTTTCTCTCGCGCCCGCAATTCTACGGATCGGCGGAGAAAACGATGCTCGGTCAATGACAGCTACGAGCGCGTGTACTACATTCATTCACGTGCGTCAATCCCTGGAGATGCACCCAGGTGCAGCACTTTTGCTCTCCTCCCGCTGCCAAGCGTGAACCTGTCTCGCTTTCGAGAAAGCGGAATCAATCGTATTTCAATATATTAATCACTAATTGTATGATCCTGAATCCTATGATTAATCATTTATCGTTGTTGTTGTGTCAATCGTATCTCCTGCCCTCGAAACGCAGCTGACGTATCTTCGCGTTTCGACGCGAGAAGGAAGAAGGAACAGGAAAGTGTAGAAATTTAGAATTAAAAAGAAGACCTAAAGCGCACACGTGATTTTACGTGGAGGCGTCAGCTGATTCTACAATTCGTTTATCACCGCTGAGGTGACACGAAAGAAGGATGGATGAACAAGTCACGTTTACGGCCAAAGCTTCAGGTCAAGGTTGCGACAAAGAAATATCAAAGAGATATCAAAGTGGAGGAATGAAATTTAAATCGCCCTCGCGCGTGTACAAAATTACAATCTCCGCGTACAAAATACAATCACACCCGTTATAAGCAGATTGTACCGTTAGAAGGTAGACAGAAAAGAAAGAAAGAGATAGAAAATTTTTGAAGGCACTTCTTGTACCTTCCTTGTATTCAAAATAAAATAAACAAATCTTATAAACAGAAAACGAGCAGAAAAAAAATGTAGAAAGATAAATATGTAAATAGAAAAAGACTTTAGATTATCGAGCGTGCTGATTGGCTGTCCACCGCTGTGACGCTTGGCCGCATCATCCAATAGCGAGTGAGCAGGGCGGAATAGCAACAACAAATTGTTACTTGTTGCACGTCGCGATCTCTTTTCATCCCGACCGATCGAGCTCGGGTTGTCGATCGTGGGGCCGTCATCGTTTAATCGTCACCGGGAGGATCAGCGTCTTGACGTTCTTGATGACGACGCATCGTCGAGAAAGAGAAGGCGACAGAAAGAGAGAGAGAGCGAGAGAGAAGGAGAAAGCGCCGGAGCAGACGGACGGACGCTTGGAAGGCGACGACGCGCCCCTTGACATAGGCCATCTTGCGCGGCGTCGAGATTGATGAAAGGGCCTGTTCCTTCAGGGGCAGATGCTCGCTGGTTATCTCTCCCCTTTCGCAGGTACGATGTTTCTAACTCGGGGTTTTACCCTCCTGTCAATCCTCGAGAGCGAGCGAACTGAAATTCAGAACGTAGGTATCTCCGCAGGTCCTCGTAATCCGGAACGGAAGCGACCGAGTGCAGTGTGACCGAAATCGGAAAGTCGGTGAGCGTGCGAAAGTTGGTGGCTCGTCGAGGAGGAAAAGGATCTCTCTCGCGATCGCGAGTAAGGAAGGAGCGTCAGATTTTCCCGCCGTGCTCCTGAAATCGTCAACAAGAGGAGCGATGGAGAAGATTGGTGAGTGCACGATTACTCCGAGATGTACTCCTTGCGCAACATATGACAGCGTTGTGCATGTTTAATGAAGTCGCCTCAAGCGTAAGGACTGTGCGTGCGATACATTCGCGAAATTCGTTGTCCTAGAATTATCCGCTGGATGCACAAATATTACAAAATAATTACACAGAGCAAAGTAACTTTTCGTGCATTGTAATTTATATGAATGATACTTGTGCAATTTTTATTTATTTTATATCGCATTTAAATCTAACAGATGTAATTTATAATTTAGATTTTATTTTTAAGAGTATGTGATATTTAAATTATTTAAAATGGGAATATACTCATAAAATAGCACAAAAATTTAATTGCATTTTACGGAAGATATAAGAGTATATTAAAATATATTAAAAATTAATAAAATTTTACATGTAAATTCTATATATTTTTTGCAGAAATTGTGAAGATAGAGGAATGTCCTAACGATGTACTGATTGAGGGTACAGAGATTTTATTTGGTAATTTGAGATTATTTAAAAAAAATATCTGTAATAATATGTGTAACATTGTAAAATAACTTTTATTATTAATACATTATATTTTTGCAGAAACAAATACCTCAGATATACAGATACAGGATCAGCGTATACTAGTAGATTGTAGGCCACAAACTGATGTAAAAGGTAATTTAATTTGTATATATGTATATACAAAATATCCCAGAAATTAAACACATTGTATATTCTTTAGTCTACTCTCCTTATTTAAATACATTGTATTGAGACATTCTGTGTATATTTGAATATATTCACATGATTGTCTACAAGCAATATGTATTATAAAGTTTCTAAATTTTAGTTTATTAATATTTTTGTTCCATTGCATTTATTACATTATTTATTTCATTACTATTTTATTTGTTTTGTGTTAACAGTTATTTCAGAAAATGGTCAGATTATATCAATTATAACTGATTATGAGTGTGTGACATGTCACCGTGTCTTTCAATCTGAAGATGTAAGTGGCAGTTTTATTTTTTTCTTTAATCTGTTTTATACATTTGTGATTTCTTTATCTGGTTCTTATTAATTTCTTTATCTTTTTATATACCCTTTTTGTCACAGATGTTGAAGGAGCATTTAGACATGTGCAGAGAGGAGGATGACACGACTAATATCATGGAGTTCAATGATATTGAAAATTATGATTCGGATGATGAAGAAGAAGAGGATGAAGAAGATGAGGATGATCCTTTAAATGATGGTATGTGATAGTTATGTATCAAACAACATTTGTTTTCACATTACAAATTCCTCTTATAATTTATTTAATTTTTAGATTCAGATTCCAAGAGTCAAAAAAATAACAATGAAAAGATGCAACCTGTAATCAAACCTGTACCAGAAACACAGTGTCATTGTTGTGCAGAAGATTTGAAGACAGCGCATAGCGGCGGAGAATTTAAATGTCCTCATTGTAATCTCAGTTTCAAGAAAAAGTCGTCTCTGGAGAGGCATGATATAGTCATACACTGGAAGTGCGATTCATGCACGTGCAATGAATGTGGTTCATCTTTCCGTGATAAAAAAGCATTAAATAAACATCGTTATACGACGCATGGAGATCATAAAATTTTTAAGTATGTTTATACACAATTATTTTTTTTATTGTTAGTTATCGATTATAAAAAATAATCTAATACTCTGTGTGTATACTAATATTTAAATTTTTCTTTTAATAATTTTATTAAAAATAATTTTTACTTTTTTGAGTAAATATTACATCTTTATTAGTTGACAACTTTAATTGTAGATAAAATATCATTATAAAGTTGTTATTTCATTTTGTTATTATCTATATTATATTTATTTTTCATAATTTTTATTTTTACAATCTTTTAGATGTGAACCTTGCGACACTTATTTTTCTCGGAGCTACCATTTAAATCGACACATTATGCAATCCGGTTGTCACGGTAACATATTAAATACATTCAGTTGCCAAGTAAGTATACACTTTCACTGATAATTTTTGAAAAATGTGATAGATATATAAAAAGTAATATGAATGACCATTTTTATTGCAGGTTTGCAAAAAAGTTTTCACACGTAAGGATAATTTGCGGGAACACTTGCGTACTCACGCGGGAACACCTCAGCGGCAGAAAAAACCATGTAAATATTGTCCAAAAGAATTCTTTACGAGCCAACAGTTGTTGGTTCATGAACGTATGCACACAGGAGAGCGACCAGTTCCATGTGATTTATGTCCGAAAACATTCCTGTCGTCGCTGGCGCTAAAAAAGCATCGTCGTGTACATACTGGAGAGAAGCCATTCGAATGTAAATTCGTAAGTATATTTTATTTCACAATTTCTCATTAAATTGATGCTTTTACAAATATTTACAAATTTTTAATATTACATATTCTTCTCTCGAGCGTAAATAAATATAGAAATAATAAAATTTCATTACATTACTGCAATCTAGCTAGCATTATGGATGGAAAAATATTACTGTAAGTTTTCAAAGTGACATTAATTAAGAATATTCTCAATACACAAGAAATGCATTTTCAAATACAATCAATTCTTGTTAATGTATTTTTTATGCAAATATAGACGTAAAAATTCGTGTTTTCAGTGTCATAGAAAATTTGCCGCTCGCGAAACACTCAACCGTCATCAACGGACTCATACAGGCGAAAAGCCACATGTGTGTCAGTATTGTGGTAAATCGTTCATACAAGCAGCTCAATTAAGAGCACACATATTCCACCATACTGGAGAGAATGGTTTCTATTGCGATGTATGCGGTAAGGCGTTCAACCGAAAAGCACGTTTAAATATTCACAAGAAATTCGTGCACGAGGGTGCCATCCCCTTTACATGTAAAGTTTGCGATAAGGGCTTCACGCGAAAGGAGGATTTGGTGAAACATGCGCTGTTGCACACTGGCATCAAACGTAAGAAATCGGACAATATTATTTATATTTATATAAGAGGAAATTACATATATTTTTATAAATTTATATCGCATTTCTGTTTATTGATGTTATATTTATAATTCGCATTTATGTAGTAAAAATGAAAAAATTGTATATCAATTTTAATCGCACTATACATGTCTGTAATATATTTATCTCATTTAATTATATTTGTAACTTATGAATTGTTTTCTTTTTGCATTTCAGCATTCAAGTGCGATAAATGTCCGAAAGCCTTCTCGGCAAAGTCGTCGTTGCAGGCTCATCTCAATACCCATAGACGCGAGCCACCGCAATCGTGCGTCGAATGCAATAGAGTATTCATCCGACAAGATTGTCTGATGCGACATATTCGGGCCAAGCATCGAGAATTATTGGAGGATGTGATGAACGAGGTCGAGAAAAAGCATCTGCAGACACAATTATACAATATTGCTTCGATTGCCGCAACCAAGACGAAAAACGGAGAATCCAGAAGACTTTCTACTGATGAGTTGTTGAAAGCCATCATAGATCTCTTGAGGATACTTATTGACGAGGAAACATTACAGGTACATGATCTTACTTTAAACTTTACTATTATTGTCTTCTCTTTGACTTAATTAACGAATAAATTTTTTATTGATTGTATTTTAACGATATTGACAGCTATTTGGTTGGCCAGAAGCTCCGATACAAGATATTCTAGAAGCTGTAATTAGAAGGTGTGGGCACGAGCCGATAACGTCGGAGTCTAACGTAATGTTCACCGAAAGACTACGACAAAATGTTAAGCTTCTGTTTACTGTCGTTAGTGACACAGTGAAAGATGACACGGTGAAATCTCTTTTAACGACAAAAACAGTGGATGATGTCATTCTCCATGTTTTAGAGATATCTAACGGAATACAGGATTAGGAAAAAGTATATTTGTTATTATTATATGAAAAGTGCTTATTTTTCTTTAAACTCTAAATATTTTAAGATAATTCCAAAACTCGCAAGATTTAAAAAAAAAATTTATCGTTTTTACATAAATCATATAATGCGTATAAATCAACAAAGAAAATAAAAGCGGGAAATTATTTAATTATTCCAAATTCATTTATCGAGATATGCTAGTATTACATTACATCCATAATTTAATGCATACTTTCTTAATCACTTGATAAATATTTTGAAATTTTATTTGAATTGAAGTAATCTATATATATTGTACGACTTATTCTTCTGGTAATATTGTTACTATCGTTATATACTTATTAAAATAAATCTTATTCATTTTTTTCTATATTGCAACTTTATAGATATATTTTTACAATAACAGTATCTTATCTTGTGTTAATTATACTATATATATAAAATATATATAAAATATATATATAAATAAAATTAAATAAAATATATATAAAATATATATATTTTAAATATATATTTTAAATATATATATTATAAATTAAATAAAATATATATAAAATATATATATATAAAATATATATATATATATAAAATTTTATATATATTTTATATATAAAATATACATAAAATATATATAAAATATATATATATATATAATATGTTCAAGCATGTAGTGTTGCGCTTGTGTATGTATACTTAAGTTTTATGTAAGACTCAAATTCTTATTCTTTATTCTTCTGCTGTAAATGTGAGAAATTAATCGAATTTGTTCAAACGAGAGAGAAGAAAGCCAGGAGTGTGTATATTATATATATATAAAAACATATATTTTACTATCGTATTATTATTTACTATATATATATTTTAAACACTATGAATAAAACTGGGAAAACCTGTGTTAGATATATCATTTTTTATATAAATACAAGAAATATATATATGTATACAACTCGATTTAAGTCTGACGTTTCATTTTACCCGCGCATTCTCCCGCCTTGCGTCTCCATGGTTACCGTTCGAATTACGTCGAGAGCGGCTTCCGTGATACTCGCGGCCGACTTCCGGTTGTCAGTGCAGCGGGTTGCGCTTTGGCGTACGGGAAGTCATCGTCGACTGTCGATTACTCTCATCGAGGATCCTGACAACTCGCACGCTTCGGATTTCGTTTCCGGCGGTGAGTACGGGTTTACAATTGTGATTATACACGTGTATTCTCATTCTGTGTTTACCTTTTACAAACGTCACGACAATCGCGATGCAGCGCACGTTGCGTGTCGATGCGAGGTCGTATCGATTTTCTGCCGTTTCGACACAATTGTGTCGTCTTATGTGCGATTCTCGATTGCACGAATTCGGAATACGAGAAAAAACGCGCAATGAAATAAATCCACCTTCGAATTTTAGGAAAGAATTTTATTCCGCATAGCATTCCCGAAAAGTAAAATTCTCGCAATACGAAGTTGTTTTTTTCCACTCTGACAGATGTAAAAAAATGTAAATATAGTGAATTTATATACAAGGTTAGATTTATATTGAAAGAATGTGACGTGCGCATGCGCGCATAATAAACGCCTTATTATTATAAAATTGTAAAGGAATTTTGAAAATAAAACTAAGCGGACGATTGTAACCCATGCAGAGAGTTGTAAATTAAAATAGATATGCCAATTCTCATTATTCAAATTAAATGTCGAAGATAGATGCAACTAATTAATTTTAGAAAAAGTTCTATTTTCAAAACCTATATGTCCCTGTCCCTTTTTTTCTTCCACTACATCAATATAATATATTATTATCCTTTCTTTAAAAAAAGCCCAAATACGTGCACAATTCATTTCAAATGCAAAAAGGATAAGGAAGCACGAGCTGGAGGAAAGTCGACATTCGAAACGTCGCGTTTCCCGCGCGCTAGTGGTGGCTTTCTCTTTCCCCTGCCATGCGCGTGCGCCGGCTTCTCATTGGTCCGCGTCATTGACGGCCGGAGATCACGTGACGCCGCGCCGCTCGCGTCGCACTTCACCCTTCGCCGCGCTCATTCGCGGTCCGGACGAGTAACGCGACGGACGGTGCGCGCAAAGTGATCGTGCGGAGTCTCTCTTCTCCACCCGCTCTGCGTGGCATCGCCGTTGGTGCCTCAGTGACAGCCGGTTGCCTGCAGCGCTCGTCGCTAACAGATACCAGGCCTCATCCGCTTATCGATCCGCCTCAAGGTTAGTGAGCATGACCAGCCAGCTCCGGCGCGAAGCGCCGGTGATTAACAACATGTTTCTCTCGAGAGCGCACGTTCCCCATGTGTGTATAAGTTAATTCGGTTATATATAGAGCGTGATACATTGCCTTTTTAAGCGCGCGATTATCCGTCTCCTGCTGACCCGGAGATTCCGGGAGATTCCGATTTCGGTGGGGCGTTTATGGAAAGATCGATAACGTACCACGAAAATAAACATTAATCGTGTTTTCGAACTTACATAATTTATAATTTTTATAATTTACATAGTTTATAATTTTTTGGTAGCGATCGGAGTAATACGGTACGGATAAAAAAATTCGTGAGAAAAAAATAAAATCCTCCGAATAATCAAAGTCTCACTGCGTAATCCCGGGGATGAAAAAATTCCCGACAGATTTTTTCAGAGGGATCTGCGAAGAGATTTAAAGATTACAAATATATGTAAATACGTAATCCTCCCGCCCTAAGATCACTATGTTATTCTTGAAAGATTTTTCATTTAAATTTGAAATTTTTATCTTTTTTTGACGAGTTTAATAAAAAGTTATTCTTTTTACCGTTGTTTAAATTCAGAATTTTTACCGCTCTTTTAAATTCAGAATTCGGATTTGATATCTTAAAATAGAATTTAATCTTCGTCCTAATAAAAATAAGGATTCCATCATTTTCACAAATACAGACAGAGTTGAAGCCTTTTATTTTTCGAAAATTAATATATTCGTTATTAATATTCGCAAGAAATTTCCGCACGCGCTAATAGAATCGATTTTAGGTTCATTGAAAATCTGTCAGTGCAAGACAATCCAGAAATATTGGGGTATCCTGTACATGCGCCAGACATACCGTTCAATTTTCCGATTGGAATTTCCGATTGAGATATCGAAATTAAATTCAATCCCGCTTAATCGAATAATTATTATAAGTGTGCACGAATAACTTTAAAATGATTAATGTATTAATGATTAATATACGTAATGAGAAATACATTTCCTAATTTAAAAATTATTTTCTCTTAATGTTTAGGTCCAAAGAGCCTTTTAAATTGAATATATACTTAGATTTATGATCTTTTTAATATTCTAATTTTATAATTTTTTTTCTATTCATATCGCAGTATTCTCATCCCCAGTTATATTTAAAATTTATATTTAGAATGTTTATTGTGGAATAAATAAACATTGATTATATTTTTTAGTTGTATTTTGTACAAAGTATAATATATCATTAAACAATTTTAAAGGCAAATTCAGAGCAGTTTTTAAAAAATTTTTAATCATGTGTACAGTTTGATTTTTTTGAAATTAATTTATTTTTATAAATTACGAAATTATTTACAAATCTGAAAATTTTGCTGTTTATCTAATATTATAATATTTCTGTTTCTTTATTTTTTCCTTCCTTTTTTATTTTTTTTCTTTATATCATGAGATAATTACAATATGCAATGCTAATGAAACTCATCAAGTTCGATCGCGTTTGACATTTGTTGGGTATTTGGATTTTGTATTTGGTTTTCTGACTTTTTATGTACTTTTATTTGAAGGTATCAATTAATTCCAAATCGTAAAGATAAATGTTGTTCGAATGTCGTTTGCATAAATAAATATACAAAAATATATAATTATAGATATATTTTTTTACATTTTTTGGTGTAATTTAAAGATAGCTATTTTTAATTATCGTTTATAAAATTTATCTTATCTCGAATTTTAATAACGATGAATCACATCATTTTGAGAAATTGAATTATCCTTATCTTAATTATGCGCAAGTTATTTGTTTGAACATGGCCTGTTTACACTCACTTTTTTAAGTTAAAAAATCTGAGAAAGCTGATTAAAATGAACTAGTAATTAAAAGATAAAGATAATTGCAAAGCAATTAGACGATTAGTATATATGAAACATTGATAAATTATATTTATTATTCAGTTCAGAAGACTGCATATAAAAATTAAGGTCAAATCGAATCGAATTTCGCTGATGCTACATTGATTTTTTGAAATTTATAACATTCTTTTCTACAAAAAAAATCATATTTTTTGTGTATTTTCTTTGACTGGCTGTTTTTCTTCACGCGTGCGGGATGAAACGCTCATAAATCGGAGAAAGTGATGTGTTTAAAGGACTTATATATCCTGAATGTTATTGTATTACATCTGAAAACCGATTGCGGTTACTTTTTTTTCCAATGTTGTGTCGCGCGTGTCGTTCTTATGAGGATGATACGAGTGTGAGTGACTCACGTGCACATGAATGAGTATAAAAATATTGATTTTCCCATCCATGCTCCTGTATTTATAGCGATGTTCCCGTATCTATCCCGGCATCGAAAGTTGTGCAACACTTTCGACATATCGCTACAGGAGTCACAAGCTATTGTGTAGTCTAGCGTGGTTGAAGAGGATAAATTGCGAGGCAGGATGCGTCGCGAATATAATTGTTGTAATAATTTTATTCGAGTTTTCCTTAGATAAATTCTTTGTTACATTTTTCGCCATTATCCTCGACACTTTATTTTACTTTACTTTTATTTTATTTATTATTATTGCATTTATTTATTGTAATATAAATATTTTTTTCAGGTATAAACTTTTCATGTTTAAAAAAATCGCATTAATTATATGCGTTTTACAATTAAATATAAAATAATATATTAAAGATATAGTATTAGCACGATACGCCATAAACTATGTTTTGTAGATCAAACGATGATTAATGATATGGCTGACTTGTTTCATTTTGCATTGAATTTGATTTAATCATATTTGATAATACATCAAGGTAGTTTAGAGTTAAAGTAGCATAAGCCATGCGGAACAACATGTAATTCTTTATCCGATTGCATCAACACGTGACAAAATGCACGTTGCTACAACTTCGCCTCTAGTAATATTGCGCAATAAAGAAGAAGACACATACTATAAAGTTTCATCGCTCGTCACCTGATGCGAGAAAAATTAAAAAAGTCCTATAGTAATATCTGCCATATCTCTCACAAGGACGTTTTATATACTTCTATAATACTTCACGAGGTTCGAGAGAATCTTCTCAACTGCGAGAAGCAAGGTTTCGAGTTCTTTTTCGCTTATTGTTGCTCACAATTGCATGACGAATCATGTTGCTATTATGAGTGCCTCGTTGAAGTATCAACGCGAATCTTTTTTTAAGATTCGAATTCATACACACATTAACAAATAAAATGTAATTATAACAATTTTTAATAGGTCCCAGAAAGTCCACTCTAAATTTTAAGTTAAAATAACTCATTCGTCGTATGTTATTTATTGACAAACTAAAAATGTTAAATAATAGACGCAATACTTTACATTTATTTTTGTTATGATAACTTTAAGTAATGTAAAAATAACATACAATTTAATTAAAAATTACATGAAAAAATAGTTATAATAACTCGTAAGAATTGTTGTAGGCCATTAACATATAATAGATACATATAATTATTTTAACAATTATTTTGCAAATAATTTATCTTAAATTATTTGCAATAAAAACATTTGATTTTAGTAAATTTTTTTATTTTGTATGTCAAAGTTCAAGATTATTTGAAGATTTATTTTAACTTTTTTTTTGTTAAACTGACTTTGAGACACATGTTGATTGCTTAAAATGATTATGTTAAAAATACTCCATTTATGTTAATAATATTCCATTTCTAAGAAACATATACAAAAAATGTTAAGTCATGAAGTTGACATAAATATAACACATGAAAACGTTATAAAAATAATTATATATAATTTGTATGCTAATTTTATATTAAAGTATTAATCAAAACGTGGTAACACAAGAAAATTTTAATATATGGACGCACAATTTTTTACCGTACTTTTTCATTGTAATATTATGTATTTCGCTTGCATCATTTTAATTTGACAGTAACATTTTTCTCAAAATTTCGATAGAATAAAATAACAGGTTTCTGCAACGATATCCATAGTGATAATATGATTGTCACAACAGAGTTCATCTCGTGACATTGACATATTTTTCTTCATTTTCCATGTTATGACCTTGTTTTTTGCGTTGAGACTTTATTTTTTATATTTTCTTTTTTCCGCATGAGAAATTGAAAAAAATTAAGTGGACAAATGGAAACTTTTTTCGTTTTATCGCGAATTTCTTATCTATCTATGCGTTTAGCGAAATTCACTCCTCTTTCAAGCATAGTAACAAGCTGCGAAATGATGCAAGAATGAAAGAGAGAGAGAGGGAGAGAGAGTCACATCACCGCATCGTTATAGCATGCTGCGGCACGATCGACCGTACACACGTGTCATTTAACGTATCCTACACCACTCCTCTTGCGTATTTTGCAAGCACCCAGACGAGAATATCGTGGGCGATTACATTACATGACTAACGTCGTCGTCATTCGTGACGTCACGACCTACGCGCCAATTAATCGTAACCCTTAGAGCTAACCGCCTCGTCGAAAACGTAGGGTTGTGAAATGAGAGAGAGAATAATTTCTTTTTTCTTGCAAAATTTAAATACAATTTTTTTTCTTGTTTATATTACATGAAATTAATTATACGAAAGAATCCCAGAGACTATCAACCTTGTTACGACCATCTTTGTTTGTCTATTATTATAATTTATGTTAAAGAGAACATATATAGATGAAATGTCGGAAAATAATTGTTAGGTAGAAAATGAGTTCTGTTTCGTTCTGTTTTATTTTTTTCACAGTGAAAAAAATAGTTTGTATTCATTCTCTTTTATTTTTCTTCATAGTGAGAGTAATTTGCAAGCGATTTAGATTAATTTAGAAAAAAAGATAAAAACGAAATAAAATTATCAAAAGAATTTTTATTAGGATAAACATAAATCTTTTAAAAAAGCTTTAAAAAATATTAACCTCAGGAAGAATTAACGAATTAAAGAATTCTTAAAAGGTATTAAAAAATTGATTTATAGGATATAGAGAAAAATAAAGGAAACGACTCAGCCATATATAATAAGCATACATAAAATTAGTATACTTTGGATACAATTTTTTAATCTTTATAGAGAGAAAAAAAGAAGATCATTTCTTAATTAATTATTTGAAAATAATTTTCAAAATAATTTAATTGATTCTTTTGTTTGAAAAAATGAAAAAATGAAGACTAAAATGTTTATTATTATACTAATGTTTATTATTATACCTTAAGATAAATGAAGCGCATTATTTCGAAAGTGCTCGGATTTGTTTACGGCAAATTGTGAAATTCCTCGTGAAATTGCGTGAAAATAAGCCGAGTTCATCGTCGCAATCGCATGCGCTCGTCTGGACGGTTTTATCGACGACGAAACGGTCACATCCGGGTCTCGATTGCGTTGTCCGTGATCTTGAAGCAACTCGCCATACAAACCGTGTGTGTGGTGGCACGCCGGGATACCTTTCACCCTGGAAGCTTGCCAACTTCCTTCCTCGAGGGCAAGGACGGAACCGGCGAATAAATCATGTCGCTATCCGTTACTGGTATAGTTATACTAATGGAGCGCGTAATTAGAGGCGAGCCACCATTATTTTTGTCCTCCATCGTCGCTTCCGGCAACTGTTTTCATTTGGTGAGCGAAAATAATTTTTCGTCTCCCTCATACTCGTAAAATCTCAAGATCGCGTCATGTGGTTATTCCAGGCAGACATTGTACGAGATTTTGCGAGTAGATCCTAATTGTGAATATTTGAGAAGTATTTTAGATACACAGTAAAAAATGAAATGTTAATTATAACATTTTTCACATGTCTCAGAAAATCCGTTCTAAATTTTAAGTTAAAATAACTCATTCGTCGTATGTTACTATTATTTATTGACAAACTAAAACTGTTAAATAATTGACACAATACTTTACATTTATTTTTGATATTGTGACTTTAAATGTAATGTAAAAATAACATACGTACAAATTAATTAAAAATTACATGAAAAAGTACTTACAATAGCTCGTGAGAAATGTTGAGGACATTAACATATAATAGTAATTATTTTAACTTAAATTATTTGTAATAGAAATATTTAATGTTAGTAAATTTAATTACTTTTGTGTATGTTAAAGTTCAAGATTATTTGAAGATTTTAACTTTTCTTAGAATGTTAAACTGACTTTGAGACATGGTGATTGTTTAAAATGATTATTAAAAATACTCAAACTAATATTCCATTTTTAAAAGACATATACAAAGTATTAAATTATGAAGTTGACATAAATGTAACACATGAAAACGTTATAATAATAATAACATATAAGCTGTATGTTAATTTTACATTAAAATACTAATCAAAACGTGGTAACAGAAAAAAATTTTAACATATGGAGGCACAATTTTTTACTGTGTATAATTTGTCTATGTTTGTTTATTTATCTTGATGTTAGACAATATTTTAACGACATTTAAGGTGATCTGGAATGTAAAAATAAATTTTTGCATATTTGCGGTTTTCAACATTCGTGAATTAAAATATCGGGATTCTATTTGATTGATTGATATGAAATAACGTTTTTTATGAGCATAATTATGAACGACTCAATTTTGCTTATCCGGATTAATTATTTTATAATTGATCGATTATGTGTTTGTTTTCAATCAGAGAATCTCTTTTTTTCAAACTTTTGGATACAAACAAAAAGTTTTGCGATCTTATATGATATTTCCAATAACTTCGATCTTTTAAATGTTTTCTCTTTTTCCAGATAATTTCCAAAGAAATTAAAAAGTTATGTTTCGATGGAACTCAATTTAAATATATCAAAAAGGTTTTTCTGGCGTTTGTATTTTTATTAAGAAGCAATATTAAAAAATTAAAATAGCTAGAATTAAAATAGCTTATTAAAAACCTAAAATCGAGATTTTCTTACCATTATTATTAAATCACTATTATTCAAATGCCAAGAATGGAAAAAAAAGAAAACTAAAAGAAGAAGAAATATATTCTCTATAAAGAAAGAAAGAAGAAAAAACATTCAAGTACTTAATTGAAGTATTTTTTTCTCCGATTGAAAGAGCATCGAAAACGCTTCTCCCCTGATTTCTTCCCCCAGAAACAACCCCAAAAAGTCTTATTATAAAAACGTCCTTTTGCCCTTTTCCGCTTCAACGACGAGCCGCAGAAAACGCGTCTCTGATTCTTGACCCAGTCCCGAGCCTACCGACCAGCTGATCGTTTATCCCGATCGCGCCGGCCACGTCGACGTTGAGGGAGCCATGCAGGTGGTGGGTGGATGGAAACGAACGACGACGACGACGATGACGGTGACGGAGATGCCGCGTCGCGTCGCGTCTGCGCGTCGCGACGCCATCGTCGGTGGGTCGGTCGGTCGGTCGGTCGGTCGGGGGTATTGATTTTCCGCCCCGTCGTGCACGTATACGTGTGCACTCGTGTGCGTATGTGTACGTGCACCACGCACAAACACACCGACAGCTGCGAATCCGCCCGCGGAATCTCGCAAAGTCTCTCCCCGGCGTCGTCGTCGTCGATTGCTGCCCTCGCTTCCGGCTGTCTCGCGAGAGCGATAGTCCTCCTCGAGGCTCTTCGTGGTCCCGATCGAGGGGACCGCGATCGGATCATTCGCTGGTCCATTGTGCCTGGTTCACCGTTCGCGGTCGCGCCGACGAAAAAGTTTCCCGTAGACGGTGCTCGACGATTGTTACTCCCACTCTGCTCCTCGTCGTTGCCGAGAGGGGAGAGGGTGGTTTCTCAAACTCCACGAGGATTCTTCGTTCCCGTCAGGCTCTCGACGAACGTCGCGTCCAGCGTGCGCATATTCACGTAGGGATACTCGTCCAGAAGTGACACAATCGCACACTTTTCCCCTTTCCCTCTTCCATCTCCTGGTGGATCTCGATCTGATCTCGCGTTTGCGTCGATCGCATGGTTGCAGGTTGCGCCGATCGACTGATCCGGAATCGCTAGGAAGCGGATAGTCGTCGCCAGTGTCTCGAGGAGCCGAGAGACGGGAAGGCAAGGCACTCGCTGAGGAAGAGGAAGGCTGTCGCCCGATATCTAGTCTCGTCGGGCACCCGACCATCAGCCGGCGATGCCTGCACCGACGTCAGCGGCGGGTGCGGCCGCCGAGGGCGGCCCGCCCCGCACCGAACTGCAGGAGTTACAGCTCAAGGCCGGTCAGACCACGGATGAGGTGAGTGATACGTATATATATATGTATATATATATATATATGTATTCATATGTGTGCGTGTGTATATCTACATATGCGCGATGTGACAGTCACGAGGATTTACGACGCAGCGCTAAAATCGATGTAATTTCGCCAAACTTGATTTTCGAGGCTTTGCGCGAGGATATTTATTCGCGACGATGACAACACGACAATCGACATAAGGCTTTTTTGGCGCAATATATTTGAAATATCCGGCAGATTTATTACAGTTTTCGGCAAATTTAAAATTGAATTTTGAGAATTTAATATAATATTTTTATTTATTTATAATAGCCAATATAAAATGTGATTAATTTATTTCATGTCGCGTCTCTTGCATCCTTTTATTAACTTTGTTCTCGTAAATTAATTATTTTGAGAAAGACGAGAATGTTACAAAAATGTTTGAGATTTCTTGAGAACGTTAAATGTATGACTAATGGAATCAGTCTCTTCAAAAAAGCCATATTTCTAAAAAGCGCAGAATTGTCAGCTTTGAAAAAATTATCTTAGCCTCATTTCTTTTTCACGGGAAATAATGTAGCTGAAAATATAACCGGTAATAAAACGAATAATATGGTTCTCTTGGGAAAAAAAAAAATGTTCAAGCCCGCGAGACACAGACAACGAGAATTGGTCGCGTGATGTATAACCGGCGTAATTGACTTCTGTTTCAGTCTCTGGAGAGCACGAGGCGTATGCTGGCACTATGCGAGGAGGTGAGTCTGTCCTTTTCATCATTAATCCCTCCTTATTTGCGCATCGACCCCTCGATCCTCTCTCGATCGTCCTCGAGATCCCGCGTCGGTGCATCAACAACCCCTTTCTCGTTATCCGAATCCCGTGTAGCAGCCCTCCTGTGAACCCGCCCTTCGTTTAGATCCCCGTTCGATTCCTCGGACTCTTCGAATCCCGAATTTTCCCCTCCGTCTGTCTCGTAAACTAGGAACGATTTTCATCGACGAATCGTTGCGCGCTACTGCGGCAAGACGGGCGCCACTGCTCGCTCAAATTTCAACTTTGGAACTGCTAGAAAACAGAAAGAAAAATAAAGAAAATGGCAGCAAGGAGGAAAGGAGTCGCGCCAGAGAGAGGTGGGCAAAGTACTATTTCGATCGCCAACCGGTCAAGTGGCGAGTCTTTCGATCGATTTCATTCTTTCCTAGAACTGGCTATTATACCATAAAATAGTCAAATACGAAATTCGAACAATCTAGTTTGATTCGTAGAAGAATTAACGGGTGTAATTAAATTTGCAAAGTTCCCGGAGAGATCTTTGCTTTTATTCGACCACATCTCGCATTCTCTTGAAATTTCATTTTTTAATATCGTACAACTTTTGTTACGATATTAATATTCTTAATAGCGTCACTTGATCGGTTAAGCATTGTTCTTGCGGACGCGTCGATTCCGCTTTAGTAAGATTCACGCCGGCGAGAGCGGCGTCCAAGTCGCAGAGGAGAGAAAAAGCTTCGTGTGGACCGTACACAGGGTGCATGTAGGTGGAGACCATAAGCGAAGATGATAAGCGTTTTTTCGAAGTAGTATTTGTCCAGCTCTGGTGCCATACCGAGGTGACGATTTCGAGAACGTGTTGCGGATCCCAAGCTTGTAAAGAAAAAAAAAACGTATAGAGAGGATTTACTTTGCGCGTCTCGCGACAACGAATTCCTGTGATTGCGATTTTGTGAAGAATCGCGAGAAAGAAATAAATGAAAGGAGAAAGGAAAAGGAGAAGAATCAATCGAGGGAGAATAGACCGGAAATTTGTAAGACGACGCATCGACGTGCTCCAAAATACGGCGAGGCTCGTTGCGAACGTGCACAAAAAAAAATTATTAGAGTTTCAGTTGACGAGATTAAAATGGTGATGCAGATTATGCGCTTACTTAAAAAGGTACCACATTTTTCGTTAATATGAAATATATATATTTATGTAAGGACATTTTCTACTAAAGTAAAATTTTATGCAATATTTTTTACAATATTTAAATTAATTATAAATACTATAATTCAGTAGGAAAAAATATAAAATAATATTACTGTTTTTGAGATATTCGTGATTAAATCCATAAAAAATCCATATTTAAATAGTTCACGTAAATACTAACCGTTTCTAATCTAACATTTCACAATTAACATAATTTAATTTTTAATAACACTTTTACTATCGTACATTATATCTTATTAGTATTTTAATTCTATAATTTATTTAAGCGCATTTAAAAGATAAAAATTCTGAATCGTTTTGTGTATATACCTGTTTATTTCTAGTTTATTTTATTGAATAAGGTGTTTTAAAAATTATTTCTCTTTGAAAAATCAAAAATTAAATATTTTTCTTTAAATATGATAAATTTTTTATTTATGATTATGCTTAACGATAAAAAGAAACATGAAGAAAAATGAGAAAATAACAAAATATTTTATAATTAAGTTTAAGATTTTATTTTAGCGGAAATTTTTCTCGAGATTTAAAATTCTTTACATTCTTCTTAAAATTAGATATTTATATTCAGAATTTTTTCTGGAGAAAAAAATCCATGTTTAATGTCTCAAAAAGAAGTATTCAAAATCAGGATAGCTGAGCCTGTAATGCAATAAAAGCCTCCGGCTACATTCCGATATAACACGCTTTATCTGCGTGGGCCTCCGGCTACAGTACTGACAAAAATCTACTAATATACGTGACGTAACTATAGATTTTCAGTACTGGCAGTGAATATCGGAATACAGTCCTATAGCATGCCGTTTTGTTATTTATTAAAAGATTTTCTTAATCTAAAATAAAAATTTAATAATTAATTTAAACTGAAATAGATAGTTTTTCGGAGACATTTCTATTATGTCTTAACATCATAAATCAGAAAACATAGAGAAAAATACAGTCTACGTGTAATTATTATGAAATTATTTTTAATTTATTTTTTTATGTCATAAGATAATATTAATGTATTTTTGTTACATTATAGCATAATAATAATTGTAGGAATTAATAAATTACGTAAGCTAAAATTCAGGGAACTAGAATTAATATGATAGCTTACGTAATTTTATATACATAATTTTAATTCCTGAATTAAAATTATGTGCATAATAGAAATTCGGGAATTAATATTATGTGTACATAATGAAAATTCGGGTATTAATATTGTGTACATAATTATGAGGAAAATTTTTTTGTCATAACATAAAATCAGAATTAATATTTTGTCCAGACATAATCTTAATTCTGCATTTTCAATTATGTGATAGCTTAATAATAATTCGATGAATTATAAATATGGCTAGAGATAATAATAATTTCTTTTTAGTACCGATTTAATGTGATAGAATTTTTATGACGATATTAAATAGCAAAACGGCGTGCTATACAGCTCTGATAGCTTTGTTTCTAATATGACGTACTTGAAAAAGTAATCTTGAAAAAATTGAGAGTCGATTGTTTGAACGGAAAGTATTTTAATTGCTTTTATTTTATTTTAAATTCGTTGTACATAAATATATGAAGGAGATAATGCTGAATGAATCTCAAATAAAGTATCGAATTAATTATTTTCTTTCATAATTACATATTTAAAAGAATTCGAAGAAGAGTTATCAAATACATTTATATAAAAGTAAAAATATAAAATTTTTCATTGAATTTTTCAAATTAATGATGATGAGATAATGAGACGATGATAATAAAAATTGGATTCGGCAAGGGAATTAAATTACAGAATTAAATTAAATTACACAATTATACAGTTTTTAATTTTCGCATTATTATCTGGAAAGTGACGATATATACGAAAATACCACCACGCGTTATTGATTTAATAACGCTCTTCTTTATTTACCTGTGTGTAATTTGACGTTATTGCGTACGTTCGCGCGTGCCACGACCGTGAAAAAAAAAATATTTATCTGCATTCTGCAGCTCTCTCCATATTCTCTTTCTATGCATAATTATTCGCTGTCTATGCTCGTTACCTTCGATATCTACTATTATTTCTTACATATACATATATATATGTGTGTGCGCGTGCATACGAATACGGTTCTATGTAACTGTTTTATGTGTATATATATATATATATGTGCGTGTGTATGTATGTGTGTGTGCACATACATACATATGCATAACAATGATGTTTACTCTCTTCTACTACTTTTAACTTACTATACTTGTCGAAGGAATGCACGCAACTGGCTTCCGGGATCTGATCCACTAAACTAGCTTATCCTATCTTGCAGTTTCTCTAACAATTAATCTTATCGCGTTCGCAATTATTTTTGTTGCAACACTAACTGACAATTACTGCAATCATGTTTGGAATTTTAAGAAAAAAAATATTAAAAAGTTGCTTTAATTGTTGTAATATTTTTGAAATATAATTATTTTACATATATTAATATCGTATTTCACGCGATTCTACATTGTTTATTGTAAATTTAATATTTCCATAGTAAATTTGATCGAATTTTTATACAATCTAGAAGCTATACAATACTTTTTGACTAAAAACTCTGTATTTTTACGATTGCGTAATATTGCGTAAATCCTCGAAAAGTAAACTCATGGTAGCTTCACGCTCGTTTCTCTGTAAAATTGACAAAAATAATATCGCGAGACAAAAGCAGAATCATATCGCCCGAACGTGACTTGATTCGAAAAGATGATCCGCCGAGGTCTTTGCGTCGTTCCATTTCAGTCTCTCTCGCTGCTACTTATCTACCTGTGGCTGCACTAATAAGCACATGTCGCATTCTTCCGAGCACCGAGGACGTCCCTCGAATCATCATCGGCCGAGAGAAGCGTACGTACACACACTTACAATGCGTCATCATTGTCACGTCACGCGTGATAAGCGATCTCGATCGCGACCAGGGGCAACGAATCGTCAAGTCGCAAACTTCCATGGGAAAACGGTTCTCGGAGGTTGCTCGCTTGGCTATGTATTATCTTTTCTCGGCGACACGGTGACGAGAAAATCCCCGAAGAGATCGAACGCGAGAAATGCGAGAGTATTACGTACGACTTTACGTCGAAAGTGGCGACGGCGATTGATCTCGTTCGCTTTTTATCTCTCTTTCTTGTATGGCTCGATCGTCAACTTTCCTTTTTCATCGGACGCTGATCAATTCGCGGTCCGCCCGCATCTCTTTCGCGACCCCTTTTTTTAGCGCAAGCCTCCTACGCGACGGTGTGTGAGCGACGCCTTTCTTACTTGACTTGAGCATATATATTTCGCTCTTTTTTTTTTAGCGAAATATTGAAGAAGAAATTTATTTTAGAGAGGAAAAATATTTTTTAATAAACGAAATTAATAAGGTTTGTATATGTACAATTATACAATTATATCGGCGTGCAAATGTTAAATGAAAAAATACGGAATTTTTTAAATAACTCAAAACTTGTCTAATATATTTGTTTTTTTTTTCATATTTTATCTAGCAGCTTGTATATATTGAAATAATAATTACTTATATAATGCAAGTTGCGCGCTTAGAAAGATCAGATTTTATCACATCTTTGTTTCTCTTATTAATTTCGGTTTGTGATTCTTTTTTAACTGCCAAATTTATCTTTGTAAGTTGAACAAATGCATCTTATTATGTGACAATTTTCCGCCAGGTGAAATTTAAAATCCATCATTATTTATTAATAAACTTCACTTATATTTATATTAATTTTGCTAATATTTATATTAATTTTGCTAATATTTATATTAAT